TAATTTCGTCTGAAAATTTCAGAACCTACTCGAATTTTTTTCTCGAAAGAGGGTAGGATTTCATGGGTATGTATATTCACCAAAAATGATTGTAATTGAGCCCTGCAACCAAAAATAATTTTTCCAGAACGATTTGAAATTCTTTAATTTTAATTTTTAATATCTTTTTAATGAAACCTCAGTCATGAAATTGATATTCATGCTTAGAGCTAATAGCAGATTACGTTGAAAAATAAAAAAGAAAATCTACCTAAAATAATTTGTTTTTCTATATTTTTCTAACGACTTATCGAACGAACCTCGTATAAGAATTAAGTTTATTATTGTTCCCTGAAAGGTTGCTTCGATTCTGATCACCGTGAAACCGAGAAAACCGAAGGGGAATCACGTCGTCGTGGCTCGAACGGTTTCATTCGATCGTATCAAGCCGAGCGAAGCCAGCTGATCGATAAACTTATAGGAAAACGTTCGCCTCCGCACGAACAGGTGCGTTATTTCATTCCGTAAATCAATACGAAGGATGTCGCGAGTTTTATGACGGTTTCCTTTGATGTTCGAAACGATCCTCCGATATATTTCGCGAGTGTTCGTGCGATCACGCGGAACGCCAAAGGTGAGTTTGTCAATAAAGTTAGTCGTTGGTCGACAATCAGGTGTTTTAAGGGGCCAGTCTCGTGTGTACGTTGCAAAAATTTAATCTTTATTAATATTTTTTAACTAAATCCAACGTTATAATTTATTTCGAAAAAAACTTCCGAAAATGACATACTTTCGATTTTTGTTGTACTCTGAATTGTTACGTATTTTGACGCGCTGATTACGAGTATAATAGTGAAACGCAAATTTTATTTTCATAGTGGTAACCATGAAAAAATTATTCAAATAATAGGTTTTTTTTATTTATTTCCGTGAATAATGGGAATTTTGAAAAATACTTCAGACAAAAGTTGTAGAGCTCATAAAAATACACATTTTATGCCCTATTGATTTTTGTCATAAAGATAATACTTTCTAAGATAACTGAAAGGCAATTAGTCACTTATGCGGGGCAACCCTCGATTGCAATGTCCTTTACACATGTTATGTATATTTGTCTGTGCAGAGCTTAAAAGTTTTTATTTTTTGAAACGAACACCGTTATTTTTTAGTTTTCGTGCGGTAATTTCACCTTAATTTGTTTTTTTGTTATTGCAAACTATTTTTTAGTTTTCACAATATTGTTCTATGCATTTTGTTTTCGTTTTTTTTAGAACAAACAGGTTTATTTTTTAGTTTATATGAGGTTTTTTCGTTTCTTCTATAACGAACAGTCGTTTAATTTAATGTTTAAGTGTAGGTTTAGGTTTAAGTCCGGGTTATTCCTTAAAAATGATAGTTTTTTTATTTACTTCCGTAAATAATGTGAATTTTGAAAAATACTTCCGATAAAAGTTGTAGACCTCATCAAAATACACATTTTATGTCCTATTGATTTTTGTCGTGAAGACGATAGTTTTTGAGAAAAACGATATCAAATGTTATCAATATCATGAAAACTAGTTTGCAATAAAAAAAAAACAAAATAGAGTGAAATTACCACACGAAAACTAAAAAATAAAGGTGTTCGTTTCAAAAAATAAAAAATTTTAAGCTCTGCATAGACAAATATACATAGTATATGTAAATGACATTGCAATCGAGGGTTGCCCCGCATAAGTGACTAATTGCCTATCATTTTTCTCGGAAAGTATTAGCTTTATGACAAAAATCAATAGGGCATAAAATGTGTATTTTTATGAGGTCTACAACTTTTGTCCGAAGTATTTTTCAAAATACTCATAATCGGTACGTCAAAATACGTAAGAATCTAGATTACAAAAAAAAATCGGAGGCGCAGATTGTCAGCAGATATCTTTTGACTCTGTCGTAAACATTTCAAAACAATAATGTGCATTTAAATTAAATTAACATAATACTTGACATTTATCTCTAAAAATTTAAGTTCAAATAAAAAAAAAATTGATTTTTTTGAGGTCCCATATGAGACTGCCCCCTTCAAATTCCCCCAACGTCTCGAATCCTTCAAATAGTTGCGTTTACGCGAAAGTTGACCATTAAATATTTGAAAAACTTCCCTAATCTGTTTTTTTTTAATTTGTCAATTGATAAATACGTTATACAGGGTGTCGAGAAACCCGAAAATTCTTTTTAAAACGAAATCAAAATGTCGATTGAGAGATGGAAGGAAATGTATGAGACCACTTGAGGCCCTGCAGGTTGCGATGGTTGGTTAAGCAATAAAATTTTAGGAATAAAATCTAGAGTTTTGTCTAACTTGGAGAAAGAACATTCAACGAGCGTCAATTTTCGATTGTGCTTTTAGGTTTTCGTCAAGGGGATCGATAAATATAACGGGTAGAGATTCCCAATGTTTAACACTAGATTTACGGATGTTGATTATATACCTATTTTTACTGAAATGAGCCAATTTGACTCATACAACAAAATTCAAGTTGTTTACAAAAAAAAGTTCCAAATCAATTTAAATGAATGATTGTGGCGTCGCTTTCGATGCTCGCCACCAGAGGGCTCGCGCTCTCACAAGCGCTCAATCGACGCGCTAAAAATAGGTATACCACATTCGATAATGCGAAATGAAGGGATCTGCAGGGGAGAGGAAACAGCATTTACATATATTTCATTACATCACCAAAAATCAACGTATGTTTTTAAAAAATAATATTTAAGTTTTATGCAACCCTGAAAAAAATTTTACTGGCAGATTCTGGAGGCCAAAATAAGACGAAAATCAAGAATACCAATTTGTTGATCGAGGCTTCGTTAAAAAGTTATTAACGTTTAAAGTTGCGTCTGTGAGGCGAGAACCGTGCGCGCTGCACACTTTAACTTTAAACGTTAATAACTTTTTAACGAAGCCTCAATCAACAAATTGGTATTCTTGATTTTCGTCTTATTTTGGCCTCTAGAATCTCCCATTAAAATTTCCCCCACGTAATCAAATTTTTAATAAGTCAAATTGGCTCAATCCGTAAATCCAGTGTTAAATTATACACTAAATCCGCACCCCTATTCCTGCATCACCAAAAATAAACACCAATGTCATCATTCGGTACGAGAAAAGGTGAGCCCATTATTTTATTCTTTCTACAAAACATAGTTTCCTATTCCCACGGAAAACGAGGTATTTAATATCAGCAAACAAAGTAATTTCATTAGCGTTACCAAGGAAGAAAGAAATTGCAGAAAAGTTTAATAGTATAAAGTTTGGACTTTCATTCGACATGTAGCAATTTTAATATTTTCCTTTGCTGGTGGAATCGTGAAATTGTTCTACGTAGCGTAATTTCTAAAATTCAGTTAATATTTCGCATTACAGCATACGAACACTTTGACACCGAGAATTGGACGAGTTCCTGAGGAAGAAATGGCCTTGTACTACAACGAATAATAAAACGACGAACCATATTTTGTTTAAACAAATTATTTTTGGAATTAGTCTGTTTCTTTTATAGTAAAAATATTTATGGACGACGAGTCAATAATCATTTATATTTTCAAAGGGAAAACGGCAGAATTATAATATACAAGGTGTTCGGCCACTCCTGGTAAAAATTTTAATGGATGATTCTAGAGGCCAAAATAAGACGAAAATCAAGAATACTAATTTGTTGATGGAGGCTTCGTTAAAAAGTTATTAACGTTTAAAGCTCCGCGCACGCAGCGCGCACGGTTCCCGTCTCACAGACGCAACTTTAAACGTTAATAACTTTTTAACGAAACCTCAATCAACAAATTGGTATTCTTGATTTTCGTCTTATTTTGGCCTCTAGAATCTCCTATTAAAATTTTTCCCAGGGGTTTCTTTTACAGTAAAATATTTATGGACAACGAGTCAATAATCATTCATATTTTTAAGGGGAAAAAGGCAGAATTAAAATATACATAAATCAATGTGATGGGGCATTGAGCAATATTCAGTACTATTTTTAACGTTTAACTGGAGAAACTCTAGCAAAAATAGCAATTTCAGAGATTAGCTTCAAGTTTACCATGAAATTAAACATATGATGATCAACGCGAATACAGGTACAATATATTTTTTATTTCCATATGCTATACAATATAGAATATAAATTTGCACTGATTTTAAAAATCCTACAGAACATTAAGAATTTAAATAGACAATGGAAATAATCGAATTTATTATTTTTAATCACATTTTAGTTTTATATCCTCTTACTTAATAATCATTATGATTTTCCTAGAAACTTAAATTTATCAAAATTAACAAATACGTAGTATAAAAATGTAAAAGGAACTTTAATAAGACCTGGAGTAAAATTAACCAGCATTATCAAAGGGTATATCATTCGATGTGTAATAACAAACATGATTAATGAAACAATGGCATTACATTCCATTCATAGCATGATTGAATTGATCATTTTATGTTATCTACAATCGTCGTATGTCCATGAAGTTTGTATGAGAAGAACAAGACAAGAAACACATAGAAACAATAAAACAACTGTTTTTGTATGACACTAAAAACGTAAAATGTTTATAAAACATGAGTAATAACGTGATATGAAAATTATGCGAATTATTGCACGATAAACGGCTCTGTAAATGATCTACAGGGCGTTTCAAGGTCAAACTGGAAACCCCTGTATTAATGTAATCCGTTCTACAACTTTTTCAGAATGCAAGATATCGACATTAAAATAAAATAATGTTATAATAATACATGGTGTTCGGCCACTCCTGGGAAAAATTTTAAAGGTGGATTCTAGAGGCCAAAATAAGACGAAAATCAAGAATACTAATTTGTTGAATGACGCTTCGTTAAAATGTTATTAACGTTTAAAGTTAAAGTGTGCAGCGTGCACGATTCCCGTCTCACAGACGCAACTTTAAACGTTAATAACTTTTTAACGAAGCCTCGATCAACAAATTAGTATTCTTGATTTCCGTCTTATTTTGGCCCCTAGAATCCCCCATTAAAATTTTTTCCAGGACTAGCTGAACACCCCGTATATCAGGATGAAATTGTTTAATTAATATGAGTAATGAATTCGAAGATTTTCACAGCAAATGTCTGCCATCGTAAATTACAAAAGGAATAGTCCATGACCACGATCCAATAACAAACCTTTCTCTGTACAAAGACAATTTACTTTTCTTTTAATTTTTTATCTTTGGCAGAGTTTTAATCATTCCTCTAGTAAAGCTGTACCAGACTTGTTCATGTACAAACACGTTGCATGTAACTTGTTCCAAGATCCTCTTACTCGTCGTTATGTTTATATATAATTTATTGAACAAACAAAATATTGTAAATTGATTTAACAGTATACAACGTGCTAATCTATCTATAAAAGTCTTAAAAGTTCGTATGTACTAATTTATGTTAAACCTTTAATCAACCTGAGAAATTTTGAAGAAAAAAAAATTTGCTTTTAATAATACTTTCTATATTATCATACATTTCGCCCCTCGAATCGATTGTGTACACCTGTAATCCTGTTTTGAATATTTAAAGCAACGGAGTTATTAAATGTTCACTTTTAGGTGATTCACTCACACGTATACGTGCATGTATACATACAGAGTTGTTATATACAGGACGTTTCATAAAATGCGATAAATTTTGGAAATAAAAGATCCTCCAAATAAGAATATCGTTCTTGATGTTTCACTGTATTCCCATGATAATCCATATTTTCAATAATTATTCGATTTAGAAATGCAACATATTAATACAATTTTAGTACGTGACAATTTTTTTTATAATTTTTCGAAACTCGCTTTACAAATGAGTATTCTCATATACATTATATACTCATGACATTTTATCGTCTTTTTTATCATTAACAATTAGTTTTTTAAAATTTTGAAATTCTGGAAATAAGTTTTGCAAAAATATATGCATACTTGAAATCTTGTTTTTAAGTAGTGACTCCCTTATTTCCTAAATGTAGCACACATTTAAAAACACCATGTACATACGCGTGAATATATATATATATGTAATATAAAGAATCTTATAGCTTATAACAGATTATTAATTTACATCTACAAAAGAACTCGATAAAATGTACCTATTCTAGTAACCATTTTGAATGAAATATTCCATCAAGAAATTTTATATAACAGATAACTACTTTTCAAGCGTAAACAATTATAACATTTACATAAATTTTTACAATTTAAAAATAGTAGACGTTGTTCGATTAATTTCGTGTGGAGTCCTTTTGCAGTTATATTACGATTTCATTTTCATAGTAATGTAAATCTAGATAACAAAAAATATATATTTTACAGTACCGTTACATTACTATAGTTTTAAATAAATTGTTATCTTCGTACAGATTACATAGTAATCTTTGCCACGACAACTATCAAACTGGATCACTGTTCTCGTAACACAGATAAACATTTTTTGAGCAATTCCGCGTGTGCCTGAAAATAAAACGCAACAAATTTTTATAACGTATCAGTAAATATACAGGGTGTTTGGCCACCCCTGGGAAAAAATTTTAAAGACGAAAATCAACAATACCAATTTGTTGATAGAGGCTTTGTTAAAAAGTTATTAACATTTAAAGTTCCGCCAAAACTGAATTTTTTTCTCGAAAGTGGGTAGAATTTCAAGGGTGTGTCTGATGACCAAAAATGATTGTAATTGAGCCCCACAACCGAAAATAATTTTTCCAGAACGATTTGAAATTTTTAATTTTGTCGAAAAATTTCATACCTGCTCGAATTTTTTTCTCGAAAGTGGGTAGGATTTCGAGGGTGTGTCAAATGGCCAAAAATGGTTGTAATTGACCCCCAAATCAAAAACAATTTTTCCAAAACGATTTGAAATTTTTTCATTTTGTCGAAAAATTTCATACCTCCTCGAATTTTTTTCTCGAAAGTGGGTACGATTTCGAAGGAGTGCCAAATGATAAAAAATGATTGTAATTGGCCACCGCAACCGAAAATATTTTTTTTTGAACGATTTGATATTTTTTAATTTTGTCAAAAAATTTCATACCTTCTCGAATTTTTTTCTGGAAAGTGGGTAGGATTTCGTAGGTATGTCTATTCACCAAAAATGATTGCAATTGACCCCCACAACCGAAAATAATTTTTCCAGAACGATTAAGAATTTTTGAATTTAACTGTTAATAACTTTTTAACGAAGCCTTCATCAACAAATTGGTATTCTTGAGTTTCGTCTTATTTCGGCCTCTAGAATCCCTCATTAAAGTTTTTCCTAGGGGTGGCCGTACAACCTGTATAAATTTAAAAAGAAAAATGACTTACTTTTGCATGTTTTATTTCTAGTTCTGTTAATTCAATTAGATTCTTCCTAAAAGCAGCTACTCTTCTCGTTTTGAAATCCGTCAATTCTGTAATTAAAAACTCAATAAAATTCACTTATCTATGAGAATATAGATTCATTTGTAAAGTGTAAATACCTTCTTTTCCTTTCTCTGACATTTGTTCGAATTTTTCGCACGCTTCTGTTTGAGCTTGTTCTGCCTGAATCAACAGAAACATAAACGATCTCAACCTTCGCTTATACGTACGACATCAATATTTAACAATATCGAGCACAATATCAAAACTTTCTTTTACAAAGAGCGTATCGTAAACAAGTTTCAAAACTAATTAAAACGTGCAATTTTCCTTAGTACTACGCCATGAAATCTGATATTTCTCAAAATTTTATTAACGATACTTACATTGTTAGATTCTTCTACTTTCGAAAATTACTACTTCTTCTTTATCACATAAAAGTATATTTCACTGGTAACATAGCTTGCACGAATACTTACGTAAATTTCACGATCATTGAATGAAAAAACACGGATACGAAAAAGTAAAAATACATGCAAGTACTGCTCATGCATAATATTTAATAACAATTTAATGCATAGTCTTTTCTATAATCCCTTCCTCCGACATATGGTAATATATTTTACATAAATACTAAAATTTCAATGTAACATTACTATTATAAAAATAAATTTGCAACCATCAGGCAATTTATGTGGAAGAACTATAATCTCACGTATCGTCCATCCACGAGTAGAACGCACAACGTGTTTACATCCCCACTCTTGCTGCTGTCCGTTGATTGGCTGTCACCGATCTTCGTCACAGCTATCGACCAATCAGCTGGCAGCAACAGGAGTGGGGATATAAACACGCTGTGCCTTCTTCTCGCGGAAGGACGACATATCGTGTACACAAATTCGAAATTTTGTTGTTAATGTTTTTATGTGAACTTCAAAATGACATTATTTAAAATATACACTACAGCAAGGCGCCAACATACAAATGAAGAGAAACACACCTCAGCAACCTCCACTGCCTTGACGAGCAAGAAAAATTAAATTTTTGGTTAGATTCTATGTACATTTTAACCAAACATTGCGTATTACATATGTGTATTTTTGTTCAACGAAAACAGTGGAATATCTCATGAAGAATTTATCGTAATAATGTAATTACGAAAGTAGTTTGAGATATACCACCGTTCATCCTGTACACATTTACAAATTTAGAAAATGTTATATTAAGTGAACAGTTAATATCTGATTTTGAAAGAAATCCTTTTCCATCATAATGTTTAACCCCTTAACTTACAATGATGTCTCAAAGACGTTATAAGTCTACCGAGCTAAACCTTGGTGTTTGGCACGCACAGTTGGAAATTAAATCGTAAGGCAAGAGGTTAAGTATTAAAAGTATTGTACTCACAGCATGAACATCTTTGTTTTTGGCACGAGCTTTCTCAAGAGCACGATTTGCAGATTCGTACGCGTGTAAAGCTTTCAATCTTCTGAACAGCAGTCGTTTGGCTGCAGCCGTATCCCTCATGTAGTAACGAAGAGTGTCCGACAATTTCAGATCTTCGTCGGAGGCTACTCGTCCTTCAACTTTCTATTACAACATTACAAATATAAATAACACGAATAGACGAACGAAATGAAATAAATCCAAATTTCTTACCCTTAATTTCTCAAAAGTGTCTGCAATTTTTGTTAAAAATCTTTCTAGTTTGCCGTAATCAGTCGTAGCCAATTGCAAAAGATTCGTAGAAATTTTTATGTAAGAATCGGCTACGTCTTTGTGTTTGGCTGTTTGGCGATCCGCGCGAAGCGTTGCCTCTTTTAAATTATGATGATACGTTTGCAAGAACGACATTTCTTGATCGAAAAAGTCATTCACATCTTTTACGGTCGCTGACAAATAATATTCGTCTGTAGTAGTAGAAAATGATTTTACTAAACCACCGAATACCTCCATTTTATTTTTTCCTAAAATAAAACAAAGAGTTTATACATTATTTTCGTATCAAACGTTACGACAATGTTTATAAAAGAATAATAAAGGAACTTTATGTAAACGCCAATTAAAGTCTTTACCTCTCACACAAAGATCTTGATCATACTCTAAAAACACTCTTAAATTATGATCATTTTGAAAAACTGGATGATTTGCTAGTCTAGTTAAAAACATTTCGTGCATAGCAACAGTTTTCTTAAATGTAGCTAAATATTCACTGTAATAAAAGTATAAACGTTACATAAATCCATCGATGTCAATAAAAATTATTAAATAATCTACATTTATATCAACACTCGAATATAAATATTTTACTTACGCTTCCAATTCCTGTTTCATTTTAGTGAATTCTTCACGGGTCATGTTACCCTCGCCCTCCCCAAGTTTTTGCAACTTTTCACGCGACGCATCAAAGTCTGGTCGTGGCGGACAAGGCGGAATCTGAAAGTATATATATCCTTTATTGCACGTTGGTCGTAAACTTAAAATTTAAAATAAAAAACAAATGCAGGAAGAAAACATACGATATAACCAGCATATTCTTCGTTCTCTTCGAATCGATCGTGTAACCACACAAACTCTTCGTGTTGCCTTACGACTAAATTCTCTGGCTTTTGGAATTCAGGTAATGTAGTTTTCGTATGTACAGTGAATTTAACTTTATCCTTTTCGCTAAGAGCGTCCGAAATATCCACTTGTAATGACTTATCAGAAAGGTCTACATTGTCCACATGAATTGTCTGTGAATACGAATTCTTTAAATTAGAACGACAAAATTGTAGAGTTTGGAAAGAAATGGCGAACGTTAGTAACCGAATTTCGATTAATTGTTATTAATGTAGAGCAATAAAAAAAATTATAAAAATATAAATACCTTTTTAGGGGGAACGTTACTTAAAATGTCAGTAGTATCGCATATACCGTCCTGAAACATTTTCTTCGATTAAAAATGTGCAATAGTTATTTACAACAACTTGGAAAGTTAAACTGCACTGTAGTAAATTCGTTACGAAGGCAGATCGGCGGACAAGTGATAACAGGTTCCACCTACCATCATGGCGTCCAAGCGTCTTTTCGACACGTTCTGCGTTTCACAATGTATACCTATCGGTCGGAATTAATCCGATAACGATCTAAACTGACATCCGCAAGAATATGGTTCCACTTGCAGCAGAGATTCGTCTTGTACTTAGATTTCCTTATAGACAATTACCAATGGAAAATTCTCTGCTGGTAAAACACACTTAACCGAGTCATTCGTAACATGTCAGAATGCGGCATAATCAAAAGACGTATGTATGTACGCACGCTGATAAATCAGCTGTAAGAATGAAGCGATTGTTTATGGAACTTACAAATGCAGCAGAACTATGCTCTTTATTATTTATAGTAAATATTTTAACAATGCGTATGTATTTATTACAGTCTGTGAAAAATGAATAAAATAATATTTTGTTTGATTTTAGAGTACTTTCTTAATACGTGTATCGAACGCATAAATAATTGATAACTCTTTGGGGCGCGCTGGGATTAAGTATCCCACCTTTTTGATGCACCGTAATGCATGGTGGGACATTTTTAGTCTTATTTACGCAAAGCAGTTGGTAATATCTTCGACAAATGTTACAAGTGTATTCACTTGTGTTGGCAACATTCAACGTGCCAATACAGATTCTGCATTGCAGAATACAGGTTTATCAATTGTTGCAAGCGGAAGGTTTATTGCGACAATCTTTTTTTTTTTATGTTTCTACATTATGTGATACCTTTATTAATAAAAATATACCAGTTTTGTTTAAAACGTAATACTATGCAATATGGGTCTGTTTTATTATCTGAAATTCCGTGCCGCAATGAGTTTGTTAAAAGTATGAATAATTTATCTGCTTATATCAAACATAACCTTTAATTTCGAAGAAAATATTTAAATAAGTAATATTAATAAATTTCTACGAGATGAGGGGTCAGTCCTGGGTCCCATACTTTTCAACATCTACATCAACGACATTCCCGAAAATCCCAATAACAAGCTACCCTTCTACGTCGATGATACTGTAATTTATTTCTCCTCATGGGCTCACAACCAAGCAGTCAAGTACTATCCAGTGATGACTTGGCTAGGCACCCACAAACTAAACGGGGCAAGAGTAAGGAGAGAAGGTCTTCGCGCCGTCTTATTCCCACTAGAGGGCTCTGACGTCACGTTGCATAGTAGTAGGGTCTCCATAACCACGAGAGATACATTTTTGTTCTATTCATGGCTAGTATTTTGAGCTAGTATTTTACGCCAATGCCTCTCAGTCTTTCCCTATCCTACTCTGTCCCTATACGTTTTATTCGCGTCCTTTGTCACGCGATGGAATTGTGTTGTCAGCGACTCAGCCAATAATGACAATGCGTGTGAGAGCAGGCGTCGTTATTACGCTACGGCCAATCAGCGTGCCTAGCCATCAAATCATCACTGGATAGTACATGATCGACCACCTGATTCGCGATTACGTGTATATTAATTCCAGTTAATATTTTATCATAACACTGTTTACATTTTCGTAATATGTATACAATAATATAATACAGTAATTTGTATTATTGAAAATGATATTGTATTGTATATTTGGATTAGTGATTACGATGAAAAAATATAATTTAAAAAAATGTTTTATTGTATCAAATATCTAATGTTAATCATTGTTGAATTAGCTTTGCAATCATATTGTTTTCGACAATTTTTAAACCATATTTATATTGATCTGTTTACATATTCGTTGTAATTCGTATTTGTATTCGTTTAGGTTATAATTCTAATACAAGTACGAATTACCAAATTAAATGTAAAAAAGCATAATCCATGCAATATTTATAATACACAAAGTTGTTTTAGAATTATTTTCTATTCCTAACTAGAAAAATTAGTAAAACTCATCAAAGTAACATTTTTTTTTAAGTTTCAACAATGTCAAATCATTATGATAAGTTGTCATGGAAAGGTAAGCTAAATAGTTTCTTTTATTAATTTAAAAATGATTTAAATCAAATTTCGATTAATTAAAGCAAAATTGAATATTTTAATATACACGTAGAAGTTCGAGAGTTATTTAGAATATGGAGAGAGGACAGCGAACGTCGAAGCAAGGACGTAGTAGATTTATGGGAAACAAAACTGATGGACAAAATTGATCAACTTGGCAATGAAAGTATGATAAAATTACTTTTTACGAGAACTATTTTTATTAACCACTTGTGCTACCAATAAACTCACAGTTGCGGTGCCATGCGTCACAGTATAATATCTGCGTTAAATGCTTATCGATAAAGCATCTCGACGTGCTACTTTTTAGCGCAAGTGGTTAAGACAATGACATTATCTTTATGATAATCTTTAACACAATTTTTATACAGAGTATCTGATTTTGGAGCAAGTTTGCATAGCAGCATTGGATTGTTATCATCTTTCATTAGCAGAATATTGCATTAAGATACTAAAGAGAGAATTTCCTAGCAGCTTAAGGGTTCACAAATATCATGCGATGCATCTGGAAGCTTTGGAAATGTAACATTCATTTATTAAATATATTAGAACAGTTTTGTTTAAAAATTGTTTGTACCATGTCATACAAATAAAATGCATCGATAGGTACGACGAAGCATTGGAAGTGTTGTGTTCTATTATAAAAAGAGATGAAACTAACGCAGCACCAAGGAAGCGACGTATAGCTATATTAATAGCAAATGGTCGAACATTGGAAGCTATTAAAGAACTTACGGAATATTTAAGAAAGTCAGTATTTAAATGAAATCTGATGATTTGGAACTGTTATGTACTGTATTAATTCTTATAGATTCATGAGCGATCAAGAAGCATGGCACGAGTTGTGCGATTTGTATTTACAAGAACAAGAATACTCTAAAGCTGCATTCTGTATGGAAGAACTCATTCTGCATAATCCGCATAGCCATTTAATTTATCAGAGATATGCAGAAATAAAATATTCCCAAGTAATAAATACTCCAATCATTTTTATTTATCTAAATTTTATCGAATTTATAAATAAATGATCGTTTGCATTTAGGGTGGATTTGAAAATATGGAATTGGCGAAAGCATACTTTTGTCAGGCTGCGAAATTAAATCCAAATAATATCAGAGCACTGTATGGTTTGTTATTGGTAAGGATGATTATATTTATGAAAGTATTATTGAAAATCTAGATAATCGTTTTCTTATTTCGATTAATTGTTTATAACTAATTTACTTTCAGGCAACAAACAATATTGCTACATCACCTAAGTGTCCTTCGTCTAAGAAGAAAGATGCAATGGAATTAAGCGAATGGGCAAATAATCAAATAGAAATGCAATATCAGTCGAAAGTTTCAGACGAGAATATGAAAACAGTAGAAGGATTACTAGGTCAATTGCAACTCGATGCTTAGATATGGAAATTTATATGTATAAGTATTGTAACATAGGTAAATGTATAATTCCTCACTATTTATACACAAATGCAATTTATTAATATTAATTCAGAAACCATGATCTAGAGAGTGCAGTGAATTTGTACAAATATACTAAAATATTTGTTTCGAAAAATATAGTAAAGCATAATTCATTAGTCAAATATAAAATTGAATTATCGAAACATAATAATTTGTAACTTCGTAACTCGACAAATTAACATTCCTTTGAAAATATGAAGGATTTTATTTATTTTTTTACTTAGATTCGTCTTGTTATTAAATGTATTACACGTTCCTGCACGTCTTATGCATTTCTCTGAATTGTATTGTACATGATGATAAAGGGCAACAATTTAGCAAAAATTATGTTCCCAAATATTAAATTCGAAGTAAACAATAAACATTTATTGCGCATGAAATAATTACAGAGTCATCTTTGTGAATTATTTTTATTATTCTGTTCCCAAAATTGTCTGTTTTTCGCTTTCTCTTCCGCTCTTTTGATTCGTTTCTCTTTCCGGCTTTCGCTCCGCAAAGCAAAATATTGTTCCCGAAAGTCAGTCAGATTTGTAGAATTCGTTTCGTCGGATTCCTGAAAGAGAAAAATAGAAATTTGAACAGAATTATTTTTTATGTAATATTATGCACAAGGAAAGGTCTCGGGCTCGTCAATAATGACCCTCGTAACTCTTTGGGGCACGCTGGGATTAATCCCACTTTTTTGTTGCACCGTAATGCATGATGGGACATTTTTAGCCCAACTTCGAAATATTGCAGTAGCTGCATGCGCGCGCATACGTTCATATTTCGTCTTATTTACGTAAAGCAGTTGGTAATATCTTCAACAAATGCCAATACAGGTTCATCAATTGTTGCAAGCGGAAGGTTTATTGCGACAATCTCTTTTAATGTTTTTACAGTATACCTTTATTAATAAAAATATACCAATTTTGTTTAATTCAAAACGCAATAAAATTTCCATGCAACATGGGTCTATTCTATTATTTGAAATGCTGTACCGCAAAGAGTTATCAAAGACTGTTACCATAAACCGGAGACTTTCCGTATATAAATAGTTATTTCGACCGAACGACGTTTTTCCGAGAATCACGAAAACGATAATAGCTTGTTTATTTCATATTTGTGTAGTAATGTACCATTCTTCCACGAGAGGGCACAACGTGTTATATCCCCACTCCTGTTGCTGTTTGGCTGTCACCGTTTTCGACCAATAGCGAGTCAGTGGTCTGCAACAGGAGTGGGGATGTAAACACGCTGTAGCTTTTCTCGTGGAAGGACGATATGTTCGTTCGTACCTTTGGATCTTTTATTTTCCTATAAGTTAATAATCTGCGACTAGTATAATTGCTAAGTACTTGCTCCGAGTTCGCAATAAGTTCCAAACACGGATGTGTTGGTAATTGGTTATCCGAGTACTGGTCTCTGAAATTATTTTGTGTAAAACTGCATGTGAATATTGTGTAGGAAAGTCTGATAAATACAGTGAAACTTCGATTTAACGAACCAATTGGAAAAGAGGGATTAAATAAAAACTTTGGGATGTATCGACCTTCCACGAGAAGAAGGCACAGCGTGTTTACATCCCCACTCTTGCTGCTGTCCGCTGATTGGCTGACTTTGTCACCGTTTTCGACCAATGCCTGTGAGTCAGCTGACTGCAACAGGAGTGGGGATGTAAACACTGCCTTCTTCTCATAGAAGAATGGTACCAACATTGTAGAATTCTGTTCGTAAAATCGAGGTTTCTCTGCTCTGTTAATGCAATTTACCTAAACAGAGGAAACCAACACACTAGTCTCCTGTTCATTTTAAGATGTTTCGCAGAGAAACTTAAGAGATCTTTGTAGATCTCAGGTAAACCGTAATCAATTTTAGAAGGTATGTGAGACGATGCTTGATGTTCCTCTATCACTGGGTTTACTTTAGTTGTGCCTATCTTTTCTGTTGCTTCTCTTATACCGTAAGGAGCTGTAAGAAATAGCTGAGTAAATAGTCGTATCAATTATAACAGAAGTAATTTAATAAGGAAAACTATACTTACGATCAGTAATTATAGCATCTACACACATATCCGAACGCCATAAAGGAACAGAAAAATCTGATACGACTATATCAATATAATAAGAACTCTTTCCATATTGATTCATATTCGCAGCAACGCTCTCATCCTTTTCCCTGATCTAACAATTATTTTGATAAAAGTTGTGCAGCAACAACATGAAAGAATAAATTATTACCTTTTGCGTTATTCGCGTAGGCCTTGTGCGTCCATGAAGCATTAAAAAATCTATATCCGTGCCCAATGTGTGTCCTCCAAAGTGAGATGCAGCGATTAGTAAAGATCCAGTACCAACAAAAGGATCGAGAACAATATCTCCTTTTTGAACTTGAGCCTGATTCGCCATTATTAATGACAATTGAGGATCCATAGATGTATTACCTATAAATTTCCTATTTTTCAATGATAACTTCTGAATTAAATCTCGTTGTCCACTTGTAATCTAAAAATACATAGATATTTTAGGTACGAACATGGATGCAACTGATCGCTATAACGTTACGATAAAAAATTAGTTACCCATCGTCCAAAAAAGTGTTCGTAAGGTGTATCAGGAATGTTATTTGGTTCCAGCCCATAAAATTCTACGTAAAATAAAGTTGTATCTGGATTATTCAATTTCACTGGCCCTTCCAAGGGTAAGTAACTGAAAGACTTTAATAACACGTTAGATATTTCATAGAATTTACCATGATATGGTCAATATTTTTATTCGTTTACTCACTTCAATTTTATTCACTTTTTCACGTTGTGAAAAGTGTTTACAAAATGTTTCGACTATTACTTTAAACGATTTCTGTGGTCCTGCATATTTTTTAATTTCAGCAATCGGGTAAGATTTCAGCTTGTCGTGTAAATCATCGTCTTTTTTACTATTTGCCCATAGTTCCATACAAAATCGAATACAGACAGCTCTACTTGCTATTTTATGCGCAATAGTTTCCGAGGGTAAATTAATAATCCAATAAGGCTGAAATGAGAATTACGACATAAATAATTTGAACGAGTGCAAAGAATGTTTAACGCCACCATTGTTAATAGAATTTTTAATCGTAATTGCTGTTAACACTGTGACTGCCACGTCGGTCACTGGCGACCGGAGCGCTTGAACTTACAATTGTAAGAATTAAATGAAAATTGACACTCAGTGCATTTTGAACGTAATCGCTAATTAGAAGATACTTTGAGGTGCCATTAGATCATCGAAAATAAAAGATTAATTTCTATGAAATCTTGCATCTGGCGGTGCACATTCGTGGCATCCTAAAACATGTGATTTCTGCATGGCAGTCGAAGGGTTAATAGATTACGTAAAAAAAAAAACTTTTAGTAAAAGATATATATCTTCGATTCAAATTATTATATTTAAGAACGTTATAAATGTTTTTGCTCTTACATGTTCTTCCCAATTGGGATGGCAATCAATCTTAATGTTAAACATACTAAGAATGGATTTCATTTCCTAAACAGAAAAAAAAGAATGCAATAACGAGCTATTCGAGAAACAGAAAGTTAAACAAACGCTATCACTTACGTTCGCACGAAAATCAACGTGCTCGTGAGCGAACCAGAAAAGATATTTTTTCCATTGTCTGTTCATTGTCAGTGGTTATTATCTATCTTAACAACTTCAATCGAACGATATTATTCAGATACATTAATAAAATTACAATTCGATACACAAATGTTCATTCAAAACGATCTCGTGTATACCGACACAATATTGACATGTGTCACATTAAGTATTAAAAAATTCGTATTCTTAACCCCTTGCACTGTTTTCACGAGTCTGACTCGTGATGAAAATTTTAGGTAAAACTCGAATATCACGAGTCAGGCTCGTTGTTTAATTTCATGTAAAACGTGAATAAGACCGTTTCGTTTACATTGAGAAAATGTGAACGATTTTCGGATAGTCGCAGTGACGGACTTTCGTGAGATTTTTCCCTCGCGGGATTCCTTTCTGCGCATGCGTAAGCTGACGTCACAGTTGCATGTCGTCCGCTAGCATAGATGTATCTTGAGCGCGAGAGGAGGTGCATGTAGGGGGCCTGTTGGGAATTCCAACATTTTTAGTTTTAAGTTTAAAACATATGAAATTAATTTGATTTAAATTTATTCAGTTAATATTAATAAAGTATACGTTTCCAGTATATAATTTTATATATTTCCGTGTTTCACGTTCATTTTTACGCGCAATAGTTTTGTTCGAATACTGGTAAGGTTTTCTGCAGTTTTGGCTGCACACGTAAAAACTAAATAAGTAATGAATTGTTTTTCACTTTTTATTGTACATTCATGCTGTTTTCCTTCATAAAAACTTTGCTCTTTCCCTGTAACTTAAATTTTGTTCCTTACTGGGATCCAACGGTACCCTAAATTCTAGTTAAGTGTATACGGCAGTGAGAACTGTAGCGCTTGCTCCAGTGCGCATGATCAGGAAAATCTCACGAAAGTCCATCACTGACTCTGACTCGTAATCGACATTTCGGGCCAAGCATGAATATCACGAGTCGAACTCGTAAATATCGATATTTCGTCGATCGACATATCGTGTTTCAAGTTCCGACATTCGGCGATTCGGTTTCTTTTCCAATCATTCGGGTGTATGAGTTAGGCACGGGCTTCTTCCGAGTTTCAGCGTAGCGCAAGGGGTTAATTTCTATTAAATTCAAACTCATATATGAAACTTTGGTTTCCGAATTATAAATTATTATCCATTGGATGAATTACATTATGAATCGTCGTACACATCTCTATACAAATGCACAGGTTACGATACATCAAATAATACAAAATCAGCGATTCACAATGTAACCAACACCCTGACACTGATGGCTGACGGCTGCTATTCACAGCACGTTACGATATTTACGATACGCATGCTTATTGGAAGCCATAGATAAATAAAATATAGTGAGCCATTTATTATTGCAGAATTATACCATAGCATCATTATCATTCTTCTTTGAAATCGTACGAAATTAAAAATGTTAAACCGTTCACTTTTATTTGTCAATATTGATAAAGTATTAAATTATTCATATTAATTTACTGTTTTTGTCATCGATTAATGAAACGTCGATCAAATTGCAACAATTTTAATATGCTGCATCTACAGTGCATTATGCTGCATTATTCGTGTAAAATGTTGAAAGTGTAAATATTCTGATGTTGGAAATAGCATAGACAATTGATTAAGATCTAATGTAACATAAATAATAGGGGAAACATAAGAATACCAAAAATGAATCGATTAACAAAATACACGTGGATAATTACAGATTATACGTAAAATTTGTCGAAAAATTAAATAGACAAAAAATCATAGGAAAAGTGTATAAAGAAAGGATGTGAAATCAGAAGAGAACGCGAGGATGTAAAAATGGACATTAGTTGATGAACATGGTTCTAAAACAGAGTTTAACGAGAGAATAACGTGAAAAACGGTAATCCTGAAATTGTTTAAAGCAGTCGGTAAAGAGGGAAACATTTAGCTCGTGACCGACAGGATCTTCAGGATCGCTGGTAATACGATAGTATCCGAGGGGGGCGCCATGTTCGTAGCGAGACTTCTTGTTGTTCTCATTCTAAGGTGGAATACCACTCGTCACTGTTTTCTGTTGTGTTTTTAGGCTGGAATCAGACGAAAAACATGCCGTTTCGATAATCGAATGAGAAACAAAAAAAACTCTTAGGGAGAGTTGTTGTATTCAGGTTCGAGGAAGGTGCTGTATTACGGGGGTGTGTGAATGGTGCAGGTGTAATTTAATAAGAGCAGGGGAGGCTGGCGATTTAATAGGATATTGATTTGTCCGCGACTGCCTTGCTGGCTCCATCGCACACACGAACCAGGTAGCCATGAACGTCGATATTTTTGGGGCACTGGCTGGTGCAACGTGTCGGCTGTACATATGCCATGCTCTAACGTGCTTGCTGGCCTGATAGGGCCCGAAATGCAAACAGCCACTGGCGATATGTATTAATGATACGAGGCGAATTACGGGTCACGACGACGACTACGGCCAGTACGATTGCAACGACCATCACGACGGCGACCACGACGGCAGCGGCGACGACAACGCCGACAACGACGGCGAAGACGGTGACGACGGCCACGAACACGATCACGACCACGACCACGACCACGACCACGACCACGACCACAACTGATACGTTACGGGTGACGGCGGCGGCGGCGGCGGCGACGTCGGCGAAAACGACAGCAACGGTAGTAACATCAAAGACGTGTTCATTAGAAAAAAAAAAAGTGGTATTGTTGTTGCACAGTGTGTATTTTACAGAGTTTCATTACATTGGCTGTGTTTAATGTAGTTGTTAGAATGTTAAATGCGTAATCAAGATATCTGAGACACAATGGATCTTACAAACAACGGAGCATCAGGGGGTGCAGTGGCTTGTCCGGTGTGTACCCTCTATTTACGGGAGGGGATCAGCCTGCAAAGACATTTGGACACGCATCCGAAGGAGCAAGTCATTGAGGCGCTTATCAAAGCTAGTAGTAATTCTTCGCCATTGCAACAGACACAGGCGTCACCAGCCGCGCCTCCTGCGTCCCCGTCTGTACAGACGCAGCAGAGCACACCTCCAGTCACGCAAAATACTCATCTTTCGACTCAGTCTCCGTATCCTATTGGACCCATTTTCGAGTGTCCGCCGATCGGTACTATGATGCCGCCTCAGTTCGCTTCGTTTAGTTATCAACAATTTGTAAATAATGGCACTATGATGATACCGCAATATGCAATGGCTCCGCAAGCTAATCAAATGATGCAGATGCTGTATAATCCATACGGTATGTACCAGCAGCAACAGATACCAACCGTTCAGATGATATCGCCGGTTACAGCTATACCTAATACAGCTAGAGTCAGACCGGTAGGGACTATGGCTGGCGAAACGAATGGTAGAACTGCCATTGCTGTACCTGTAAATAATTCCGAGCCAAAACAAATCTTACCTGAAATTTTACCCGAATCGGAACAAGAATCTGAACAAGTGTTGCCGGATATCAATCTTCCAGTTTCTCCTTCATCGTTGGACGAAGGCAATACTATGCAGCAAAATGAAAGTGAAACTAGTACAATTCAAATAGAACACGAAGAACAAGAATCCCGTAACCCAACCAGCGAAGAACAGCATAGTATACAAAATGAATACAATAGCATTCCAAGAGCATTGGCAATTGCTTGTAATGTTAATGATAGTATGGAAGATAAAGTAGAGAGCGTACTGCCAGATATCGACAATGATGAGTCGTTGCATGCTGTTACTGCGGATGTGCAGTGTAAATCAATTCATTACGAATCGTCGGTTGTACAAGAATATGTGCATAGATACGAAGATAAAGATGATAATAATAAAGTTGTAATGCCTGAAGAATCGTTTATGATAACAAAGAATGAAACCGTAGAAACAACTATTGAAAAAGTTCCTTGCAATGAGAAATTAAATGAGAATGGAGGCACCCCGCCTCAAATGCCTGTAGGAGGTGCAGCAAAAGAATCGGCTCAACCTGAAGTAGAACAATTAGAACGTCTTTTAATCACTATTATGGAATCTGAATTTAGTAACGAATCGCGTAAAGAATCCAATGTCGAAGATAATCAGGAAAAGAATGTATGCACAAAACAGAGTCCTTCCACGGAAAGAGCAGAAAGCGTGATTCACGAAACAGTAATCAGTAATTCCAGCGAACAAGAGAATTGTAAGTCCCCTATAGAAATAAAATTGAACGAAAGTTCAGACACCGATGTAGATAGCAATGAAAATAAGAGTCCTCGTCTTTTGTACCATTATAAGAACAGTTTATCTGCACCTCCGTCGCCTGCTGTTCTTAGAAAACCCCATAGAACCTATTCTGTTCATTCGGAGTATGGTTCAAATGAAAATCTCAATTCATACTCGATTGGTTTTGATTCAAATTCGATGCAAGACGAAGAAGACGACGAGGATGAAAAACATGAGATAGAAGAGAACGAAGATGAGAAAAATGAAACGGAAGACAATTTTGACGAAGCAGATATGGAAATAGAAGAAATACCTAGCCCCCACACACCTTTTAATAAATATGGTAAAAGTGCGGACTCTGTTAGATCGCATACTCCATTATCTGTATGTAGCGGTATTTCTGTATTAAGAGTTAGAAAGGATCTCAGTAAACCGTGCTCGCCTGCTTCTGTACATTCATTTTGTCACATGGATGCCGTCATGAGCCACGACGAAGAAAGTAACACAGCAATGGATGCATCGTCTGAGAAAGACCCTATCGATTGCTCTTTGATCGAACGAGATATAAAAACAGATCAGTCGGAGCTTTCAGTGTGTGAAAATGTTGAGAATAAAATTGAGGGGAATTCAGCATATCAATCCGTAATCACTGAGCACGTAAGCTCGTTTCCTACAATTCACTCGCAACAATCAACGTCGGTACACGAATCATATACTAGTACACCAAATAAAAATCATAATCTCGTTAATCTGTCAGAATCTATCGATGTTGCAAGTAGTTCTGACTCGAAGAGTTTCCATTCTTCAAAATCAATCATACAAAAGCAATCGGTGGAACTCCTTAGTTTAAACGAAGATGCTCATGCAGGTCCAATGAATGTTTTTGAATTTGATGGGCTTCAAATCTTAGTTCCTAGTACATTTATAAGTGATTCGTCACAGAAAGCTGTTAGTGCAACCAGTCAACAATCTATGGCAAGTAGCGAAGGTGGAGTAGGTATAGACGAAGAAGTCAAAAGCATTAACATGAGGGCTGACGAGACTATGCCACCTAGAGGTGAACTATCGGAACAGGAAAGCAATGGATGTACAGAGCAGTCTGCTTGGCAGGTGTGTAAAATTAGATCCTTAATTACTATTGTTTATTTTAATGTTAGACGTATCTAAAGTTTTATCAATTTTAGTTTCTTCAGTTACGAGTCCCATTTTAATCGTACACAAAGTTTGAATAATTTTTCTGTAACGCTGTAATCTTTATGCATTATATTGAGAAATGTATTTTATGTATGTAGCTATATACTGGTCAAGAGTCATCGCGCATGTCAACCTCTTACGACTTGATGGCACGTGAGAGTTGGGAAGAATCGGAAGGATCAGACAATGAAATTGGTGGTCCACTCTTAGACAGCAGGTCTTTAGCTACACATTTTACATCAAGTTTATTCCTAGATCGAGATAGAAAGACTCCGACGAAAAGAACATTCAAGTGTTATCATTGTCCAGAAATATTTGATTGCCCAAAAGAACGCAGAGTACACAGCACTACTACGCACAAAGAAGCTGGTCCGAGTAGTAGCAGAGATCCAGTAGATGAGCCCGAAGTAAAGGACATCAAGCTACTGGATGGCCGCATGAATGCTTTCGATGATATTTTTATACCAGGTATACACATGCAACAAGTTTATCATCAGCAACCGCTGTTACACCAGCTCCAACCACCGCAATCGTCGGATTTAACTGCAAAAGTGGAACCAGATCAGAAGATCGAGACTCTGGTAATACCATCCAACATCGAGGTGATTTGCACTTTGTGCAATCAGCAATTCAGCAGCGAAAAAGCGATGCAGTTACATCACAGAAGAGCGCATATTACTGAAACAGCGAAACGAATTCGCGAGAGTACCAAGTGCCAGATATGCCAGGAGGAGTTTCCCTCCGTTCTGTTGTTCAATGGCCATTTGAAGATACACCCGTTAGAATGTAGCCAGTGTGGGAAGTATTTTTATAGGAAACAAAATTTCAAGCTACACATGAAACGACATTTAGGAATCAAACCATTTCCATGTACCGTTTGCGACAAAGCATTTCTAACGAAACAGAAACTGGACGAGCACACCAACGGCCATACTGGGAATGCGCCCGTCAAGTGTAATCTGTGCAACGAGACGTTTCGCAGATATTCGAATCTGACCCAGCACAAAAACAGACACCATCTGAACATAAAAAAGAAACTGAAGGATTACATATGCCACTGCGGCGAGGTGTTCCACACGAAGAAGAAACTGGCCTGGCATAAAGAGACGCACGACGAGAAACCAAAAGCGTGTACATATTGTAACGAAAGATTCATTCACATGGCCAGCCTAACGCGGCACATGCGCCGTGCTCACAACAGAAGATTCGTTCCGGACGCTCAGAGGGAGAGCGAGAACGTTGAGTGTCCCATATGTAAGTGTATTTATTTGCGATCTTCCTTAGCAGTACATATGCGAGTACATAACGGCGAGAGACCGTATGAATGTCAAGTTTGTTCTAAGGCATTTAGTACTAAGTGGAACTTACAATTGCACAAATGGACCCACGCTGCCCGTAGCACGAAACCTTTCAAGTGTAATCAGTGTAGTGCCGCATTTTATCGGCACAGCGACTATACAGCTCACATGAATTCTCATAGAAACGTGCGCCCATACACCTGTAACTACTGCGGGGCTCAGTTCATACGAAAGTATAATTGTTTAAGGCACGTAAAAGAGCACGAGGAGAACAAAGCGTACACGTGCAACGTTTGTAACAAAACTTTTCATAGATCGTATTATCTGAAGGAGCACCTGCGTGTACATTCGGGCGCAAGACCTTACACGTGCCACATCTGCGGGAAGTCCAGCGGCACGAAATCCAATCACAACAAACATGTTAGGATCCATCACGCGCGGGAGCCTGTAAATACTGAAAATTAAAAACCGAACGAGAATTTTTATCCGTTTAGTCAATAATCGAATGCTTTTAAAACTATTAACGATATTTTACCTTAACTTTTTACCCCGTTTCGGCCGAAGGAAATGATAATTTAGCACAAAAGAAAAAATTACGACGAAATAAGTAAATTTAATCATCCTAACGTAGACGTATTACATTCTTCTTTTTTAAAATTCTCGTTCGTTTTATATTTTATTATTTACCAGATATTTTAACACAGACATTTTAAACTTTAGTTCGTGGCTGGTGTCACCAGTTTGATTTGTCTTATCTGCAAAAAAAATGGACGACTTTGCGTTATGTACTGTGCATTGAAATTCGTGAATTTTCGTCATATAGTCTGCTAAAATGACTCGAGACTGTAACTACTTAAAGATAATAAGAAATTTTTAAACAAATATTAACTGATACATGTTGTCTGGAGATCCGAGTAACTTCCATTACGGAAGTCTATACGACGAGATGCTTTTGCCAACTTACACTAATTAACTATTAGGTAATAATAACTAACTGATCGATATTATGAAAAATTATTAAGCACTTTCTATGCGTTGATCGTTGTACGAAAATTTTTTTACAACAACCGTTTTACACAAGACGTGCGTATAAGATTATGTGTTCGCATTGAACTTAAAAACGCATTTTACGTGCCCTATCGATGATTAGCGTTATTAATTATCGCAAGGTAGTTACGGATCTTAGTTATTATTCTTCTATATTTATATATTTTGCAAGATATAATGATTTTTATTGCTAATTGTAATTCCAAGACTGATCGATGTTGGTTCTTCATATTGCTCTGCGATCTTAATCTTAGTGCATGAAACGTATACTTGTGGCACGATTATTAATAATAAGGGGCACTCGTATACGCGAAATTTTAAACGACGTTTCGAGTTTAATCGTGCTCTGGCAAGTATCTTCATAGTTGACTGTTTTATATTTAAATATTAGCCAATTTGTTGTTATTAAATTTTACGGGAACAATGTCGAACGATGGAAGCTCTAAACTATTATGTGTAACTCAGATTTATTTGTACCGTATCGAGGACGCGTTGTTGTTATTAAATATTCACGAATCGTACGAATTACTTTGCATGAAATTTTTTAAATCGATTAAACTATTTTTACATTGTACATTGAGTTTTTCTGTATTAATAGTTATTTTACAAATCGTATGATTTATTATGTAAGATTGTTGGTTTCTGTTTTTAAAAAAGAGAAACCGCGGGTTTTGTTATAGGAAATGTAGTGACTTTTTGATAGCGTCAACTGTTAATCGAAGCTTATTTATATAAATGACCAACATCGACGTCCAAATGTGCAATCGTTTAGTTAAACACGTGCATTTCTACCGAATGCAAAATTGTAGATAATGTAAATATGTATATCAGTTTTATTTTATAACAGGGCCAACGAATTCGGTTGGCAAATTAATAATTGTCTAAAAGCGACTCGTACTCTTATGAGAATAAAAATAGGATAATTATTACCATAAAAAGAAACTATAAATCAGCAACATGTGTATACCTTAATAAAAATTATGTATTGAGGTACTTTTTTAAATAAGTTTTTCTTTGCATTTTTATTTGCAAGCACCGTTGTCGTATTCGATCCCGTATTTTTAAATTCAGGATGTAACGAAATATTTTACATAAAAATAATAAAGCGAGCATGAAGAATGTGGATGTATGAATATACAAACGAGCTAAAGTTTCTAAAAAAAGTTTTTTGTTTTTAGTTACTCTAAATAAAAGAAATTGTATCCATTATGAAGTTAAGAAACATCTATCATTTATGAAGTATCGTCCTTCCACGAGAAGAAGGCACTGTGTTTACATCCCAACTCCTGTTGCTGTCAGCTGACGATTGGTCGAAAACGGTGACGTAGATCGGTGACAGCCAATCAGCTGACTGCAACAGGAGTGGGGATGTAATCACGCTGTGCCTTTTTCTCGTGGAAGAATGGTACATACAGGATGTTCGGCTACCACTGGGAAAAATTTTAATGAGGGATTCTAGAGGCCAAAATAAGATGAAAATCAAGAATACCAATTTGTCGATGGAGGCTTTGTTAAAAAGTTATTAACGTTTAAAGTTCCGCTCGTACTGAATTTTTTTCTCGAAAATGCGCAAGATTTCGGAGATATATCTGTTCAACAAAAATTATTGTAATTGATCCCCGTAACCGAAAATAATTTTTCCAAAACAATTTGAAATTTTCTTTTTCCGTCGAAAAATTTCACACTTCGAATATTTTTCTAGAAAGTGGGTAGGATTTCGGAGATATGTCTATTCACCAAAAATTATTGCAATTGTCCCTTAAAACCGAAAATAATTTTTTTAGAACGATTTGAAATTTTTTGTTCGTCGAAAAATTTAGGCACTTAGATTTTCAGTAAGGATTTTTTTTCTCGAAAGTGCGTGGAATTTCGGGGGTATGTGAAATGACAAAAACTGATTGTAATTGATCCCCGCAAACGAAAATAATTTTTCCAGAACTATTTGAAATTTTTGTTTTTCATCGAAAAATTTCAGCGTCTTCTGAATTTTTTTCTAGAAAGTGCGTAGAATTTCGGGGGTATGTCTATTCACCAAAAATTATTGCAATTGTCCCTTAAAACCGAAAATAATTTTTTTAGAACGATTTGAAATTTTTTGTTTGTCGAAAAATTTAGGCACTTAGATTTTCAGTGAGGATTTTTTTTCTCGAAAGTGCGTAGAATTTCGGGGGTATGTGAAATGACAAAAAATGATTGTAATTGACCCCCGCAAACGAAAATAATTTTTCCAGAACTATTTGAAATTTTTGTTTTTCATCGAAAAATTTCAGCGTCTTCTGAATTTTTTTCTAGAAAGTGGGTAGGATTTCGGAGATATGTCTATTCACCAAAAATTATTGCAATTGTCCCTTAAAACCGAAAATAATTTTTTTAGAACGATTTGAAATTTTTTGTTCGTCGAAAAATTTAGGCACTTAGATTTTCAGTAAGGATTTTTTTTCTCGAAAGTGCGTGGAATTTCGGGGGTATGTGAAATGACAAAAAATGATTGTAATTGATCCCCGCAAACGAAAATAATTTTTCCAGAACTATTTGAAATTTTTGTTTTTTATCGAAAAGTTTCAGCGTCTTCTGAATTTTTTTCTAGAAAGTGGGTAGGATTTCGGAGATATGTCTATTCACCAAAAATTATTGCAATTGTCCCTTAAAACCGAAAATAATTTTTTTAGAACGATTTGAAATTTTTTGTTCGTCGAAAAATTTAGGCACTTAGATTTTCAGTAAGGATTTTTTTTCTCGAAAGTGCGTGGAATTTCGGGGGTATGTGAAATGACAAAAAATGATTGTAATTGATCCCCGCAAACGAAAATAATTTTTCCAGAACTATTTGAAATTTTTGTTTTTCATCGAAAAATTTCAACGTCTTCTGAATTTTTTTCTCGAAAGTGCGTAGAATTTCGGGTGTATGCATACTGATAAAAAATGATTGTGATTGACCTCCACAATCAAAAATAATTTTTTCAGAATTATTTGAAACTTTTCAATTTCGCCGAAAAATTTCAACATCTACCACCTGTCGATTTTTCTTGAATATTCGTCTTTGATTTTTAATAAATTTATTTGTCACTTTACGAAAATGTTTTTTAATACTTGTTTGTAGGCCCCCATTGTAGGTAGCTCTACTCCCCCTTAAAATTTCATTTAAATATATTCACTATTGTAGGAGTTATGATCATTTGAAAATTGGGCCATTTTTATGGGGTTTTTCTTACTTTAGAGGCTTAAAAAACAACTTTTCGAATATTCTTAGAATTTTAAAATATTCTTCATCAAAATACGCGTTGTTTGCATTTTGAAACATTAAAATCCTCGAATTAGTTTAGAAGTTATGGCCTTTTAAAGATACTGGAGAGACATTTATGGCCTGAAATTATATTTTCGATAAAAAATTTTTTTCTCGAATATGCGTAGGATTTTGGGGGTATGTCTATTCACCAGAAATAATTGTAATTGACCCCCACAACCGAAAATAATTTTTTCAAAACAATTTGGAAATTTTTTTTTCGCCGAAAATTTTCAGCATCTTCTCGAATTTTTTTCTCGAAAGTGGATAGGATTTTGGAGGTATGTGTATTCACCAAAAATAATTGTAATTGACCCCCGCAACTGAAAATAATTTTTCTAGAACGATTTGAAATTTCTGAATTTAATTGTTAATAACTTTTTAAGGAAGCCTCCATCAACAAACTGGTATTCTTGATTTTCGTCTTATTTTGGCCTCTAGAATCCTCCATTAAAATTTTTCCCTGGGGTGGCCGAACACCCTGTATATAAACGAGCTAAAGTTTCTAAAAAGGTTTTTTGTTTTTAGTTACTCTAAATAAAACAAATTGTATACATTATGAAGTAAAGAAACATCAATCATTTATGAAGTATCGTCCTTCCACGAGAAGAAGGCACAATGTTTACATCCCCACTCCTATTGCTGTCAGCTGGCTCACTATTGGTCGAAAACGGTGACGAAGATCGGTGACAGCCAATCAGCGGACTGCAACAGGAGTGGGGATGTAAACACCTTCTTCTTCTCGTGGAAGGACGAAGATATTTGATCTTTCATTATATAAAATAGACGGATAAAAAAGTATAATTATTTTATAAGTAAGAGAAATTTATTTAAATTCGAATACACATTTACATCACATGGTCATTCAACAGTTTACAAATTACTTGCAATCATGTAAACCAAGTATTTTCCAATTATCGGACTAATTTTTCTAAAAATTCAATTGTTCCGGAACTAAATTTTAAAATGTGTGATTTAAAAAACGTTTTGTCTATAATAGAATCACTGTATCACACAATAACACTTGGTATGTGTTTAATAGAAAGTAACTTTTTTAGGTTTCAAACACCAGTTTAGCGGAAATTGATAAACACAATACTATTTTTAATTTGTTTATTATTTTAATATAAAAAAGAAGAATTCGAAATTTTTATTTCACAATTTGTATACACGCATACGTGATAGACCGCAAAATTCCCTTCGCAAGCTGCTCAATTATATAAACGTTTACAAAATAAAGACACCTTGTATTTAAAAAAAAAACTTCGAAAATTTTTGTGGTCTTCATAATACTGATTTTTACTTTTTATCGGTGCGTCTCAAATTCGACCATACAAAAGTAGAAACCAGCAAATTAACTTTCAAATTTCGTATTGCAAGTTGCTCGAGCCGGCCACTTTTAATTTAAATAATAATTAAACTCACGAAATATATAAATCAATATAATTTCTAAATTGAGTTTAAATTTTAATTGCTATAAAGAATATTGGGAGGGGGCAACATCAACGTTTTTTGCGAGATTTTGATGGGCGAGTGTTTTTTTTAACGGTGCCGGAAGTTTCCGGGATCAATATACGACCCGACGCGATTTCCTCCCTCAATTCTGAACTTTCGATTTTCTTTTGAGCGTCAAGATAAAACATTAAATCTTGAACCTGTTCCTTCAGATCTGCAACTTCCGTTTGCTTCGCGTTTTGACATTCCGTCATTTCATTCTGCAGCGTTTTGTACTTGTCTTGCCAAGAGATTTGATTCAATTCTAATGCCTTTCTTAGTTCCTTTTCTTCGGTTAATTCCACCTGAACTTGCACCAACTTATTACTAACTTGCTGTAGTCGTTTATCAACGCTTTGCTTTTCACGACTCAGTGTCGTTAACTTTTCCTGAAATCGAAAAAATTAAATTGTTAAATATTTAAAAAAAGTACGATTTCCATTTTTAAATATATTGTTACCTTAACTTTGGCATTTTCTTCCGATATTTGACTCAGCTTATCTCTAAGCTCTGTGGTTTGTACAACAGAATGTTGCTCTAATCGTACCAATCTCTCTTCGAAATACTGCCTTTGTGTTTCTAATTGTGACGTTAGAAGATAAATAAATTCCAACTGTACGGAATCTACTTTCTCTTCCATCGCAGCACCCTCGATCTTGGTCGCTGTAGGTCCCCCTTCGACCATTTTCCCATCTTTGTTTTGTAACAATCGGTGAACAAAATTATCTCCAACGTAATCCCATACTCTATTGTTGCCTAATTGCATGGCGTAACAGTGGTGTGTCTCGCGATAATGTTGGAAAGCGTGCCCTTGGTGATACCGCGAGCAACCTATATGCCCACATATCAAGCAGATCCATAAAGCATCGTTGCTCTCTCCGCTATCTGAAAAATATTTTTACACTTATCATTCTTCATTTGTCTTTCTTACGTAGCAAGCGAAATGAAGAAAGCATTTATCTTTTACGTACTACATTCCATACAATAACTATCTGCAATTGGCTCTGGTGTTTGAGCATATCTACAAACTGGACACGAAGTATCTCCCCACTTGGCCAAGCAACTTGCATGAAACGTGTGATTGCACAGAATCGTTAAAATTCCATCCACGCTTTCATCCATTCTTTCTAAACAAACTGGACAAAGTGGTAATTCTGTATGCCCCGATAAAGGCATAGTATTATATGTTACTTCTACGCTGTACACAAACACCATGTGACATATAACATCTGGCTCAAAGGAATTGTACGGAGTACCATTAAAAGAACCATAAAACTCTGTCGCTGCATTCTGAAATGTTATACAAAATATAGCATTCTGATAATCGTAAATATATGTTGATTCAAAATATTAACAAATTATATTTACCGCAGATTTGAAGGTAATCAACGCCATGTATTGATTAGGACTGCCGTCTTTAAGTATCCTGAAATGCCGAACATCTTGATGGCAAGGCGCCGTAAACCTTAGAAGATCGTGACAGGTCATCGTAGCTGGGACTGCAAGAATGCAGATAGTTTGGGTACGTTCCGCCGCATGACGTATGTCTGTTAATTTGCTAGAAAATAATTAATAGCATCGTGTGTTTATGAAGTAATTAACAATTACTAGTAATCTGTAATGTTACGAGAAAAATATGCACACTTTTCTTTATACAAATGTATAATTCCTTTAGTCACTTCGACGAATGGGTTTCCGGAGATGAAATTTATTTGATCGCAGGCGCACGCACTTGCACCGGCGATCTCTGAATTATCATAAGTAGCTTCCTCGGAGTTGGCTCTAGAGGTAGAGCCGGATGTGCTAGTTCCCTGAGAAGGAAGCGATAAGTCTGGCTTCTCCGTGAGACTTGTGCAATTCTCCATATTTATCTTTGTCGGTTCTCTGCAACCCCTCATCTTGGCAGCCATTGCGCCTGGATTATGAAATCCGTTGCGAATTAATTGCGATGCAAACAAGGTATAAGGTATAGAAATAAAGTTTTTAAAGACATTGGATGTTTAATAATACAAAAACGAAGAATAAAAATATGCTTGCAATATAAATGTGTAATTAAAATTGCATGTGATCTCGTAAAAAAAGAATGGTTATATAGAAACGATAACAATGTTATGGTAAAGAAAAAACATAACCTTAAAGAAAATTGTAAACAAAAGCACTAATTGAAACGGTTCGTTGTGAAAATAAATGGATCGCAAGTTGAGCATTGTAAACAAAATTTCTAGTTATCGCTCTAATGGAAAATAGGGAAAAATATTTACCATTCGATTCTTCAGAATTCTCGTCAATAATCTCAACGCGAATAACGCAGAGAGATACCAAAATAGGAGAGGAACTCATCCCATGAAATAATACATATCGCGCAATATTACAAACAAATTTTTCATTGTGCTCATTATTGTTAAGTACTTGTTCGCACTTTAAGCGATCTTCATGATCGACTGGCAAAGATCTCGCGTAACGTCGCGCTTCCTGATCAGCAAGAATTTATTTTTCACTCGTCGTTTTCCATTTTTGATTTTTACTAACGAACTGCAGATCAATCACATTCTGATCACTGGAAGTTACAGTCACAATAAACCGTCACAGTTGCAATGACACAGAGATGCCAGAAAAGCACCGCCGGGTGCACACGCACACATGCCAGATACGCGTACGTGAGCTCGTGGAGTTTCGGAAAGTCGACAAAGGCAAACTGACGCATGCCCTCTTTCTCGATTCTCCGAAGCTGCCCGAAGTAATTTCGGATCGCCTCGTGGGAGTCGAGAGAGCAAGGCTCACATTTGCCTTCTCGCTCTAAACAACTGAAATCCGACCTCCCGTCAACGGCATACGATTTGGATTCTCGACTGGCCAGGCATTTTTACTTTCCGACCTATGTAGGCGCACATAAGCAAAGTACCCATAATGAAAAAAAAATTTTGTAAAATTTATTTTACGGAAATACACGTTTTAAGACCTCCTGATCATATTTTAATTATTGAAAAAAAAGACATTTTTTTTTATTCCCATGTATGAGCACACATGTATATTATTAATACGATTGAATATAAATAGCTGAATGAATTTAAATGAAACTTTACATTTAAGTTTTATGTTCTCATTTCAAAGGCGTGTGGACGGATTCAAATACGTGAACACTAAACGTAACGATGTAATTATATTATTTAATATTTACTAACTATTTAACATAAAGAACATAAAAGAAAGACATAAAACGTAAACGTAAAAGATCATAAACGTAAAACTGTGATTGCTCTCGACTAACGTTCGATACAGAGTGACGTTCCTGCAGTCAAAGTCGACCCTTCCTTATTCCTATCTTATAATAATGATCTAAACAAAACGCACGTTCGAGACGCAGTCTCTAAAACGTATTTCAGCTTAAACCTAAACACCTCACTCGATACCTACTCTAGCTTAGACTAAACACTCCTATCGACGCAAACGATAACGGTTCTCCTAGCCACGCATACACTCCTTACAGATTATACCTCTTGTTTCATAGTTGTTCCGATATATAGGCATAATGTATAAAAAATCTTTTAAATGTTTCATATAAATCTTAGGACGAATTAAATTTTATATAAAAAAAATTATATAAACTTTTTCTCTATCTTCTCTAGAAAAGAAAACATTAAATGAAATCTTATACATTACATGCTTACTTAAATCGCATTGAAAACGAATACCACAAATGTTTTAGAATAATGTGCAAAATGTGATTGCGATTTTCGCTAAGACAAATTGAAAACTCGTTTCTAACAAGGAAAAGTTGGAATGGTACCAGGTTTTGGGTTAGGTTTTACTTTGAGATATTATTAAAGTTATTACAGGTACTTATTTTCAGAAATAGAACTATGTTCACCACTAGTTAACGTGTCGTGAGTGATGAGGTCTTTGCCTGCAAGTTCCGAACTTCTTCTGCTCTGCTGGTTCGAACCCTGCTTGAACTTTTTTTTTTTATTTTTTCAATCATACTTTAATCGTACACTAAATATGACATTATATTTTTGTCTGACCTTCGAATATTTTTTTTTAAAGTTAAATTTAACCGATTACATTTAACATATGTTATTTTCAATGTACGAAGTACATGAATCTGGATGGTACTTTTCACAAAAACAGTCAAAACATAAAAATTTCAAGCACCACGTACATTTACTGAAAGTTTTGTTTTCACAGAAATTACAAAATTTTGTATTTAACTCTGATGGAAAGGCCGCTTCATTTACATTGATAAAATGTGAACGATTTTCGGATAGTCGTACCTTGTAGCTCGTACTTTTTACCTTATACTTCAGGTAAAAAGGGATATAGCTGGGAAAAACAGTTTTATGACATTACCTGCTAACTTATGTTACTGTTCTACAATGAAACGCTATGTTTTGTACCTTTAAAAATATTCGACTATGTGCTTTTAAAATTTAAGATACAACCCATACTTTGTATTAAACTGGCAAACGGGATCACTTTTCCTTTGTTTCTAGTTAGTTCTATTTAGTTCGTCATAACCAATTGATACGGTTATTTCAAAACAATCGAGGAAAATCATTATTAATTAATTTCTGCAATTATTAATTCTACTGTTTTGTTTATGTTATAAAAGTAAGAACTCTTCTTATTGAAAAATACCACAGCGTGCACAATACTGGTAAAGAGTGGAATCTCATTTTAATTTATTAATTTTCAATCTTAAAGTATTTTGATTTTCAAAAATCGTATTAATAATATACATATGTGTGCTCATACATGGGAATAAAAAAAAATGTCTTTTTTTTCAATAATTAAAATATGATCAGGAGGTCTTAAAACGTGTATTTCCGTAAAATAAATTTTACAAAATTTTTTTTTCATTATGGGTACTTTGCTTATGTGCGCCTACATAGGTCGGAAAGTAAAAATGCCTGGCCAGTCGAGAATCCAAATCGTATGCCGTTGACGGGAGGTCGGATTTCAGTTGTTTAGAGCGAGAAGGCAAATGTGAGCCTTGCTCTCTCGACTCCCACGAGGCGATCCGAAATTACTTCGGGCAGCTTCGGAGAATCGAGAAAGAGGGCATGCGTCAGTTTGCCTTTGTCGACTTTCCGAAACTCCACGAGCTCACGTACGCGTATCTGGCATGTGTGCGTGTGCACCCGGCGGTGCTTTTCTGGCATCTCTGCGAATGACATAAATGACATTCACTTTCACAACCAGTGACGTCAGACGGAGCCCTAGGTGCACAAGTGTGCAGTCTTTCGTTATTGGTTAATAGCTATTTAACAACACATGGAATGGTTATAATAGTTATTCTTGAATATTGTCAGGAGCCTTCACTATAGAATTAAACTTTAAAAGTTCATAAATTAATCCCAGGGGAAGAGTAATTAGTAAATTATCGAGCAGTGATTTATTACAATGGCGGACGAATCTACCGCCATCTACGGCAGAACGCCCAAGCTCCGACGCTAGATGGCGACCCAAACACAATAGATCGAAAATGTTTCATTTACGCGTGATCTGGTGTAGTGTGTGGACGTGTTACGAAAAGCTCCCGGTACTCTGAGGACTCCCGGCATCACTGATGAGTGATGACTTGCCTCCTATCAACATCTGTGTAGTTTGTTGTGTGTCTTCGCCCCATAAGGAATTTCGGTCGGGAGTGATAGAAAACTGTCCACAATGAAGTTCATCGGTAAAACAGGGAAGCCACACCGCCAAAATAAGAAATTTCTCTGTCTCGAAGTTTGCAATTAGGATCCGCTTGAAAGTGTTTTCTAGTGCATTCGTAGTCATGCTTTTAAAAGTTTAATGATACTTGTGTTGCATCATTCAGGGACTTAAAACTGTTTGTAATGTGCACGAAGAAATAGAAACTTTTCAAGTAGATCCTACAGAAGTACCTAATTATTATTTTGCACTTCGTTATTTAAGAAAAATGTTTATTATATTTTTATTCTATCGTAGAAGGTCGTTTCCTTAAATTGACAGTTAAAGGATCGAAATGCTCTAGTATTAATAAATGTTATATTTACAACATTTTACATATGTCAGAGAATAAATTTTTAGAACTTTTATCATTTTATGAAAAAAATGAATTCAAGTATAAAAAATTGAATGTAATATAGACGCACACACACGTACATGTATATACATATAGTACTTCTTAACTTACTATATTTATTCTGTTAGTAAGTACAGTATTAAAAAATTTTTGACATTTACTTTTTAGACTCGTTTAAAATGTGCATTGAAATGCGTTTTCCATGAAATCTTTTACTTTGTCAGATCTTTATATAATAAAAATCAACAGGTATGAATAGAAATAATAATATACACATAGTATTATTGAAATTATAGATCTACGCGAAATATCCTTGGGTATTTTCTTTGACTTAACACTGGATAACCAATACCAAGGATTATGTATCGTCTTTCCACGAGATGAAGGCACAGCATGTTTATATCCCCACTCTTGCTGCAGTCCGCTGATTGGCTGTCACCGATCTTCGTTACAGTTTCCGACCAATAACGAGTCAGCTGACAACAACAGGAGTGGGGATGTAAATACTGTGCCTTCTTCTCATGGAAGAACGGTACGTAAACCGTATTATTTTAAGCATTTCCTTAGTATAATAATTTCAACATTTCGTTTAGGGCACCGAAGTACATTTTTCCTGTTTCTTTGACATAAATTAATGCTAACTAAACCCGATGTTTAGCTCAGACGTATGGCTCAAGTAAGCTAACGTAGATCAGTGGCCGGCAACCTGGATTTTTTATGGAACTCGCGTTTGTCAAATACTGAAGCATAGAGCAATCTTCATATTTTTTATTGTATAATAAAAGGGACAAAAAAGGGATTTATCATCTTATGTAAAGAAGACTGTTCATTTCGTAAATTTGCATCGTATCAATATATCATCCACTAAGAAAGGTTATGTTCAAAAGCGCCCTCTGTGCATTCTTAATGAAAAGATTGCCGACCTCTGACACTAATGATTCCGGTGTATACTGAATTCTACTCTCGCTTAGTCATAATTAATTACTAACGTTTGTAAAAACTGTAAAATGTTGTTTAATCTTTAGTACTGTTAAGTAACATAAGAACATTTTTGTTTTCGATTATCCGTACCCAGCTGAACGTTTTATAAGTAAATATATTTAACTGGCCTCTATTTACGATGAAACCATATTTCTATTTCGTAAATTTGTTCTACATTGAAAAATACATTCACGTTTAAACCGATGTAATTGCACTTTGATTGTTTAGAATATGTGATTTAAACGATTTAATTTAATAGTTGCAATCTCGTATATACATGTAAGATTATTCAAGGGTCTATCGTGGAGGTAATTATCATTACCAATATCAGTCTAAGGGGTATCAAACTAGATATTGTTACAAGGTACTCGAAATTTAACAGATTTTTTTGTCGTACGATGGTTCGTCTGTTCGCATTAGCTTTTTATTCAACTTTTCGTTTAATTATCGCACTGAGGTATGCACACAGTCTTGTGAATAAACTAAATATGTATAGGGTCATACTCAAACAGATTACCAAGCAATCAAATTAAAAAGAGCACCTATTTTATTCCGCACTAAAGACCACCCAAGAATTTGCTAGAACTTGTCGCAAAATTCTATTGCGAAGAAAACACGATTGCAACTTGGAAAAGAACGCTTTGCATTCCGGTTAAATTTCCTGCTTTTGCCTCATGTTACCCTGATACTGTCAACTTTACATTTACGTAAAATATAACTTAACAAATTTCCGAACGTCGTAAAACCGTTTCTGTAAAAATTTATATTTTTACAATTTTCAAGCAATTCGAATATTTTGTACACCTTTTTGCCTCGCATTAAGTTAGTGCCGATCACGTTCTATAAGCATCACCTAATATCAAGAATCTTGGTTCCAAAAATCTCACATTCTGAGCGAAAAATTGTTAGTTAATCGTTAATAGTTTTACACATCATGTGGTTGTAAACTTTTAAAGCTCGACGATGCTTAATCTCTAAATGTTTGTTATTTGGACACGTGTATGATATTTTTGGGACGCTTCCTAAATATGTAGTACGCTTATAACATGCATACCCTTCTGTTTTAAACGTTTAACTAGCAGTGGTTCCTATTAAAAGAATAAGGGTAATGTACAGGTAAATAACGTTTAAAAGAGTCGTGAACACTATGATAAGAACGTATGCTTAACCCCTTGCCTTACGATTCAATTTCCAACTGTGCGTGCCAAAAGCGACGCCAAGGTTTGGCCCGGTAGACTTATCACGTCTCTGAGACGTCATTGTAAGCTAAGGGGTTAAAAGGGTATACACGGAATATGTACGATTCTTGATACGTATGATACTTAATAATACTGTACTATCTTATAAAGATGCAATTTATGTATAATACAAATTCTAATAATGATAATTTTTAAAACAAGAAACTCATTGAGAAATAAATACAATTTACAGTAAACGCTGTCATCGAAACATCAAAATCATGTTTTCAAACACGAGCCAGTCTTTTAAAAGAATTGAAGAAGATACTAAATAAAATTTTCTTTCGACTAGTTCAAGAACAGATCTATTCAAGATGAGCATATGTATGTATATAATAGCGATCGACAGTTGATTCGTCCATGCGATAAAGGTTGAGTACAGTGTATCATAATTGTTCTTCGAGTTCACCATATTGAATTCCTGTTGCCGATTACAACGTCTCCCTTCCTTCTCCTTATCTTTTCAAACAATTTCGAAGGGTAAGATGATAACAGTCTGTTACAATTGGAGCTACGATTCGTTCATTAGTATTCCAATATCGAATTTTAGATTCGAGAACATTATCAATGAACAACTTTTACGTCTTTTTCTGTTTCTTCTCTTGATTCGTTCTCATCGATTCTGTTCTTTATCTTGTACAAACGTCCATTGATCAAGTTTCTTCAAACCAGTATCCGATACTTCTTGTTTCGCATCTGAATCATCGGTTCCTTTCGACTCGCTAGGTTTGTATTCGGAGACATAAATGATTTGTTTATCGGTGTTTCCCTTCTTATTACATTTAGCAATGTCCGTTCTTCTAGGAGGGACCGGAGGCTTCTTATTAGAAGCAGTCTTTCCATTCGATGTCATTTTTATTTCACTTTGTATAGACTTCTTATCCTTGCTTCTCATTGCTGAATGTGTTTCGCTGTTCTCATTCCCATCGTCCTGAGGTTTCTCTCTATCAGTGGACAGTTTGATCTCTGTAATGTAGGTCATCTTTTGCGGCATAGGCGTGTTCGGTAACGGTGGCCGGTTGTCGAAGTCCTGCGGATTGTAATCCATCGATTCACCAACCAGTCCGCTGTCCTCACTGTTCTCACCACTGGATACACTTATATTGTTAATGTTACGACGGTCCTCGCGGTCGAACAAACTTTTGCTGTTCACGGTCACGCCGGAACCGAACTCGTACTCGTCCTCGTCCTCGTCGTTTTCTCGGTCGATTCTTTGACTAGTGGAGACCTCTATCGACGAAGTCTCGCTTACGTTTCCTCTGTGTTTGGGCCCGTACGTGTGGGGTATCGAGTTACCTTCCTCCTCGTCGTGCATCGTTATCGAATCGGAACCGTTACCCTCGGCTAAGTTCGACGAATAGTCTTGCAGAGGTATCGGTGTGGACGATCGTTTCGAAGAAAAAGACTTTTTCTTGCAGGTCTCGTGGCGATTACAATTTTCAGCGCACGCGTGACATCCTCTTTTAACGTTAATCTTCGTCATGGGCTCCTCCTCGACTGCTCTCTTCCCAACGTATGAAATCGACTCGTCCTCTTTCCAGTTTTTGAAACGGAACAGGTCGTGCTTGGGAGATTCCAAGCTCGGTGATTTCTCGGAATACATTTCAAAATGTTTTAAAGCTTTGCTGAAATCTTTGTTCAGCGCTCTCTCCTCCTCATCAGAGGAATGTTCATCTACAGTCACGACGTTATCGTTATCAAAATCATCTGGTAGTGGCGTTTCTTGCTTGAACTTCAACTCCACCTCTTCGACCGTAGGACTTTTAACAACAGTGCCATCGTTGACGATTCTAGCCAGTGAATTATCCTCATCCGGATTGAACATTCGTTCCGCGCGAATGAATTCCTCCGTGGGTCTCTTGCTCAGAGGAAGATTATAGAGCTCGACGCTCTCCTCTTTAGCATCTGGATTATCGCTCTTCAGTTTAATCTCTACAGCGGACGTGGACCGTTTCAGAGAGTCGTTGCTCTTTTTCCGGATTCTCGACCTCTTTGACCTGTCGTCCGGGTCCTGCGTCTTGCGCCAGACGACGTCTTCCAAAGTGCCCCACTCGTTGGACTTCTTGAGCAACCGTCTGTCGAAGGTGTCCATTTGATCCAGCTTGGTCAGATCCTCCGTAGACTCGTTGATATCCTCAGGTGGAAGGGGTGCTTTGCGCTTTTTCGTCCCAGTGTCCGTCATGTCCAGACTCTGAGCTCTCTCCAGAGTAGTCGATGTTCTGCATTCGTACTTGGACAGGTCCCCCAAGCTCGCTGCCTTTCTGTACACGTCGTCCTCATCGTCCTCGTCGTCGTTCGTCTCTGGTATGGGGGTTCGATGGATCGTGATGTCAGCCGAGTTTAATTCAATGGTCGTGAAACTGTTCTGTATCTCGCTGTCCGTGTCGGACTCAGAGTGTCTTCCGTCGATCATTTCCATCTTCTGTTCCCTGCGCGAATCAATTTTCTCTGGTCTGCAATCGGTCACAGACTCCGTGTAATCGGTGATTCTATTTATTTCGTCCTCCTTCTTCGACAGTAGTGAATCCTTCTTGGCAGACGAGGCCTGCTCAACCTCGTAACTGTTACCTTTGGGCGGAGGAGGAGCTTTCCTTTTGTTCTTTTGTACATTCTTCGAGTCCTCCGTCTCCACAGGTTCGATATTCTTCTGAACGTTTAACAGCTCCGAGCTATTTTTGCGATTCCTACGCGCGGCCATAGCTGCATTGTGCACCTCTGTTGGCACTTCTGAGGGAATGTGAATCGATTCCACTTCTTTTCCAGCTTTGTCCAACGCGTCGACACCACGTGTGTCGTTCCTCGCTTTGGGGACGTTTGATCCTTGGGAATTCTGTCGATGCTGAGCTTCTTCCTTCTTGTCGCTAACCACTGAAGCTCTATTTGCGTTTGATACGTGCTTCTCTGTGTCCATCTTCTTCGAGTTTCTTCTTTCAAGGTTCGTGTTGTGCTCGTTTTGATTCTCGATACGATGAACCGTGCCGTCAAGAGCAGGCAGAACCTTGATACCGAACTTCTGATGGTTACCCCTAGACTCCTCGTGGCGTTTTTCAAACGTTTGGCTACTCGGTGTAGATTTTGATGATTTCAAAGTGGAATTCATCGTGGAGTAATTCGAACTGATGGATTCGTTAGGATCGACAATAAAAAGCCTTTTTGCAACGATTTTTGATTGGGAGAGTTCTGGAATCGATTGACTTCTGTACAGGGGGTGGCAAATTCTTGCGGCGCTAGGCCCAACGCTCTTCTTTAATAGAGTGGTAGGTTTTGATCCGCTCCCGCCACTTTCCACTTCGAGTTTCACATCGTATGGCGAGGCGTAACTTAGAATCGTTAGGGCGTCCTCGTATACCATATTTCGAAAACTTATTTTCACGCTGGCTATACGATCTCCTGTAATCATATATCAATTACTGTAATAATCATATTAATTATTCTGTGATAAAGTAATGTATAAAATTTTTAATTCTATTCATTTTTTCGATGTTAAAGACAATGGAAGTATACAAAATATAACTATCACTGTATAAATGCATACAAATTTAGTATGTACGACCATAATTATTCTATTAATTTCTTCAATGTTAAAGACAAAATATACAAGGTGTTAGACGACCCATGGGAAAAATTTTAATGGAAGATTCTAGAGGCAAAAATAAGACGAAAATCAAGAATACTAATTTGTTGATGGAGGCTTTGTTAAAAAGTTATTAATGTTTAAAGTTCCGCACATAATGAATTTTTTTCTTGAAAGTGGGTAGGATTTCGGGGGTAGGTCTATTTACCAAAAATTATTGTAATTAACCCCCGCAATAGAAAATAATTTTTCCAGAACGATTTGAAATTTTTTAATTTTTTCGAAAAATTTCATACATTCTCGAAATTTTTTCTCGAAAGTGAGTAAGATTTCGGGGGTACGTCTAATGGCCAACAATTATTATAATTGACCCCCACAATAGAAAATAATTTTTCCAGAACGATTTGAAATTTTTTAATTTTTTCGACAAATTTCATACCTTCTCGAATTTTTTTCTAGAAAGAGGGTAGGATTTCGAGAGTATGTCTAATGACCAATAATAATTGTAATTGAGCCCCGAAATAGAAAATAATTTTTCTAGAACGATTTGAAATTTTTCAATTTTTTCGAAAAATTTCATACCTTCTTGAATTTTTTTCTCGAAGATGGGTTGGATTTCAAGAGTATGTCTAATGAGTAAGAATGATTGTAATTAACCCCCGCAATAGAAAATAATTTTTTCAGAACGATTTGAAATTTTTTAATTTTTTCGAAAAATTTCATACATTCTCGAAATTTTTTCTCGAAAGTGAGTAAGATTTCGGGGGTACGTCTAATGGCCAAAAATTATTATAATTGACCCCCACAATAGAAAATAATTATTCCAGAACGATTTGAAATTTTTTAATTTTTTCGACAAATTTCATACCTTCTCGAATTTTTTTCTAGAAAGAGGGTAGGATTTCGAGAGTATGTCTAATGACCAATAATAATTGTAATTGAGCCCCGAAATAGAAAATAATTTTTCTAGAACGATTTGAAATTTTTCAATTTTTTCGAAAAATTTCATACCTTCTTGAATTTTTTTCTCGAAGATGGGTTGGATTTCAAGAGTATGTCTAATGAGTAAGAATGATTGTAATTAACCCCCGCAATAGAAAATAATTTTTCCAGAACGATTTGAAATTTTTTAATTTTTTCGAAAAATTTCATACATTCTCGAAATTTTTTCTCGAAAGTGAGTAAGATTTCGGGGGTACGTCTAATGGCCAAAAATTATTATAATTGACCCCCACAATAGAAAATAATTTTTCCAGAACGATTTGAAATTTTTTAATTTTTTCGACTTTCATACCTTCTCGAATTTTTTTCTAGAAAGAGGGTTGGATTTCGAGAGTATGTCTAATGACCAATAATAATTGTAATTGAGCCCCGAAATAGAAAATAATTTTTCTAGAACGATTTGAAATGTTTCAATTTTTTCGAAAAATTTCATACCTTCTTGAATTTTTTTCTCGAAAGTGAGTAGAATTTCAGGAGTATGTGTATTCGCCAAAAATTATTGTAATTGAGCCTCGCAGCCGATAATAAATTTTCCAGAACGATTTGAAATTTTTTAATTTTTTCGAAAAATTTCATACATTCTCGAATTTTTTTCTCGAAAGTGGGTAGGATTTCGAAAGTATGTGTAATGACCAACAATGATTGTAATTGACCCCTGCAACCGAAAATAATTTTTTCAGAATTATTTGAAATTTTTCAATTTAATTTTTTAATAACGTTTTAACAAAGCCTCAGTCAAGAAATTGATATTACATTATCATAATTGATACATTAAAATTTTTCCCAGTCATCGTTAAATAAATAAATACGAATCTAGTATGCACAACCATAACTATTCTATTGAACTTCTTCCATGTTAAATACAACAAATACAAAATGTAACTATCTTTAAATAAATAAATACGAACCTGGATGTATTCGTCTAGATTCTGATGCAGGTCCACGGTGCAAGAGGTCTTTAACAAAGATCCCCTCTCTCATGTTACCGCAAATATTAAATCCCAGTCCTGTGAAATCTCGACTTTTTAAGCTGACTACATTAACCTTCGTGGCTTTCGGCTGTACAAAAGAAATTTACTGGCTATACAACTGAAATCGACACGAAATTCATATACCCTCGCGTTACAACGAAATCGAATTTTCATATTTTTAAAATCAAGAATTAATCGGTACTTTTTTTAAAAGAGGTTTAGATACGAATTTAGAAACAGTTTAACGTATGAAATTGAAGCAATTTGCTTCGCCGCGCAGAGGTTGTCTTTGGGATTCGGCTCATACGCCATGGACTTCCTCTTCGACAAGAAATATAAAGGCACGTATCAAACATGGCTACATTAACTGTACGCGTGTCCAAATTTGGTTATGTTCAATACCTTGTACGTTCAGAATATTGAAATGAAATTTCATAAACGTGTCGGTTTCTTTTCAAAAATATTACAACGTTTTAAAGTTTCATGGAAAGGCGAATATAATTATAGTTAGGGGAAAAAGTGGACAGATGATGAAAAAGGATATCAATGAAATTCTGTATTTACGGACTGAGACAATTCGACTTATTAAAAATTTTATATATATAGGAATGAAATTTTAAACGAGTCAAATGAAATTGTTTAACGATCTTTCATTTTAAATGAGTCAAATGATATTGTTTAACGATTTTTCATTTTAAATGAATCAAATGAAATTTTTCAACGATTTCTAATTTTAAATGAATGAAATGAAATTGTTTAACGATTTCTCATTTTAAATAAATGAAATGAAATTGTTTCATGATTTCTCACTTTAAATGAATCAAATGAAATTGTTTAACGATTTCTCATTTTAAACGAGTCAAATGAAATTGTTTAACGATTTTTCATTTTAAATGAGTGAAATGAAATTGTTTCATGATTTCTCATTTTAAATGAGCGAAATGAAATTGTTTCATGATTTATCACTTTAAATGAATCAAATGAAATTGTTTAACGATTTCTCATTTTAAATAGGTCAAATGACATTGTTTAACGATTTTTCATTTTAAATGAGTGAAATGAAATTGTTTCATGATTTCTCACTTTAAATGAATCAAATGAAATTGTTTAACGATTTCTCATTTTAAACGAGTCAAATGAAATTGTTTAACGATTTTTCATTTTAAATGAGCGAAATGAAATTGTTTCATGATTTCTCATTTTAAATGAATCAAATGAAATTGTTTAACGATTTGTCATTTTAAATGAGTCAAATTGGCTCAGTCCGTAAATCCAGTGTTAATATACATTTTAAATGTTATTTAAATAATCTATATACTATAAAGATAAATGTTAATTATAGCTTACGCCTGTAATTATGATGGTACAGTAGTTAAATTTCATTGATATCCTTTTTCATCATCTGTCCACTTACATTTATCCTTAACTGGTTCTGAAGAAACCACGACACTTTATGAAATTAAATGAAAAAAACTACGATAAGACAAAGTATTACAAAAGTTACTGGTAGTTTCAGAAATACGTGAAATAAAAAAAGATGCAATACGGTAGCCTTATAATCAGCGTAGAAGAGTAAGAGGCTATAATAGTGTAGCATTTAAATTGTAGAGAAGGTGAAACCACGATATGATTTAGAAATATTGACAAGAAAGCACTTACTCCAAGGCAAGAATCATCGAGAGTTTTTCTCTTATCATTGCGGTTGGTTGATCCCAGGCCCAAGGACGTCCAAGAAGTAGACCATCGCACAGAATCTTTACCTGGAGTGTCACCAGGTGTTACAGACACCGGTCCTTCTCGAGTTCGATTGATCGACGTCGCAGTCACATCCTTGAAACAAGGATTATCGAAGGCGTAGGCCTCTTCGACAATTTCTGGGTCCGTCACTAATACCAAATGCTTTCCTGAAAGATTTTAATTTACAATATTACTAATTAAACATAAAAAAAAATATTTCTCGTCTATATTACGTTGGATCATTCCACAATAATTTTTCCAGAACGATTTGAAATTTTTTAATTTCGTCTAAAAATTTCATACTTTCTCGAATTTTTTTCTCAAAAATGCGCAAGATTTCGTGGGTATGTCTATTCACCAAAAATTATTGTAATTTACCCCCGCAACCGAAAATAATTTTTCCAGAACGATTTGAAATTTTTTAATTTCGTCTAAAAATTTCATACATTCTCGAATTTTTTTCTCAAAAATGCGCAAGATTTCGTGGGTATGTCTATTCACCAAAAATTATTGTAATTTACCCCCGCAACCGAAAATAATTTTTCCAGAACGATTTGAAATTATTTAATTTCGTCTAAAAATTTCATACATTCTCGAATTTTTTTCTCAAAAATGCGCAGGATTTCGTGGATATGTCTATTCATAAAAAATTATTGTAATTTACCCCCGCAACCGAAAATAATTTTTCCAGAACGATTGGAAATTATTTAATTTCGTCTAAAAATTTCATACCTTCTTGAATTTTTTTCTAGAAAGTAGGTAGGATTTCGGGGGTATGTCTAATGACCAAAAATAATTGTAGATGACCCCCGCAACCGAAAATAATTTTTCCAAAACGATTTGAATATTTTAATTTCGTCTAAAAATTTCATACATTCTCGAATTTTTTTCTCAAAAATGCGCAGGATTTCGTGGATATGTCTATTCATAAAAAATTATTGTAATTTACCCCCGCAACCGAAAATAATTTTTCCAGAACGATTTGAAATTTTTTAATTTCGTCTAAAAATGTCAAACTTTCTCGAATTTTTTTCTCAAAAATGCGCAGGATTTCGTGGGTATGTCTATTCACCAAAAATTATTGTAATTTACCCCCGCAACCGAAAATAATTTTTCCAGAACGATTTGAAATTTTTTAATTTCGTCTAAAAATTTCATACCTTCTTGAATTTTTTTCTCGAAAGTGGGTAGAATTTCGAGAGTATATCTGATGACCAAAAATAATTGTAATTGACCCCCGCAACCGAAAATAATTTTTCCAGAACGATTGGAAATTATTTAATTTCGTCTAAAAATTTCATACCTTCTTGAATTTTTTTCTAGAAAGTGGGCAGGATTTCGAGAGTATGTCTAATAACCAAAAATGATTGTAATTGACCCCCGCAACCGAAAATAATTTTTCCAGAACGATTGGAAATTATTTAATTTCGTCTAAAAATTTCATACCTTCTTGAATTTTTTTCTAGAAAGTGGGCAGGATTTCGAGAGTATATCTAATGACCAAAAATAATTGTAAGTGACCCCCGCAACCGAAAATAATTTTTCCAAAACGATTTGAATATTTTAATTTCGTCTAAAAATTTCATACTTTCTCGAATTTTTTTCTCAAAAATGCGCAAGATTTCGTGGGTATGTCTATTCACCAAAAATTATTGTAATTTACCCCCGCAACCGAAAATAATTTTTCCAGAACGATTTGAAATTTTTTAATTTCGTCTAAAAATTTCATACCTTCTTGAATTTTTTTCTCGAAAGTGGGTAGAATTTCGAGAGTATATCTGATGACCAAAAATAATTGTAATTGACCCCCGCAACCGAAAATAATTTTTCCAGAACGATTGGAAATTATTTAATTTCGTCTAAAAATTTCATACCTTCTTGAATTTTTTTCTAGAAAGTGGGCAGGATTTCGAGAGTATGTCTAATAACCAAAAATGATTGTAATTGACCCCCGCAACCGAAAATAATTTTTCCAGAACGATTGGAAATTATTTAATTTCGTCTAAAAATTTCATACCTTCTTGAATTTTTTTCTAGAAAGTGGGCAGGATTTCGAGAGTATATCTAATGACCAAAAATAATTGTAAGTGACCCCCGCAACCGAAAATAATTTTTCCAAAACGATTTGAATATTTTAATTTCGTCTAAAAATTTCATACTTTCTCGAATTTTTTTCTCAAAAATGCGCAAGATTTCGTGGGTATGTCTATTCACCAAAAATTATTGTAATTTACCCCCGCAACCGAAAATAATTTTTCCAGAACGATTTGAAATTTTTTAATTTCGTCTAAAAATTTCATACTTTCTCGAATTTTTTTCTCAAAAATGCGCAGTATTTCGTGGGTATGTCTATTCACCAAAAATTATTGTAATTTACCCCCGCAACCGAAAATAATTTTCCTAGAACGATTTGAAATTTTTTAATTTTGTCTAAAAATTTCATACCTTCTTGAATTTTTTTCTCGAAAGTGGGTAGAATTTCGAGAGTATATCTAATGACCAAAAATAATTGTAATTGACCCCCGCAACCGAAACTAATTTTTCCAGAACGATTTGAAATTTTTTAATTTTGTCGAAAAATTTCATACCTTCTCGAATTTTTTTCTCGAAAGTGGGTAGGATTTCGAGAGTATATCTAATGACCAAAAATAATTGCAATTGACCCCCGCAACCGAAAATAATTTTTCCAGAACGATTTGAAATTTTTGAATTTAATTGTTAATAACTTTTTAACGAAGCCTCCATTAACAAATTGGTATTCATTATTTTCGTCTTATTTTGGCCTCTAGAATCCCTCATTAAAATTTTTCCCAAGGTTGGCCGAATACCCTGTACAGTTTATAATATGTTTAATTTGTATTATAGTTATACTGCAGTGTTTTAGAAAATAGGAAAAATTTCACTTCGTTCGAAAACTCACGCATCTTAGACATTTAATGTGTGTTTTTTACTTTCTAAGGACTTTCACGGGCCGCAATTTTTAAATATTTTCTACTATATTTTAATATAAATGGTAACCTCCATTTTCGTAACAACTATTAATCGACTATTTTAATCGTTATTCTATCTTGTATATTACAGTTTTAAATAAGATACTTTAATAAATAAAAACTCAATATATTTTTAAAAAATTCTAACACATTAAGTTTTATTTTTTTCTTTAGTATATATTTCGATAAATTTAAAATTATCGACTCTGAAATAAAATAATATAACAGTATTTTAGCGAAACGCGTTCGAAATTGTTTTGGTTCGTTGATGCCAGTCGGTGCTTGAAGTATTTGATTCCGTTTACTTGTGCTCATTTATGGTTACGTTTTACGTACAGATGAGCCTTAATAAGCGCCATGAAAGTTAAGTTCTTGGCGAGAGGAAAGCAGAGAGTCAAGTGTATCTGCACGAATAATTCTACGATATTCTCGTATGAATTATATAAGACGTAGAAGAAATATTATTTATGAAAATACGTTATGCAACAAAAATCAAAATCTTATATATCTAAGTTATGGGAAAGCTGTAGGAATGTTACGAAGGATCGTGAAAATCGTTTCTAACGCAAGACACATTAGCTTCCTTATTATGTAGTTTATGTCATCATAAACGGTGACATCACCCTACAGATTTACACTTATTTACTATGTTCGAGAAGATACCTTTGCACGTAACAAGAATTACAAACATTTCATTCTTCCAAAGTGCAATTATTTTCTTTATTGAACAATTTACCTGTTACAAATTTAATAAATTAAATAACAAAATTTAGATATCTGATATACAGGGTGTTCGGCCACCTCTAGCAAAAATTTTAATGAGCGATAGTAGAGGCCAAAATAAGACGAAAATCAAGAATACTAATTTGTTGGTGGAAACTTCGTTAAAAAGTTATTAACGTTTAAAGTGCCGCTCTTACTGAATTTTTTTCTCGAAAATGCGCAAGATTTCGGGGGTATGTCTATTCACGAAAAATGACTGTAATTGAACCCTACAACCAAAAATAATTTTTCCACAACGATTTGCAATTTTTTAATTTTCTCGAATAATTTCACACCTTCTCTATTTTTTTTCTCGAAAGTGGGCAGGATTTCGTGGGTATGTCTAATGACAAAAACTGATTGTAATTGACCCCCGCAACCGAAAATAATTTTTCCACAACGATTTGCAATTTTTTTTCTCCGTTCAAAAATTTAGGCACCTAATTGGATTTTCAGTAAGGAATTTTTTTCTCGAAAGTGCGTACGATCTCGGAGGTATGTGTAATGATAAAAAATGATTGTAATTGATCCCCGCAACCGAAAATAATTTTTTTTAAACGATTTGAAAAATTTTTTTTCGCCGAAAAATTTCAGCACCTACTCGATTTTTTTTCTCGAAAGTAGATAGGATTTCGGAGGTATGTGTACTCACCAAAAATGATTGTAGTTGACCCCCGCAACCGAAAATAATTTTTCCAGAACGATTTGAAATTTTTGAATTTAATTGTTAATAACTTTTTAACGAAGCTTCCATCAACAAATTAGTATTCTTGATTTTCGTCTTATTTTGGCCTCTACTATCGCTCATTAAAATTTTTGCTAGAGGTGGCCGAACACCCTGTATAATATACAGGATGTTCGGTTAACCATGGGAAAAATTTTAATGGGAGGTTCAAGAGGCCAAAATAAGACGAAAATCAAGAATATCAATTTCTTGACTGAGGCTTCGTTAAAAAGTTATTAACAATTAAATTACAAAATTTCAAATCGTTCTGGAAAAATTATTTTTTATTGCGGGGGCCAATTACAATCATTATTGGTCATTAGCCATACCCCCGAAATCCTAGGCAATTACGAGAACAAAATTCGAGAAGGTATGAAATTTTACGAGAAAATTAAAAAATTTCAAATCGTTCTGGAAAAATTATTTTCGGTTGTGGGGGTTAATTACAATCATTTTTGGTCATTAGACATACCCCCGAATTCCTAGGCAATTTCGAGAAAAAAATTCGAGAAGGTATGAAATTTTTAGACGAAATTAAAAAATTTCAAATCTTACTAAAAAAATTATATTTAGTTACAGGGGTCAATTATAAGCAGTTTTGGTCATTAAACATACTCTTGAAATCCTACCTACTTTCGAGAAAAAAATTCAGGAAGGTATGAAATTTTTCGACGAAATTAAAAAATTTCAAATCGTTTTGGAAAAATTATTTTCGGTTGCGGGGGTCAATTACAATCATTTTTGGTGAATGAACATACCCCCGAAATTCTGCGCATTTTCGAGAAAAAAATTCAGTTCGGGTGGAACTTTAAATATTAATAACTTTTTAACGAAGCCTCCATCAACAAATTGGTATTCTTGATTTTCGTCTTATTTTGGCCTCTAGAATACCTCATTAAAATTTTTCCCAGGGTTGGCTGAACACCCTGTATATGTATCTATTAATCTTGAGATCTATTAAAATACATTGAGAAAAACTAAAATAATTCTACTAAATCTCTTTTAAATGTAATAGAGCCACTTCAGGTCACAGATTTCTTCAGGTATTTTTCTTAGATAACAAACATAATCGTCGACACATGTATTATTTTCTATCGTATTCCAATATCAACAAACTTATCAATTTCATTTTTTCATTCACTTGGAATCTCGGTTATAAGAGTTACGTCACAATCGTTTGCTTCTTTTCAAAACAATACTATTGGTTACGCTCTTCAGTCATCCGCGATAAGAACACGTGTCTCGTGGACGAGATTTTCAACATGAATTTTACAGACAACCTTCGAAAGGCAGGCGATAATTTTTGTCTGTTCGTTTCAAGGTTTTAATTACTATGACAATTTCAATATCTTTGTCGTTTTACTTCCTTATCTTTTCGTTTTCGTTATTTATTATGCTAATTGCAACTTTGGTGCGTTTAGATAACGCTTTAGGACGGTGCATAACTTTTTAAATCTATTTGCATAAAAAATACTCAATATTAATAACAAATAATAGAAATTTACAGTTAGATTAATTGCTTTTGCACTAAATATTTTTAATCTTGATAAAATATTTATTAATCGTGTTTTTATTGTCTCAAGATCCATTTAGACAGAATTTTATTTCCTTATTTATAGTCGAATTTGTTCTAAAAAGACACAGAATATTGTATTTTGGCTTTTTTGCACATTTAATTTACAATTTACAATTAGCAAATTATCGACAATAAAATAATTAAAATTACTACTAATTATCTTATTTATCAATGATTTTATTTATTTTATTTATCTACGAATTTATTTATTTTATTTATTCCAAAAAGACACAGAACATTGTATTCTGGCATTCCCACAAATTTAATTTACATTTCCTACAAACAAACAATTAAAATGAGCCAATAAGATAGTTAAAATTACTAATAGTTTTATTTTCCTCATAAAAAAAAATAAATGTAGGTCAAAATGTGCAATTCAAATAGTTTTATCGCTCTACACCCAGGGTACAAATGTACAATGTACACATGCAATTCAAATTACGTTTTTTTAACCTACACCGTCGCAATTGCACAACAGTCGCGTGCAATCGATGATTACAGAAATCGAAAAAAAAAGAACAACTCTAAACATAAATATACCAATTTTTATTTTCGAATCGAAAATCGTTCTAATATTTCTCCCATTTTCAGGGAAAACATCACCGATCGAATGCATCGCTGTGTATATTCGTCGTTCCACATTGCATTACTGTGCAACGGAGTAACGATAAGAGTCATCATCCTGAACCAAGGGAGATGGAACACATTTTCCGTTGGATATATTTTGTGTTTTAGATCGTAAACATCATTCCGCGAATAGCGATTCCAATGTACTTTCATGTACCATCGTGTCTCTCAAGCGGCACTCCAAGGTCTACCTTTTGCGTGTGGATATAGGCATCAATTGCGACGCAATAGCGAAAAGGATTGTACGGGAACGATAACGAATGCTGTGCCTTTTCCGTGCTAATTTACTTTTCACATAGAAATCCGTCGCCTATAAGTTCACACAAACGATTTCGTTAACGAGTCTCCGAAAATACGCGATCCGTCGTTTCAATTTTTTCCTTCGCATTCTCGGCCGTGTGTGCCATTTTGAATTACAGGATGTTTCGCAGCATAACGAGACAGGCGAATTCCTTGCATAATTATATTATGCCAGTCCACCGCTTCGTAACAGAACGTATACCTAATCCGTCAATTGGAAAATGTACAGTTAGTCATCGTTATTTCGGGGATAAAATTTTTATTTTTTTATCATTCGATATATATCTCCCGCTCCGGAGAAGTTATAGAGAAGTCACGCGTAACGATAAATTCCACTTTGTTGCGCAAGAAGTGCCATCAAGCTTATATATATACGCATCTTCTCGAACGCGACAGCGAATAGGTAAGCAGGAGAGACTGTCGTTATCAATGATAAAATACCATTTATTGTTCTTGAGAGCCAACGTCACGTCGCGATAACTTGAACTAGACAACTAGAGCGCGCTCGAGGAATCGAGACCGCGAATCGCGCATCAATCTGTCACCGAGCGTTCCTGATACCACATACCGGCGGCTACGGGCTCGAGGTATTCGTAAAAATACCAGAAACTCACCCTTGTGCTTACGCCACTGTCTGTAAAGGAGTGCAACAACGACCATCAGGAAAATCGTCGTAAGGAAGGTACCGATCACAGCCCCTGCCACGCTTCCTGCTCCGAAACAGGTATCCCGTGGCTCGTCCTCCATTGCTCCTTCTTAAACTCTCCTTCGATGCATGTCCAACTTGCCTGCCGTGGCGTACTCGCGTTTCCTCTTGAAGGAATTTCAAAGCTGAACTGTCGGAGTGACTAGGATCCGCACTGTTCACCGCGACTCCATTCGACGTGCATAAGCAGACATTATTTTCACTTCGCGAGTCGTTGCCCTTTACCGAAGAATCACCACCGCGATTGGAGACCGTCCTACTGCCGTGACACCATGCACGATACTGAGAGAAAGAGAAAGAGAAAGAGAAAGAGAAAGAAAGAGAGAACGGGCCCACGGATCGAGTAAAACAAGTAGCTGCGCAACAGGTGCTTCTGCCCGCGAGGTGGGGGATTCCACCTCTATACAATGTACCGATGGCCAGGGGCAGGAGTGGAACAAGCATGCGAGTAGAATGGGGAAACATGGCATTCCTTAACCGTTTCAGAGCTGACCGTATTTCTGCTACCTAGCCTAGAAGTACTGCGCGAATGCAAACTGTAGGCCTCTGAGAGAACGATTCCTCTATCGATTCAGATGCTTCTCCAAGTAAGTACGTCCGTTACCCGCATGATAACAATTCACTGATTAAACAGTTTAGCATAAAATCTTGTTAATTTGCGCCCGATTATATTTATGGAAATGTCCTTAATTATGGGCAGCTATTTTTTAGGTTATCACTGTGTTGAATGATCGTTACGATTATCGTGAATTATTGATGATTACGTGCTAACAAACCTGATTACTTCAACCGTATCGTAGTACCGTTTTTTACACGACTCCCCCTAATTTATATACATTAGATCTCGGTCTAGTTTCTATACGCTGGAAATCTTAAAACATATAATTATAATTAACAATTTATAGAACTTATTGTAAACTATTTTCGATAGTATTACCCTAACACTTTTTTACGCGGAATAGAGAGAGGATTCGATATCTGCGAAAACAAATGTATTCGTTAAAAAAAAAACATCAATGACCTTTATATGGTCGTTATACCAAAACAGAGGCTTTTAAAGCAATTTAAAGCAAGGTCTGCTAGGATGCCTTATTGATGAGTCTTCTAGCCAACCTGGATTCTTTCAATATTTCCTTTTTCATTCTTTGCCATAACATATACAAATAATTTACATTAAAGCATTTAATAATAATCAAAATGAAATAATACGGAAAAAATGCGTTTAACTCTTTTCATAACTTTCAAACGAATGCTTACGTAACATTTTTCAAAAAAAAAAAATAAAATTGAAATCGTATTCAAAGTTGTTGAAATTGGGCGCCCATGATACTTCTGTGGTGAGCCGCTGGCGGCGCCACAACATTATCGCGACGCAAGTTTTCGTTCTTCGCTATTTTGTACGTTTCGAACATCATTTTTACGGTTTGGTGATTAGTTGATTACTGAAAACTGAAAATAAGTCAACGACTGATGTTTCGAAGTATGTCGTAGTTGATTGTACTCCAATAACAGCAGTTTATCGAGAATTACAAATTAATATGTTACACGTATTTAGTGATCTCGAATATGAATCACTGCGTTTGAAGAGTAGTATTCATGAACATAAAGAAACATAATCAAGGTGCCATAACCTAGTTTAATTTGTTACTTGGACATCATGACGCTCACGCCTAAAGGTTTAACGAAACTGTTGGACATCCTCGAAGAGGAGAACCTTGACACAAGTTTGGAAAACCTGTGCAACCAGTTACATCAAGTATTCCCGAAAGAGGATCGATTTAAAGTAGGAATGACATTGGTTCTTCTTTTACAACATATAGACTTATTGCCAAAAAATGTTCAACGAATAATAGCGGTGGCTTTATTATTCGACCTTTATAGAGGAGAACCGTTAGCTTCTACGCCTTTCGCACCTGTTTTCATTCAGGTGTTAAAATCACAAGAAGATACGAATAACGGAGTACCAAAAACTAATTTCTCTGGACATATTCCAGTTTTGTCGCAGTGCGAGAAAAACCTCTTGGTAAATTTGTTGGGATACAATCAGAAGGATATTTTAAAGAAAACTCCTAGACAGATCGTGGACGAATTGTATTTCGTGTCCGTCCCACCTATTGATTTGAGCAATTTACAAGCGCAGTTATCGGAACGACATTCGGAATTACCTTCCATCGTAAAATGTGGAAATCCAGTGATTTTACCCGATATGGATCATTCCAAATTAACAGAGATCGATAAGAACACTATGAAAAGTATGACGGAAATCTTAATTGCTAACGATTGTCCGTTATATAGTCAAAGCTATCGTCCTGAGTTCTTAAGATTGGCGCCTCCTCTTTATCGTTCGATCGACGAGTTACCATGGTTCAACGTCACGGAACCTTCGCAATTTACAGTCGAATACGATAGTAATATGTGCGTTTCAAATTGTGCTGGCGCAGAAGCTCGTAGATTAATGGGCAAAGCGTTTAAAAGCGTGCTGACGCTGCAACAACAACAACATCTTGTTAACGAGTTAGATAGAGATCCGAAACTGGTGTATCATATTGGTCTTACTCCAGGAAGACTACCGGACTTGGTAGAAAATAATCCTTTGATTGCGATCGAGGTTTTATTAAAGCTTATGCAATCGAGTCAAATAACAGAATATTTCAGTGTATTGGTAAACATGGAGATGTCGCTTCATTCGATGGAAGTTGTTAATAGATTAACTACCACTGTTGATTTACCAACAGAATTTGTTCACTTATATATAAGCAATTGTATTTCAACTTGCGAAACTATAAAAGACCGTTACATGCAGAATCGTTTGGTACGCTTGGTTTGCGTTTTTCTACAATCCTTAATAAGGAACAAAATTATAAACGTGAAGGAACTTTTTATTGAGGTACAAGCATTTTGTATCGAATTTAGTCGCATCAGAGAAGCTGCGGCTCTGTTTCGCCTTCTGAAACAACTAGAATCTGGTGATATTGGTGGACTCAATGCGCCACCTACGAACAATAAATTGGACATGTGTTAATAGAATTAATAATGTTTTTAACTATTTTTCTGCTTAATTAAATTTTAACAAACGAGAATGTAACGTAGTGTTTCGCAGTGTATTTTTGAAAGTGAACATTTATAAATTTAATCACATTTTATACGTAGTTTTGATATATGTAAGTAAATTATTGGCCCTAATGAATTTATATTTTATAAATTATGTAAATACTTTCAGTTCAAAAAAATGAAAGATAAACGTTTTTATAAATATATACACAAAGTATATGAATCTATACGCCCTGATTTTTCATTGTTGAAACTAAAAAATTTATCCTCGAGTAGAAATAAAAAAAAACATTATTATCGACAATCGGATGAAATATTGCTTGTTTACCAGTATTTGAATATATCTTATAGTACTTTGTACATTTATTTATTTAAAATATACCTATCCGTACATAATGTAATTTCATATGTAAATCATACATTTTGTACCCCAAAAATCTAAAAAGGAAATAAATAATACTTTTTACACTTTCACCATAAAAACTGAAGTATTTCTCGTGATTATGAATTATTTTTTAGTGCTTTGTCTTATTATAAATTTAATAACGTACGTATAAATTTATGTGAATATACAATGAGTATCAATTGATGTGTAAATTGTATTATTTTAATTGATTTATTACTTAAATAACAATTTAAACAACTGTTTATAAATCAAATATCTATATGATCAGGTATAGAGTTTTAGGGAAATTATAGTAATTTGTAAAATTGATACAAAAGTATTAAATATTTTCAAGTAGCAGTCTCAAATAAATAGCTAAATAATTTATGTTAAAATCTTGAAATTGTATAATTTAGAATAATAAAACGAGATAGTTGTTCAATTTTTGTGTGTTTAGCATTCACACGCTTCGGTTTCTTTCTGTTTTCTAAATAACGATGATTTCGAGCAATTGCAGGATTATTTCAAGTGCATGCATATTAAAATTGCAAGGAAACAAATTTTAGATATGAAAAAAATTAAGTAACAATTTTTTATAATTCGTCTACCAAATTCTGAACAACAAATACATTATTTCTCTGTGCATTATTTTAGAATCAGTTTGGGTATAACAGAACGTATCGTTTAGACTTAGGTAATGAGTTTTACACAGCACACAGTAATAAACATAAAAATGACTAAATACATTATATATTTTTAAATATTCTTAAAAATAATATTAATAATAATTAAATAACGTTAATTAATTTATATTACAAATAAATTATTGGAATTGCAAAAGATTACAAAACTAACAAAATTGAGAAACAATGGAAAGAATTCTAATTCAGTCTCTAGTGCAGTATTTATAAGTTAGAATTGCACTTAAATTTCAACAGCTTTTTAAAGAAATGTTCATTTATGGAAAATTGTTTGAATCCTATTGGATAAAATATATTTCAAACATTTTTATGCTATAGTCTATAATTATTTTAATTCTTTTAACTATAATATTTTCAACAACAAAATATTCATGTGTTTGGTAACATGAATATTTAAATATATTTAACAATGTTCTCATTGTTTCTATTTTCAGTATAATCGCCTGCCATTTAAAAATCTAGTTTCAATTTTTTTATGATTGTAATCGAATCGATGTGGTTTATGTATGAAACAACAATGATGCGATTTAACAAACAATCCAATCGTTAACTTGTACTTGATCATCCAAACCAATTACTGACGAATGAATTAAATCCGTTACTGAGGGATGAGAAAATTCCACTATTTGTGTCGGCAGCCGTGTTGGTCCCAGGATGTGGTCGAAAATGTATCACATGATCTCGATGACCTTGATCCCTGTTTCCATTGTAGAAGCTCGATGTATTTTCATCTTCAGTTTGATGTCTCTATTATTAGGATAGGCGAAAGTAAACTTTTACAAATAAGATAATATCGTTGCATCATATGATACATATTATTTGATTCAAATTTTATTTTATACTTACGCTTGTCCTATGTAGCGTTACGTTGAAAGACGTTGGATGTTGTTCTACTACTCTAAATTCTACTTCTCGCGGAAGGTATCCGTTCGCGTATACCTGGATCAAAAATTGTTCATTAATGGCCTGAATACTAATTATCAAATTAATTATAATAATAATTATAGTTGATACAAATTTTTTTTAATAATTATAAAAATTTTAATGGGAGATTCTAGAGGCCACAATAAGACGAAAATCAAGGATACTAATTTGTTGATTGAGGCTTCGTTAAAAAGTTATAGAAACATTTTCGGCCGCCCGGTATATTTTCGGTAAAGAATTTTTTTCTCGAAAATGAGTAGGATTTTGGGGATGTGTCTATTCACCAAAAATGATTGTAATTGGCACCCGCAACTGTAAATAATTTTTTTATAACGATTCGAATTTTTTTAAGTTTTTCGAAAATCTCAGCACCTACTCGAATTTTTTTCTCGAAAGTGCGTAGGATTTTGGGGGTATGTGTATTCACCAAAAATTATTGTAATTGACCCCGGTAACTGAAAATAATTTTTTTAAAAAGATTTCAAATATTTAATTTTTTCGAAAAATTTGTCCACCTTTCTGAATTTTTTTCTCGAAAGAGCGTAGGATTTCGGGGGTATGTGTATTCACCAAAAATTATTGTAATTGGACCCCGCAACCGAAAATAATTTTTCCAAAACGATTTGAAATTTTTGTTTTTCATCGAAAAATTTCAGCGCCTAATGAATTTTTTTCTCGAAAGTGCATAGGATTTCGGGGGTATGTCTGTTCACCAAAAATAATTGTAATTGACCCTCACAACCGAAAATAATTTTTTCGAAACGATTTGAAACATTTTTTTACGCTGAGAAATTTCAGCATCTACTCGAATTTTTGTCTCGAAAATGCGTAGGATTTCGGAGGCATGTCTATTGACCAAAAATGATTGTAATCAACCCCCGCGACTAAAAATAATTTTTCCAGAATGATTTGAAATTTCTTTTTTTTTATCAAAAATTTCAGAATCTACTGAATTTTTTTCTCGAAAGTGCGTAGGATTTCGAGGGTATGTCTATTGACCAAAAATGATTGTAATCGATCCCCGTAAACAAAAATATTTTTTCCGCGAATGATTTAAAATTTATAATTTAATTTTTTAATAACATTTTAACGTAGCCTCAATCAACAAATTGATATTCAAACTTTTCAAATAACCGATTATGTTACCTCGAGTTTGTATACTCCTGGTAATAAAATTCTCCAAAATTCGCCATATTTTGTGGTAAGAAAACTGACGTCTCGCGATTTTACTTTAATGGACGCTCTTTCGATTGGATTTCCATTTTCATCGATGACAAACCCACGTACTCCTCTGTGAGCTTCTGCTAGGAACTTAATAAGAGCCTAAAGAAAATAAAGAAACCACACTTTATCAGTGTTACTTTATTCCAGAGAATTTATATATTATTCCATTTTCCAAACTTACTGCGCGATTTTCGTCCCAGTAAAATTGTAAATCGGTAGCTGGTGGATATTTACAGCATGAAAGTTCTAATGTGATCTCCATGCATCCGTTCCATACGTAGTTAAAGTCTTGCATTCCTCCAGTAAGTGGGTACCATTGCGCGCCATTAGTGATACCATTTTTGAATCCCGGTTGTGACGACGAACAGGGCAGTCCTTGGTACATAGAACCATGGTTTTGCGAATATACCAGCGACAGGTGTTGAAAGACGTCGTCATCAGGCGATATACTTGGCGCTGAAGTGTAACTCTGAAACACTGAATTGCCTGTATAAATCTTGGATCGGATATCACCTTTCCAAATATCCTTAACTTTTAAAGAAAATAATATTCGATCGCAAAGTTTGATCAGCATGAACCTCGAGATTTGCAAGAATAAGATTTGATAAAATATTAATTCGAACAATTTCAAATAAATTAAACTGCTAAATTTTAATCAATTAAAAACTGATACGAGGATCTTTAGTCGATCATTCGGTTAGCAAATGCATTGTATACCTGCGCATAACGGCGCTGACCGGCATATTCCTGACAGCATGAAAAGTTACACAATACTATGACATTGCTTTTAATGATGTTTATTAATGGAATGTAATTTGCTTTATTCGCAACAAGTGTTCGTATGTACAGTGGGTGTAAAATCCTGAATAATAATGTTTATGTCGGAAATGGTAAATAACGGCGAACTCCGGGCCCAAATTAAATAGGTCCGCGATTGCCGACAACGGCGCCATCTGTTTCCTCCTGGCACTCTCGCGAGTCTATGCTTTCAGTGTACACGTGGGAGATGTAACCGTTACGCGGAAATAACTATTATACATGTATTTACTTAATATAATAAAATACGTTTCGTGAATGATCTCATTTCGTGGAAAACACAACAGTTTACTAGACAATATTTTTTAAACAAACATGTATACTGCAAAATCTGTTGAACAACGTCAAATAAGCAAGAGAAATATTTATATCGTTTACGTGAATATCAAGAAAAATAAACAAAATGAATGGAATGATATTATTGACACTAGAACTACCGATAATTATAGTGTGTTTATTTGTACCAAAGAAATTGAAACGATAGATACGCGAAGAAATATATAATGCAATGGAAATAAGTGTTTATATATTCTCTTATAGAAAATTACGATAAATTTTCAAAAATTTTTTACAAGTTTTATTAGAAATTACGAATGGATAATTTTGACTGGTTTGGTAGTTCCAGTGTTAATAAAATCACATCTAGTTTAGTTTATTCAATATTTAGAAGGCTAGCTGCAATAACAAAATCAAAGGGAAAGTAATAGCCACTGTACGAATACTTTTTACACCCACTGTAGCATTCAAGTTTAATTTCTTGGAATACTCGTTGATTTTTTGCAGAGGACCCAGCGCAGAACTTATGGAAAATGGCCCCTCGGTTAAATTAACTGAAATTGTAGGTGAAAAGGGCTGTTTTTATAGTTCTCTCTATTTGTCCATAACAATCTCAATATTCATATTGTCTTGATGCCCTCTATCAGCGCAGATTGACACTTCGTTGGTAGATAACAGCCTTGGAAGACTGAAAGTTTATTCACGATTTCGGAATCGCACCAAACATCAAGTCCTTAATTCTCACATTCCCAAAAAATGAACTGTGCCAAAACATTGGGCACATGCGCACATATTGCAAGTGTTTTAAGGTTTTTAGGATTTGCTCGTCGTCAAAGGCATGTCAAATATTTGGATGGCGATCTTCTAAATACGACCAGAGATGCCACTGATAGAGACCATCAAGACAATATGAATGTTGAGGTTCTTATGGTCGAATAGAGAGGATTATAAAAACGACCCTCTTTGGGGCCACGTGGTGTGCAAAATCCGATCGAGCAACCTCCTCGTGGTGCACACTGATGCTAATGTCGACGGTGTTTCATGTTTGTACGATGAAAAAGAGAACCATTTTTTACCTTTTTCGGCGTTTTTTTATTTTGACTCCTGAATGGGAGTCTGAGGGTCAGGGGGTCAAGGGGTAATATTTAAGGGCCCACAGTACAACTACTGAGTTTCAAGGGGTCAAATAAATGGACAGTGTACAACAGTGCTTCTTGCACTCAAATATGGTCAAACGTGGTAATTTAGAATAAGGCGCACTATTATTGACTTTTGATCCCCTCGTATCTCGGAAACTGTTCAATTTACGAGCTTGGGCCCATTGGAGCTTTTCATCAAGACATCATGAACTACATCGTATCAAAAGTTCAGCTAATTTAACCGGGGGCCATTTTCCATAAGATCTGTGCAGGGTCCTTTCTAGTGCTATTTATAGTGGATACGAATGTAAATCAGGAATGTATTTGATCGTTAATGTAAAACAGGAAACGATATGTAAGCGCGTATAAAACCAAACTTACGTGAATTAGGCGTGTTATCGAACGGATAACTGGCGACTAAGGCACCTCCGTGTAAGCTCCCAGATAATACGAACTGGATTTTCGATACCCATTCCTTAACAGCCTCCGTTTCCGGTTGGCTTTTCCTATTGTTTTGCTTGAAATAGTCCGGGAAATTGCGGTTCAAATCAAATCCACGAGCATTATACCTGCGAGAAATATGTGCAAACATGATCATTTGAAGCTTCGTTTGGATTGTTATGTTTATATATATATTATTAATAAAGAGTTGTAACGTCTTACCTGCCTTGGCCCCCTTCACAGTATCCTTCCTTTGAAACCTCGAACCCATCGGGGTTCATCGATGGAAGAATATGAATTCTAGTGTTGTCTAGGAGCCACGTAACGTATGGATCCGATCCATAATTCGTCACAAAGTACTAAATATGAAGAACAAAGTTTAATCTATGTTAGACCTTTATATAATAGTTGATTTAAATTGTTCATTTTTAAGGAATAACTTTGTTATGAATTTTTTAGAAACTAATAAATAAATTAATGTTCTTGTTTAGTATTTATTCGAACTTCGGGTTAATGACTGTAGATGTACAGAATGTTCGGTCACCCCTGGGAGAAATTTTAATGGGAGATTCTAGAGGCCAAAATACGACAAAAATCGAGAATATCAATTTTTTGACAGGCTTCGTTAAAAAGTTATTAAAAAATTTCAAATCACTCTGAAAAAATTATTTTTGATTGCGGAGATCAATTACAATTGTTTTTGGTGAATACGCATACCCCCGAAATCCTACCCATTTTCGAGAAAAAAATTCAAGTAGGTGCTGAAATTTTTCGGTGAAAAAAAATGTTTCAAATCGTTTTAAAAAAATTATTTTCGGTTGCAAGGGTCGATTGCAATCATTTTTTGTCATTACACATACGTCCAAAAACCGACGCACTTTCGAGAAAAAAATTCGAGTAGGTGTTGAAATATTTCGGCGAAAAAAAATGTTTCAAATCGTTTTAAAAAAATTATTTTTGATTGCAGGGGACGATTATAATCATTTTTGGTCAAAACACCTATCCCCGAAATCCTACGCACTTTCGAGAAAAAAAATTCTTTACCAAAAATATAATTTCTAGCCAGCATGTAAATCTTTAAAACATCATAACTTCTGAACGGATTGGAGAATTTCAATGTTTAAAATGGCAAACAATGCGTATTTTAATGAAGAATATGTAGAAATTCCAAAAATATTCTGCAAATTGATCCTCGACACCGCAAAATGAGAAAAACCCCATAAAAATGGACCAATTTTCAAACAGTCATAACTCTTACAATAGTGAATATATTTTAATGAAATTTTTTGCTGAAGTAGAGCCAATGAGAACCTACAAAAAAGTACTGAACAAAATTTTCGTGGAACGTCAAAAAAAATTATTAAAAATCAAAAACCAATTTTCAAGAAAAATCAACCAGGGGGTGCCCAAATTTTTCGAAGAAAAAGAAAAATTTTTCATCGTTGAGAAAAAATTATTTTCAATTACAGTGGTCAATTACAATCATTTTTGGTCAATATACATACCCCAAAAAACCTACGCACTTTTGAGAAAAAAATTCGAGATGCTATGAAATTTTTCGACAAAATTAAAAAATTTCAAATCATTCTCTAAAATTATTTTCGGTTGCAATCATTTTTGGTCAATACATATACACCCGAAATCTTACGCACTTTCGAGAAAAAAATTCTTTATCAAAAATATAATTTCTGGCTAGAAGTGCTTCCCTGCATGGGAATATTTAAAACTACATAACTTCTGAACGGATTGGACGATTTTAATGTTTAAAAAGGCAAACGACGCGTATTTTAGTGTAGAATATGTAGAAATTCTAACAATATTGCAAAAGTTGTTCCTTAACATCGTAAAGTGAGAAAAATCCCATAAAAGTAGTTCAATTTTTCAAACAGCCATAACTCTTACAATAGTGAATATATTTCAATGAAACTTTTTTTCGAAGTAGAGTTCATTGGTACCTACAAAAAAGTATTAGACAACTTTTCTGTAAAGAGTCAAACAAAATGACTAAAAATGAAAAACTAATTTCTAAGAAAAATCGACACCGGGTAGGTTCTGAAATTTTTCGGCGAGAAAAAAAAATTTCAAATCGTTCTAGAAAAATTATTTTCGTTTGCAGGGGTCAATTACAATCAATTTTGGTGAACAGACAGTCCCCCGAAATCCTACCTATTTTCTAGAAAAAAATTGAAGAAGGTGGAAAATTTTTCGAAAAATTTAACAAACTTCAAATCGTTCTAAAAAAATTATTTTCGGTCACGGGGGTCAATTACAATCATTTTTGGTCATTACACATACTCTCGAAATTCTACCCACTTTCGAGAAAAAAATTCGAGAAGGTATGAAATTTTTCGACAAAATTAAAAAATTTCAAATCATTTTGGAAAAATTATTTTCGATTGCAGGGGTCAATTACAATCATTTTTGGTGAATAGACACCCCCCTAAAATCCTATCTATTTTCTAGAAAAAAATTCAAGAAGGAAAAGTTTTCGACAAATTTAAAAAATTTCAAATCGTTTTGGAAAAATTATTTTCGATTGCAGGGGTTAATTACAATCGTTTTTGGTGAATAGACATACCCCCGAAATCCTACTCATTTTCGAGAATAAAATTAAATGCTGGCGGAACTTTAAACGTTAATAACTTCTTTACAAAGCCTCAGTTAAAAAATTGATATTCCTGATTTTTGTCTTATTTTGGCCCCTAGAATCTCCTATTAAAATTTTATCAGGGGTAGTCGAACACTCTATATATTACACGATTACTTACATGAATCAGATGTAACATTAATTCACGACCCACAGCTTCATTTCCATGTATATTGGCTACGTACTTCACATCAGGTTTACCGATCATGTGCTCATACGGCGAGGAAGAGACAACCATTACCCACAAATCTCGACCTGAAAAATTGTAATAAAAACACCAACGAAAATAAAAAAACTTTTTCGTTTCGATAAAATCGCGTTAAATAACTGTTACAATATAATAGGACTTATGTAACTATCAAAATCAATTTTCAGTTCACAGTTGTCATTTGCTGGAATCAACAGGTTTCTCGCGCTGAGAAAAAGAAATGGCGCCAAGACCAACTCAGCGCCTTCTTGTGGAAGAAGAAATTCCGTCAATAAACGTATAAAGTAATGTTGCATAAAAAAAGAGTATTTCCACAAATGCAAATAGTTTTCAGATAAAATATAATTTTAACGACACTTTTGTTTGGGCGTACCTTTCACAGATTTCCCGATAGAGTACAAGGCAGTTAAGTTCTGGAAACGAAGCGACGTTGTTCGCAGAAAACGGCTCATTTGGTCGTAATTATGGTAAGTGAAGTCGATACTGTACGGCTCTTCGTACGCGTGAAAACGAGCATTGTACTGGTTGAGAGAACTGGAGAGATCCTTGTTGACGTGTTGCGAGGCAGCTGAAGTTCCATGAAACGCTCCAAACACGAAGGCAAACAGCAAAATCACTTGAGACATTCTGCGAACCAGAACACAACGAAAATCATCTATTAACTCATCGTTATTTTAAAAACGTGTCACCAAAAAGAAACTGTAATTCACCAATGAAACCAGTGTATTGTTCGTACCTTGCTTTGTTCGGACTAACACCTTTTCTGAGCAATACAGCGCTTTATATGCGGGAGGTGATTCGATAATGACAACGGCCACAAACGTAAATGACGGTGTATTTTGCAATCAAAGAATCAGCGTGATATAATAAAGGAATATAATTGCTTTCGAAACAATGGCGGACGATCGTAGATTATTATGCTTGGGATTATTTTTTGTACACACGCGCTTGAGGGTCGATCTCTTTTGAAATAATTGTTCGATCATTTCAATGGGCGCTTAAAAATACAAGGCGCCGCGGGAAAAAAAAAAATTGGGTTACAATTATCGGGGCTGGGACGAAATTAGTCGTCGATCAATCAGCGCACACTTGTGTAAAATCAAAGGTTAGCTGTTCGAATATACCGAAATAAAACAAAAATAGCTGTTTGGCGTTCCTCCTTTTAGCAAATAGAACGCAAACGATATCAGAAACATCTAAAATATCTACACTTTCAAGTTCATATACAATTTATCTGCGTTGTTATTTTTAATAATTCCAAGCTTGTTTTCTAATAATAGTAGTTTGGGGTCTAGTTTGACCATAGAGAAACCAATCTCGCTGTGAGTTGTATGTATCACGGGGCCACAGGCGGCGACCTCGAAAATCCAACAACTCAATTATACCGCGTAATGTCGAATTACACCGAACAGTTTTATTCCACAGCGTCAAATAGTTGACGAGGTAATGGAGGACCACATGGACCTTCAAGTAATTACATAAATATATATTTATATCAATCGTTGCCTTGGAGTTGCGTGTGACTGCTGTGGCCCCAATAACTCAAACAGGGTTCGAACAATTGTCAATGCGGTTTAAATAGTTACCAGGTTAGACCTTATCGCAACATTAATACCAACTGTCCTTTCAAAGAAGAGGAAGAGTTACCTGATTCAGCGAAGACGACCGCAGAGCAGGAGCAAACAACGTGGAGAGCAGAGGTAAAAAAGGTCTGAGGAATCGTCAGCAAGCACGTGGCAAGGCTAGACACCTCCTGTATCTTCCTTCGGGGTTTATGGTCTCAATGGCATAGCACAGTTGCAACAGTCGCAAGGCCAAGGCCGTCTCTCGCGGTTGAACGCATTTGGACGCTCTCGATCCTTTGTAAACACGGTTAGAGAACGATCATGGAGAAAGAGAAATAATTCCGCGACGGAACAGAGGAACGGTTTGTTTCACCTGCGAGAGTAACCCGAGGTGCGTGATACTGTGAGAACTTACAAAAGAGAAGCGCGAAGTGTGCCGCGCGCTCACTACCACCACCTCCGACCACTACCAATGAAACCCACTTCCTTCGTCACTGGCATCTGACGTCTAGAACGGCTACCACCACACCTGCATCGTTTAGTAAATACGCAGTTAACACCATTGCGCCCTACCACCACACCTTCCGCAAAACAATGAGCAACACACGAACCGTGTCATTCTGGCCCCCTTCTCTTCTTTTCTCTTCTCTGCTCTCCTACTCCTCTCTCTCCGCCCGCGACCAAGTCAACCTCTGCTTCCTCTCTTCCCCCACCATCTCTGTCGTTCGCCAAAAATCTCAGGTGAACGGTTCCCGGATATTTACAGGCTTTTTGGCCCGTTTATCTGTTACGCCAAAAGGGTACATTCGATTTGCATAAGATGGTGTTAGATGAGGCGAGGGGTACGCGAGAATCCTGATGCTGTAGCCTATTCCCACAACTATGACAGGGCCAGAAAGGGGTTTTTCTTTGCAAGCACTATTCTATATACAGGTACTCGGAAGTCTTGGATTCCAAATTTTTTTGTCCCCCTCGCGGGAGCAACTCTGCCGTGAAATGTGAATCCCACGTTGAAAAACTACGAAAACAGAGCACGGCACACGAGCAACGCTCCGTACAAGTTTGCTTTAAATAACGGTGCCAGTACGAATACGAGAGAGAAAGTAAGTGGAACAAAGTAATCGATATATCGTTCGAAATTTTCGAGTGAGTGAAAGCCCGTTGTTTCACAGTTTTCTCGGAGGCCTACGAGCGTCCACGATGTTAGAAAAGTTTAAGCATATTCAAGCGTTTTGTAATTAATATTCCTTCGATGGTCTCATCTCCGATATGTCGGGTGTAGTTAAGGTGGATGATAAAAAATTGGACCTAGAGAAAACAGCCCTTGCACCGGTTCCAAGGAACTATCGAGACCAGTGTCCTACTAGCAGTGCTCACTGAGTAACAGATCATACTCGCGGATGGATCGTTGAACCTTGTAGTATGGAACGCGTTTGAAAAATATTCCAGTCGGAAGTGTGTCACAGCGGTGTATGAGTAGCTGGTAGAGAGTGGAACTGGGGAAAATGGGGGTGATGGTAAGAGGGAGAGAGTGGGGAGGATTGGAGAAGAGAACTTCTCACGGTCGATGATCTACCTTGAGATGACCACGGGACCTCATTCTTAAAGGTCACTGGATATTTTCAGCTTCTAATTTTAACATACTTAGCACTGCATATTTTACTTTCTCGACTGCAATTTCAGAGCATTACCGAAGATCAGAGCCAAACGTAACAGATCTCGCGAAAATTGGAGCGATTCGTTGGAAACGAAGATCAAAGCCATTCGTTTCTCGATAATCCATACACGTCTATCACGAAGCTACAGAGGGACATTTTTATTTTTTAAGTGCTGTTGCAGATACTTTGTAAGAGGTAGTTTCACGTAGCAAGGAACAGGAATGTTTACGTGAGATATATAGGGTACAAATGAACTACAATCAGGCCAAAGATAGAATTTACTTGATAGGTGGGGAAAGTTCGAGGAACGGGAGTCTCTACTTTCTACTTTGCTCCTAAAGGTCTCTTCACGCTGACGTCCAAAGCGACTTGGCCAGATTTTATTCAATTAACAAATTAATGATTGGTAAAACCAACTTATTTATCACGTTTATACGACCTAACAATCAACGTTTTATCTATATTCGATTTGTATCCTGATACCCTGACTTTCTTATGCTATCAGAACATAACTCAGATGATTTGTGTTATTGTGTGTTGATCCTCAAGAAGGTCCACAGTGGGTCACAGCTATGGGTCACAGTAGCAATATCTTGAAATGGTATACAATAAAATTCTTATGAAATAGTTTTATAGGATTCAAAAATCCTATTTAATAATAGAGCAAATTCAATTTTTAAGTGGATATTATAAATTGACTATAGCAATATCTTGAAATGGTATACAATAAAATTCTTATGAAATAATTAATAACTCAGATGATTTGTATTATTGTGTGTAGATCCTCAAGGTCCACAGTGGGTCACTTATGATCCACGTGTAAATAGTACACAGGAAGAAAAGTGTTCAGAGTAGAAAGTTACTTGGAACATGCTAATGCTCAAAACCTGTTCCTTGTGTGCACCAATACATGGTGAAACAGACCCTATTGTGCTATATAATTATACATTTTTTTAGTACGTTTTACTCTGTAGTTTTTAAACTTCTTTACCTGTGTTCTGTTTTATGTAAAAGAATCACTCTTTCTTCACTCTGTTACATCATCTTGTAACCAGCACACTGCAGGTGTAACTCTTCCCCAATTTTGGAGCTCCAAACCCATACATGTACATATATACGTAAATATGAAGCCTTCTACTTTGGCAATCTTGGTCAATACCTTGGTGAAAGGATTATCTTACGTATATAATAACATCCCAACCAATCATTTCGGTATTTTACTTCAGTTCATGGGTGGAGCAAAGTTCTATCTTTTCTCTACAAATCTTGATTGAAGTGAATAGAGTAAGAGTGAAACATTCTCTAAAGTTCTGTGGTGTACTACAATGTATATGTGCTCTAATTGGATAGTACATGGTTTTGCAGTTCAGTTCGTTTAATTAATTACACAATGAAAGTGGAGTTCTTGAAATAGAGAAATACTTGAACAAAACAGTGTTTTAATAATTTACTTTAAGTGAAATAAAGTTCTTGAAACAGACAATTAAATACTTGAACAAAACAGTGTTTCGATAATTTACTTTAAGTGTTTGAGCACTGTAACAAGTGTGATTATAATAATTTAAATAATAGTGGATATAAGAATCTGAGATATTAAAGTTGTTTACCAAACCGACAATGTGGTTGGGTATTTTGTGTCTTGTGACAGTGTTGATTTTAAAAATATTGTTCGATTATAGACGACCCCATAAATTTCCACCAGGTAACATAAGTTACTGATAATGTTTTTAAGTTGGGTAGAAATTCAATAGCAGATATTGTTCATTTGTTTTGTTTTTTAAGGTCCTCGAGGACTTCCCCTTATTGGAAACATGATGGATGTGGCAAACTTATTGAAAGAGACTAAATATTATGCAGATGTTTGGAACCAACTGGCTGACAAGTATGGCCCAGTCGTTGGTCTCAGGTTAGGCTTCGATAAACCGGTGATTATAGTTTCCGGGAAAGCTGCCATTACGGAAATGTTGAATCGGCCGGAATTTGATGGCAGACCGGAAGGATTTATGTTTAAATATAGATGCGGCGGTGTTCAACGAGGATTGGTATTCACAGACACGGATGTTTGGCAAAAACAAAGGAGGTATATCGACAATAAAATTAATTTTAATAAAAATTCTTGCTTTCATTAGTCACTTTTTAATGAACACTTATGTACGCAATTATATAAACAGGTTTGCATTGAGAACTCTGAGACAGTTTGGCTTTGGAAAGTACACGATGGATCATATAATTCAGCAAGATGCAATTGCATTAAGAAATATTATTATTGAATTAACAAGAAACGAGGAAATGATGAATTTGCATTCTCTCATTAGCGTAGCCATTTTTAGCAATTTATGGTTCATCATAGAAGGAACAAAGTACGTGGTTGGAATAAAGAAATTTAGATCGAAAAGTTATCGAATTTCATTTGTTATTATGGTGTTTGGTGTTTAGATTCGACGTGGGCAAAGAAACCAAAGAATTGAAAGAAACAATACACAGGATTAAAGATATTCTTAAAAGTTCGAATATTTTCGGTGGCATTTTAAATTCCTTTCCTTTTCTGAGGCACATATTCCCAGGATTAACAGGATTTTCATTATTCAAAGAACGACAAGTCCAAATAGATGGCTTTTTTGTGGTGAGTCATAAAGAATTTTTTTCTTGGAAGCGCGTAGAATTTCGGGGGTATGTCTATTCACCAAAAATAATTGCAACTGACCCCCGCAAACAAAAATAATTTTTCCAAAACGATTTGAAATTTTTTAATTTTTTCGAAAAATTTGTCCACCTTTCTGAATTTTTTTCTCGAAAGAGCGTAGGATTTCGGGGGTATGTGTATTTACCAAAAATAATTGTAATTGACCCCCGAAAACAAAAATAATTTTTCCAGTAGGATTTGAAATTTATGGTTTTCATCGAAAAATTTCAGCGCCTAATGAATTTTTTTCTCGAAAGTGAGTAGGATTTCGGGAGTATGTCTATTCACAAAAAATATTTGTAATTGACCCCCGCAGATGGAAATAATTTTTCCAGTAGGATTTGAAATTTTTGGTTTTCATCTAGAAATTTCAGCGCCTAATGAATTTTTTTATCGAAAGTGAGTAAGATTTCGGGAGTATGTCTAATCACCAAAAATATTTGTAATTGACCCCCGCAAACAAAAATAATTTTTCCAGAACGATTTGAAATTTTTTTTTTCATCGAGAAATTTCAGTGCCTAATGAATTTTTTTCTCGAAAGTGAGTAGGATTTCGGGAGTATGTCTATTCACAAAAAATATTTGTAATTGACCCCCGCAAATGGAAATAATTTTTCCAGTACAATTTGAAATTTTTGGTTTTCATCGAAAAATTTCAGCGCCTAATGAATTTTTTTCTCGAAAGTGCGTAGGATTTCGAGGGTATGTCTATTAACCAAAAATATTTGTAATTGACCCCCGCAAACGGAAATAATTTTTCCAGAACGATTTGAAATTTTTTAATTTTTTCGAAAATTTCATATTTTCTCGAATTTTTTTCTCGGAAGTGATTAGTATTTCGGAGTTATGCATACTGATAAAAAAGAATTGCGATTGACCTCCGCAATCAAAAATAATTTTTTCAGAATTATTTGAAACTTTTCAATTTCGCCGAAAATTTCGATTTTTCTTGAAAATAAGTATTTAATTTTAATAAATTTATTTGCTGCTTTACGAAAATGTTGTTTAATACTTTTTTGAAGGCACCCATGAGCTCTACTTCCCCTTAAAATTTCATTGAAATATATTCACTATTGTAGGAGTTATGTTCATTTAAAGATTGGACCATTTTTATGGGGTTTTCTTACTTTAGGGGCTTAAAAAACAACTTTTCGAATATTCTTAGAATTGTTAAATATTCTTCATCAAAATACGCGTTGTTTGCATTTTGAAACTTTAAAATCCTCCGATCCGTTCAGGAGTTATGATTTTTTAAAGATATGCATGAAATTTCGAGAAACCATTTCTAGTCACTCATTATATTTTCAGTAATGAATTTTTTCCTCGAAAGTGCGTAGGATTTTGGGAGTATGTCTATTCATCAGAAATAATTGTAATTAACCCCCACAACCGAAAATAATTTTTTCAAAACGATTTGGAAAAATTTTTTTTCTCTGAGAATTTTCAGCACTTACTCGAATTTTTTTCTCGAAAGTGGATAGGATTTCGGGGGTATGTCTGTTGACCAAAAATGATTGTAATCAACCCTCGCGTCTAAAAATAATTTTTCCAGAATGATTTGAAATGTTTTTTTTTCATCAAAAAATGTCAGTATCTACTCAATTTTTTTCTCGAAAGTGTGTAGGATTTCGGGGGTATGTCTATTCACCAAAAATGATTATAATCGACCCCCGCAACCAAAAATATTTTTTTCAGAATGATTTGAAATTGTTTAATTTCGATCTTGTATACGTAAACTGACTAGCTGAACTTAATTAGAAACTTCGCATTTGACCCAAGATTCGTAAATAGTAGGTAGTTCCTTTATGAATAGCTCCATTATACAGAGTGATTCTCTCACTAGTGTACTCAAAGGCCTCATGGTCCTTGAGTACACATGCGTGTATTATAATTACCTCATGTTTTATAGCCGTATTTAACTAATGCTTTATTTTTAACTGTTATTATTATGTTACAGGATGTGATATTGAAGCATAGAGAGAATAAAATGGGTGGCCAATCTACAAATTTTATAGATTCTTATTTACAAGAAGTGGACGTACAAAAAGCAAAGTCATCTATCTCTTCTTTCACTGGTAATTTTGTTTCCTGTAATTATTCTTAAGTTTAAAATAAATAGTGGTCCTCGTATCATATGATAGTAATATATATTTTGATGGTGTTCGTCACGTTTCCTTCTCGTAGCGAGAACAGTCCTGAACAACACTTTCGCAAACCGATAAATAGGACAAGGTGGAACCAACACATGGCCACCCCGGCCGCCACGGTCTCTTGACCTCAATTTGTTACATTTTTACCTTTGGAGCCATTTGAAATCGTCTAAAAAACCGTTGTTAGTTTAATCTGCTGCTCGGAGTGTCTATTCTCACGAGATGCAAACGGGGAAAGATCCTATATGGAAAGATGTACAGGGTGTTCAGTTACCCCTGGGAAAAATTTTAATGGGAGATTCTAGAGGGCAAAACAAGATGAAAATCAAGAATACCAATTTGTTGATGGAGGCTTCGTTAAAAAGTTATTAACATTTAAAGTTCCGCCCGTACTGAATTCTTTTCTAGAAAGTGGGTAGGATTTCAGGGGTAGGTCTATTCACCAAAAATGATTGTAATTGCCCCCCGCAATCGAAAATAATTTTTCCAGAACGATTTGAAATTTTTTAATTTTGTCGAAAATTTCATACCTTCTCGAATTTTTTTCTTGAAAGTGGGTAGGATTTCGAGGGTATGTGTAATGACCAACAATGATTGTAATTAACCCTCGCAACCGAAAATAATTTTTTCAGCATGATTTGATGCTTCTTTTTTTCGCCGAAAAATTTAGGCGCCTACTCCCTGTTCATTTTTCTTAAAAATAAGTTTTCCATTTTTAATAATTTTGTTTGACGAGCTACGGAAAAATTGTCTAATACTTTTTTGTAGATGCTCATGGGCTCTACTTCAGAAAAAAGTTTTATTGAAATATACTCACTATTGTAAGAGTTATGGCTGTTTGAAGATGGGACCATTTTTATGTGGTTTTTCTCATTTTTCGGGGTTAAGAATCAACTTTTTCAATATTGCTGGAATTTCTAAATATTCTTCGCTAAAATAGACGTTATTTGCCTTTTTGAACATTAAAATCCTCCAATCCGTTCAAAAGTTATATTGTTTTAGACATACAACATGCAATATTTCTAACCTCACATTATATTTTAGGAAAAGAATTTTTTTCTCGACAATGCGTAGGATTTGGGTGTATGCGTATTAACAAAAAATTATTGTAATTGACCCCCACAAACGAAAATAATTTTTCCAGACGGTTTGAAATTGTTTTTTCCGTCGAAAAATTTCACACGTTCGCGAATTTTTCTCTAAAAAGTGGGTAGGATTTCGGGGGTATGTCTATTCATAAAATATTATTATACTTGATCCCTGCAAACGAAAATAATTTTTCCAGAATGATTGGAAAATTTTTTTTTCGCCGAGAAAGGAACTACCCCTGTCAATTTTTGTTTTAATTTGTTTTTCATTTTTAATCATTTTGTTTGGCGCTCTACAGAAAAGTTGTCTAATAAGTTTTTGTAGGTACTCATGGGCTCTGCCTCAGAAAAAAATTTCAATGAGATACCTGTACTATTGTAGGAGTTATGGCCGTTTGAAAATTGGGCCATTTTTAGGGTGTTTTTCTCACTTTTCGGTGTCAAGGAACAACTTTTTCAATATTGTTAGAATTTCTACATATTCTCCACTAATAAGATATGTGTTGTTTGTATTTTGAATAATTAAAATCTCCCAATCCGTTCAGAAGTTATGACATTTTGGGCCTCACATTAGATTTTCGATAATGAATTTTTTTCTCGAAAATGCGCAATATTTCGGGGGTATGTCTGTTGACCAAAAATTATTGTAATTGACCCCCGCAATCGAAAATAATTTTTCCAAATCAATTTGAAAGTTCTTTTTTTCGTCGAAAAAAGGCACCTAATTAGATTTTCGGTAAGAAATTTTTTTTCTCGAAAGTGCGTAGGATTTTTAGGATATGTGTAACGACCAAAAATGATTGTAATTGATCCCCGCAACTGAAAATAAGTTTTTCAAAAACGAATTCAAATTTTTTAATTTAATTGTTAATAACTTTTTAACTCTGTATGCAATTTTAAATGTTTGTCTCTGCCCACTTTTCCATGCATGAAATATTTTGTTTCAGAAAATCAATTAACATACGTTTTGAAGGATTTGTTTATCGCTGGGGTAGACACTACGGACAATACCATTGGTTTCATAATCGCGTACCTCGTAGTACATCAGGATGTGCAAAACAAAGTGCACGATGAAATTGATAGAATCATAGGCAAGGATATTTGCCCTTCTCTCAGCGATAAAAATCGGTAAGACATATTGTGAATATCTCATAGGCGTATGGTTTAAAAGTAAGAAAGGAGCGTAGGGTGTAATTGGAACTGTTGCACATTTGGATCGCCGTAAAGTGATATACAAGGTGTTCAGCCGCCCCTGGAAAAAATTTTAATAGGGGATTCTAGAAGCCAAAATAAGACGAAAATCAAGAATACCAATTTGTTGATTGAGGCTTCGTTAAAAAATTATTAACGTTTAAAGCTCCGCCTGTAGAACGGCAATCTGCAAACAACTGCGCATGCGTGATAGTGGTTCTCACTCACAAGACTCGCAACTTTAAACGTTAATAACTTTTTAACGAAGCCTCCATCAACAAATTGGTATTCTTGATTTTCGTCTTATTTTGGCCTCTAGAATCTCCCATTAAAAATTTTTCCTGTAATTGTATACCTGTAATTCGGTTCTAACTCAGAGTGAATCTATTATTTAAAATATCTCAATCTGAAAATTCTTTTCAAGAAACCTCCACAAATATTTATAAACAATTGTAATCTGATTCCTTTCTTAATTTGCACTATATTCGCTTATAGATTGCCCTATCTGAACGCAGTCTTAACAGAAGTGGCGAGAGTAGCGAGCATCACTGCAACCACTATTCCACATAGAGCATTAGCAGACTCCAATTTACTAGGTTTTGAAATTAAAAAGAATTATTCATTGCTAGCGAATCTTAAAAGCGTTCACATGGACAAAGAGCACTGGGGAGATCCAAAAGAGTTTCGTCCTGAAAGATTCATCGATGAGAATGGACAATTCGTCGATGACCCATGGGTGATGCCTTTCGGATTAGGTATCATTATTTCTTTTAATTTGTTTGAAATATATATTAATAAATGTAACTAAATCCTTGTTGTTTACAGGTCGCAGAAAATGTCTGGGAGAAACCGTAGCGAAAAGTACACTTTTTCTTTTTGCAGCATGCTTGTTCCAAAAGCTACATTTCATGCTACCGGAAAAGCATCCTGAGCCTTGCCTTCGAGGCATCGATGGCTTCATCGTTGCACCGCCTGTGATGGACATTATGATTGTTCAAAGATACTGATACCAAAAATGGTAAGACGTATGTACTTAATAAAGATTTTATTTATTAAACTAAATCTCCTTTCCAGTCCCTTCCAGAATTAAAAAATATGTTTTCGACTTCTAACTTTAGGGGTCCTCAACATCCTCTGAAGATGAACCACAAAATATTAGTAATAAATGATAGTTTATGTTGGCAACACTGCCAAGAATCTGGCAACGCCTGGGGCGGGGAGAGTAGAGCTCAGCAGTATGGTATATGGCGGTTAGCAGCATAGCAACTGTTTAGGTTATGTCTTGTTGGTTGTAAATTGAATGTTTAATTGTGTTTTGAGTTTAAATTTACCTTTATATTCATATTATAAAAGCGTGTATTTTATGGCTACCTCATCCAGAAAACACAACACTTTACACTTAAGTTTACTACACAGAAACATTGTCTTATTGGAGCATGGTAAAATGAAGAAAGACAAAATGGTAGAAAGACAAAGTAACGTTTATTATAAGAAGTATATTATTACAAAAGTAAATGCGAAGGGTACAAACGAAATAAACGTAATCAATAAGTAATATTCATGTCGTAGTCGTCCTTGTGATAAATGAAAACTTTTTTGAACATCATGTTGGGTCCCTTGAACACGAAATCATAGTAAGGCTTATCCAGAGGGAAACCATAAGAGTTGCCATCGAACACATAGTTGCCCCATATTCTGGAATAGAACGGTTCTTCCTTGGAGACTGGATTGATGTACAGGAAGAATTGGAAAGGCATTCCTTCTTTCTTGCCTTTTGGTAACAGCAACCTTTCTGGGAATCCCGAGATTCGTTCGTTGTATGTGAATGGCTCGCTGGTGTTCAGTGATCTCATCACCTTTTGGTAGAACAATTCACTGGGTTCTTGATCGGGCCACAGGAAGTAACAGTCTTTGCTGCTGCGTGTGATTTTATTTAATCCAGCGTTCACTGTTGAGGATATACAAAAGCAATATTATATAACTTCAGATTACTTTGCTCGATAGTCCAAAGATAAAAACTTACGATCGACGATCCAGTTGTCCATTTCGTAGAAGTATTCCAGACTATCTTGCAGGTCAATTAACTTGTGATGGGAGGTACTTGCTGGGCCAAGGAAGATCCTAATGGCTGCCTTCATCGGTTTGTCCGCGTTCACCGCGATGTGGAAGTTGAACGGTTTGTGATTCAAACGATATTGCCTGATTTTGATGTAGAGTGTCTCAGCCTCTGTGTCGTCTCTGACCATTAAACCGTTGCTAATGGTCGCGTCGAATTCATCGAAATACGTTATCAGCTTGTCAACAGCGAAGGATTGGATGTTCAGATTCGGGAAAATAACTTCTTCCATCGTGTATGGCTTCTCGCGCATTTTGAATCTGCAAGAATAACGTTAACTCACCGTTTGTTTCAGTGGATAGAAAAATGGTTTCGAAAGGTCACCTGCGATAGTAATCGAGAATCCTCTTGTACAGACGGTAGAAGGCGGGGTCCCTCAAAGAAGAGGAGTAAGTCTCCAAAGCACTAGGAAGTATTTGATAGTTGGTCATAGACTCCAAGTTGAACCCTAGGATCTTCCTGCCAAGGGCGTCGATGCTGCCATAAAACTCTCTGTTGCAGGAGTCCGCGTTACCCTCGAGCATGTTCCCGAGCATGCTCAGGCCCTCAGGAGTGTAAATGTTGTGCCATTTGCCGGTGCTGCCCAGTACAAAGCCGGAATCGATCGCTGCAGTTAATCTAGACTCCATGTCACTGACATCCTTTAACAAACGCGGTCGTATTAATCGAATGGTGGTCGATTAAACTGATCAGGAGGGAGCAAGACTATGGGAGACAACTCTGTCTGGTGGTACGATCCTTTATTTGTGGAAATATATTCGAGTTTAGGGTAGGTAAACATAGGTGCAAAGTGTCACATGGGAATAATTTGCGTTGGGTATGTTTGCAAGTAAAAAAGGATACCAGGTGAGGTCCTCGTGGTAGATGGTGAATTATTTAGAGAAGGGCTCAGTGTTGCCTACGCAACAGCGGTGAGCTTGAGTGTACGTATCTCGATCTACTCTTACCTTGATATACTTGTATTTGTAATACGGGTAAGTGCTCCAGCTGGGTCTCTGAGGGAATGGTAATCCATTGTTGAAGGTCATCGTCGGATAATAGCCGGGGTAGAAGGGTTTGTTCCAATTGAAGTCTTCGATCTTGGGCAGATCGTTGGCTAATCTTTCTAGATTGTATCTGTTCAGCAGTAGCTTATGACAGTATAAATATTCTTCACCGCGGTAAGCCGGGAAGCCATATTCCTTGGATTCCTGCCAGAACGGGTACTCTTGCCGGAAGAAGAAGTAATACGAGTTTAGGCCTATGTCCTCCACGAAGTAGTTCAATTTGTTCTCCATGTAGTACTCGCGATTGAAGTACCAGCCGGAGTAGTTCGCGTTGATTATGTACGTTATGTTGTTTGGAGAATCCGAAACTGAAATTAAGCGTTTGTCAACCGTGGTCGTTGATGGTATTTTAAACAGTTATCAGAGTTTAGGAGCAGATGAATGAGATAGTTACCCAGCATGCCGAAATCCTTGGGATGATGGACCTTGTTGAGCACTTCGGAGTTGAAGAAGTAGTATGGATATAGTTCGTAGGGCGGTGGAAGTTGGATGTACTTGGTGTCCGGCCTCTTCATCACCGCGTTGTAAAGGGCAAAGGTGAATTGGCCCTCGTTCACGTTAGCCCTAGCCCACAGGGCTGTTTTGTAGAACACTTCGAAGTCGTTCGCGTAGTAGAAGAGGTCGAACAGAGCCGCCATTTCCTTCTGCAACTTTGGGTAGTAAACCGAGAACATCTCACCGCGGCCAAGCATTCCACTCTTGTACACCGAAAGGAACTTCATCGCGGCCTGGAAAAGAAAGAAGTTTGACGAAGTTTCGACGCGGTAAAATGATCAAATTTGCGAAGATGAACGTATCGACCGATTACTGACATAGTTCCCGTAGGAATTGGCGTTCGCCTCGATGCTCCATGCTTGGCCCTCCTCGTACAGGTCCCGATTCACCACCATAGGCTGGCTGACATGGTAGAGAAGATTGTAAACTTTCTTCTGCTTGAGAAGGAAGGCGGTGTCGGCTGTTCTTGTGTCGAAGTACGACGCCTGGACGAACGGAACGGCCAGCAGCCCTAACAGCCACAGCCTCAGCATCTTGTATCCCGGTGGCAAACTGGATCTCAAAGCGAGGCTGGTCGCAACGCGGTCATTCTTATACCCCATCATCCCCTCCTCGATTATTGCAACGTCGATTAACGGAAATGTCAATTATAAGAATGTCCATTATCGGGAAGGGCGAGGCAGGCTCGTACAATATCGCGAGCAGATCGCGGATGTTTGTGCAAACGCGTATTTTTGAAGAAAACAGTGGCGTGGAACTTGCATAGAAATTTATTATGTAATTAGAAGATTGGAGAAATGTATTGTTATTGAAAAGATCGAACGCAAGATCAACGCTCATAATAGTTGTACAGCGATCTTTCTAATGTCATTTAAAAGGTCAAACTCGATACTTTTGCGTGCTGAAATTGTACGAAAAAAATTCATTTTAAACACGTTTCGATGTACATACGTGCATGTTTGTATAACTTTAATCGTAATTTATTTATATTTTCGTGACGACGGATATAAATGTATCAAGACACGCTATCGAACGATGATAGTCGTTATCGCGTAAAACACTTGCTTTTTACTCGAGATCATAGCTTTCCTTTCCCGTTTGTCCACGCTTCGTTAATAACGCACGACGATTCTTTTGTCTGGCCGATAATTTAATGATTTATGCTGGAAAGGAAGCCGCTTTGTCTAAACAGCTGCTACTTTATCGCGTATAACGTTCGCTGCGTTGCTTTCGTTTTAATGACAGTTTAATATCCGTAAATAGTACCAATGTTCCCTCGTGTAGAACTTTGGGGACGTTAAACAATTTTTCTGCGAATATTCTTAGGTATCGAAGCATCCACTACTGGATTTTCTCTCCTAAAGGTCGTTTATAAAGACATAATCATAGTCTGCATATCATCAAAGTTTGCATAGACATGGGAGAGTACGCGAGGGCTGAGTGAAACGTACGAAAATCAGTATAATTTCATTTTATTCTATCTCTTTATACATCTCTTTCTCGAGGAAACTATGACCGGTGATGACTTAAAAATACCATGCTCGTATCTAAACGGGAACGTTCAGCTCCTCTATTTCCTTGTGGTAGATAACCACGTCGTTCAACATCATGTTGGGAACGGCGAAGTGCAACGGGTCGACCGGTCGGTCCAAGGGGAATCCCATGGAGCGTCCGTCGTAGGGCTGACGACCCCAGGCGGGCAGCACGATGTGCGTGAATTTCTTCTCCTCGATCGGCGAGACCATCACGAAGAGCTTGTAGGTCATGCCCTCCTTCTTACCCTTGGGCAGGATGAGCCTGTCGGGGAATCCGGTGGTCTGCGTGGAGTAGCTGAAGGGGTCTGCGCTGTCGATGCTAGCCAGGATCTTCTTGTACAACGTGGTGCTGGAAACCTCGTCCGGCATCACGTACAGAGACTCGTGGCTGCTTCTGTCGATGTTGTTCGTTCCAACTTTCACTGAAAGAGTAACCGTTTTCGTCAGTCGTGGAAGCTCAACAAAAGCTTCCCTTCGGTTCGTTGCTAGATATACGTACGGTCGACGACGAATTGGTCCATCTCGAGGAAGGTCATGTAGTTCTTCGTGAGGTCAAGCTCGTGTCCATAGACGTCGTGTTTGGGTCCCAGGAAGATGCGCACCATCGCTTTGGTGCTCTTGTCGCTGTTGACGGCGATGTGGTAGGTGAATGGTTTGTGGTTCAGACGGTGCTGGCGAGCCATGATGAGAGTGTTCATGGCTTCCTTGTGGTTGTGGATCGACACGCCGTTGTTCAGCATCGAATCGAAGTGATCGAAGTACGTCACCAGCTTGTCCACGGTCACGGATTGGATCTCCACGCCGGAGAACAGCAAATCTTCCTTGGTGTACTTTGGAATGTTCTCCTTGTATCTGGAATCGTTTGAATTTTTAGACTTGCCTGGCTCTGTTGATTCGTTAGTTTGATACATACCTGAGGTAGTAAGTGAGGATGTTCTTGTACATGCTGTAGAAGACAGGGTCCCTCAAGCTAGTGGTGAAGTATTCGAGGGCGCTAGGCACTATCTGGTATTTCACGTTGGATTCCAAACCGAATCCTAAAATTTTCCTGGCGACGAGGTCCAGGTCTCCGTATAATCTCGGGTTGATGCTGTCCGCGTTACCTTCTATGATATTACCCAGGATGTTCAGTCCGTTTTCTGAGTAGATGTCGATGTGGTGGCCCTTGGAGTCCACGACGTAACCAAGATCGATGGCGGTTGAGATTCTGTTGTGGAGATCCTTGACCATCTGTAACGGATTTCGAGGGTGAGCATCGTCGATAAACTTCTGAACCTGGCTTTTACCAAGTACCATTAATGCTCATTGCTGGTTACAATTAAGAATCTCACCTGAATCAATCTGTACTTATGAAGAGGCACGACTGAGTTCGATTCCCTGTGTGGGAGGGGAAGTCCATTGCGATGATGCATCGTGGGGTAGAATCCACTTTCAATTGGCCTGTCCACGCTCACGTAGTCGATCTCGCCCAAGTCGTTTGCAAGTCTCTCCAAGTGGTATCTGAATTTAATTTCTATGTAAAACCACTTGTCTCGTTCGTACTTTTGTCCAGGAATAGCAAATAACAAGAGATTTATACCTGCACAATAATTGTTTGTGCACGAAGAAGTAGTATTCACCGCGAGCTTGGCCCGGTAGGTTGTACATCTTGCTTGGCATGAAGCGAGGGAAGACCTGGTTTATCAAGAAGTAAAAGCTGTTCAGCTCTACGTCCTCGGTGAAGTAGCTCATTTTCAATTCGGGTACGTCTTTCCTCGTCACATACCAGCCACTGTAGTTTGCTGGTAGTACGTAGTGGTTGACACCCTCCACCGTCTTCGTGACACCCATCGCTGAATTAAAACAATTTTCATTAAATGATTGCTATCGTCCGTGAGGGATGTTTTTATCGTCGTTGCACTAACCTACGTCGCCCATAGCGATGTTGTAAGCCTTCTGCATGACGTCGTCGTTGAAGAACATGTTGGGCAACAGTTCGTACAACGGTGGCAGCTTGAAGTGCTTGGTGTCAGGACGATGCATGACAGCCACGCTTAAACTGTAAGTGAACATCATCTCGTTCACGTTGAATCTGGCCCAGACAGCCGTGTTGTAGAAGGCGTCGAAGTTCTTCGCGCTGTGGAGGACTCGGAAGAGCACCATAGCTTGGTGTCGCATCTCAGGGTTCGAGATCGAGAACACTTGTCCGCGTGGCAGGATTCCATGTTTCAGAAGGTCCAAGAACTCGGTGATTGCTTCCTGGAATTAATTATTATCTTTAATTTGAGAAGTTTCCTTCGAGGAGTCAAAATGGCGAAGAAGACACAGGGAGTAACTCGATAAATCTTGTATGTGCCGTGGAAATTAACGAAAAAAATGTTATCGAACAGGCTCCAAGCGTATGTTGATGACATTTTCAAAGAAATAGAAATAGAAATGGTGGTAAATTGATTGCCTCGTGGAGTTAATTGTCGTTTTTAATTCGAGGACTCAAGATAGCGATGAAGACAAAGGGAGTAACTCGATAAATCTTGTATGTGCCGTGAAAATTAATGAAAGAAATGTTATAAAGCAATCCCCAAGCTTATGTTGATGACATTTTCAAAGATATAGAAATAGAAATGGTGGTAAATTGATTGCCTCGCGGAGTTAATTGTCGTTTTTAATTCGAGGACTCAAGATAGCGATGAAGACAAAGGGAGTAACTCGATAAATCTTGTATGTGCCGTGGAAATTAACGAACGAAATGTTATGGAACAGGCTCCAAGCTTATGTTGATGATATTTTCAAAGAAATAGAAATAGAAATGGTGGTAAATTGATTGCCTCGCGGAGTTAATTGTCGTTTTTAATTCGAGGACTCAAAGTAACGAAGAAGACAAAGGGAGTAACTCGATAAATCTTGTATGTGCCGTGGAAATTGACGAAAGAAATGTTATGGAACAGGCTCCAAGCATATGTTGATGACATTTTCAAAGAAATAGAAATAGAAATGGTGGTAAATTGATTGCCTCGCGGAGTTAATTGTCGTTTTTAATTCGAGGACTCAAAGTAACGAAGAAGACAAAGGGAGTAACTCGATAAATCTTGTATGTGCCGTGGAAATTAACGAAAAAAATGTTATCGAACAGGCTCCAAGCGTATGTTGATGACATTTTCAAAGAAATAGAAATAGAAATGGTGGTAAATTGATTGCCTCGTGGAGTTAATTGTCGTTTTTAATTCGAGGACTCAAGATAGCGATGAAGACAAAGGGAGTAACTCGATAAATCTTGTATGTGCCGTGAAAATTAATGAAAGAAATGTTATAAAGCAATCCCCAAGCTTATGTTGATGACATTTTCAAAGATATAGAAATAGAAATGGTGGTAAATTGATTGCCTCGCGGAGTTAATTGTCGTTTTTAATTCGAGGACTCAAAGTAACGAAGAAGACAAAGGGAGTAACTCGATAAATCTTGTATGTGCCGTGGAAATTGACGAAAGAAATGTTATGGAACAGGCTCCAAGCATATGTTGATGACATTTTCAAAGAAATAGAAATAGAAATGGTGGTAAATTGATTGCCTCGCGGAGTTAATTGTCGTTTTTAATTCGAGGACTCAAAGTAACGAAGAAGACAAAGGGAGTAACTCGATAAATCTTGTATGTGCCGTGGAAATTAACGAAAGAAATGTTATCGAACAGGCTCCAAGCATATGTTGATGACATTTTCAAAGAAATAGAAATAGAAACGGTGGTAAATTGATTGCCTCGCGGAGTTAATTGTCGTTTTTAATTCGGGGACTCAAGATAGCGAAGAAGACAAAGGGAGTAACTCGATAAATCTTGTATGTGCCGTGGAAATTAACGAAAGAAATGTTATCGAACAGGCTCCAAGCTTATGTTGATGACATTTTCAAAGAAATAGAAATAGAAACGGTGGTAAATTGATTGCCTCGCGGAGTTAATTGTCGTTTTTAATTCGAGGACTCAAGATAGCGATGAAGACAAAGGGAGTAACTCGATAAATCTTGTATGTGCCGTGGAAATTGACGAAAGAAATGTTATAGAACAGTTTCCAAGCTTATGTTGATGACATTTTCAAAGAAATAGAAATAGAAATGGTGGTAAATTGATTGCCTCGCGGAGTTAATTGTCGTTTTTAATTCGAGGACTCAAAGTAGCGAAGAAAACAAAGGGAGTAACTCGATAAATCTTGCATGTGCCGTGGAAATTGACGAAAGAAATGTTATAGAACAGTTTCCAAGCTTATGTTGATGACATTTTCAAAGAAATAGAAATAGAAATGGTGGTAAATTGATTGCCTCGCGGAGTTAATTGTCGTTTTTAATTCGAGGACTCAAAGTAGCGAAGAAAACAAAGGGAGTAACTCGATAAATCTTGCATGTGCCGTGGAAATTAACGAAAGAAATGTTATCGAACAGGCTCCAAGCGTATGTTGATGACATTTTCAAAGAAATAGAAATAGAAATGGTGGTAAATTGATTGCCTCGCGGAGTTAATTGTCGTTTTTAATTCGGGGACTCAAGATAGCGAAGAAGACAAAGGGAGTAACTCGATAAATCTTGTATGTGCCGTGGAAATTGACGAAAGAAATGTTATGGAACAGGCTCCAAGCATATGTTGATGACATTTTCAAAGAAATAGAAATAGAAATGGTGGTAAATTGATTGCCTCGTGGAGTTAATTGTCGTTTTTAATTCGAGGACTCAAAGTAGCGAAGAAGACAAAGGGAGTAACTCGATAAATCTCGCATGTGCCGTGGAAATTAACGATAAAAATGTTATGGAACAGTCTCCAAGCTTATGTTGATGACATTTTCAAAGAAATAGAAATAGAAATGGTGGTAAATTGATTGCCTCGCGGAGTTAATTGTCGTTTTTAATTCGAGGACTCAAAGTAACGAAGAAGACAAAGGGAGTAACTCGATAAATCTTGTATGTGCCGTGGAAATTGACGAAAGAAATGTTATGGAACAGGCTCCAAGCATATGTTGATGACATTTTCAAAGAAATAGAAATAGAAACGGTGGTAAATTGATTGCCTCGCGGAGTTAATTGTCGTTTTTAATTCAGGGACTCAAGATAGCGAAGAAGACAAAGGGAGTAACTCGATAAATCTTGTATGTGCCGTGGAAATTGACGAAAGAAATGTTATAGAACAGTTTCCAAGCTTATGTTGATGACATTTTCAAAGAAATAGAAATAGAAATGGTGGTAAATTGATTACCTCGCGGAGTTAATTGTCGTTTTTAATTCGAGGACTCAAAGTAGCGAAGAAAACAAAGGGAGTAACTCGATAAATCTTGCATGTGCCGTGGAAATTGACGAAAGAAATGTTATAGAACAGTTTCCAAGCTTATGTTGATGACATTTTCAAAGAAATAGAAATAGAAATGGTGGTAAATTGATTGCCTCGCGGAGTTAATTGTCGTTTTTAATTCGAGGACTCAAAGTAGCGAAGAAAACAAAGGGAGTAACTCGATAAATCTTGCATGTGCCGTGGAAATTAACGAAAGAAATGTTATCGAACAGGCTCCAAGCGTATGTTGATGACATTTTCAAAGAAATAGAAATAGAAATGGTGGTAAATTGATTGCCTCGCGGAGTTAATTGTCGTTTTTAATTCGGGGACTCAAGATAGCGAAGAAGACAAAGGGAGTAACTCGATAAATCTTGTATGTGCCGTGGAAATTGACGAAAGAAATGTTATGGAACAGGCTCCAAGCATATGTTGATGACATTTTCAAAGAAATAGAAATAGAAATGGTGGTAAATTGATTGCCTCGTGGAGTTAATTGTCGTTTTTAATTCGAGGACTCAAAGTAGCGAAGAAGACAAAGGGAGTAACTCGATAAATCTCGCATGTGCCGTGGAAATTAACGATAAAAATGTTATGGAACAGTCTCCAAGCTTATGTTGATGACATTTTCAAAGAAATAGAAATAGAAATGGTGGTAAATTGATTGCCTCGCGGAGTTAATTGTCGTTTTTAATTCGAGGACTCAAAGTAACGAAGAAGACAAAGGGAGTAACTCGATAAATCTTGTATGTGCCGTGGAAATTGACGAAAGAAATGTTATGGAACAGGCTCCAAGCATATGTTGATGACATTTTCAAAGAAATAGAAATAGAAACGGTGGTAAATTGATTGCCTCGCGGAGTTAATTGTCGTTTTTAATTCAGGGACTCAAGATAGCGAAGAAGACAAAGGGAGTAACTCGATAAATCTTGTATGTGCCGTGGAAATTGACGAAAGAAATGTTATAGAACAGTTTCCAAGCTTATGTTGATGACATTTTCAAAGAAATAGAAATAGAAATGGTGGTAAATTGATTGCCTCGCGGAGTTAATTGTCGTTTTTAATTCGAGGACTCAAAGTAGCGAAGAAAACAAAGGGAGTAACTCGATAAATCTTGTATGTGCCGTGGAAATTGACGAAAGAAATGTTATGGAACAGGCTCCAAGCTTATGTTGATGACATTTTCAAAGAAATAGAAATAGAAATGGTGGTAAATTGATTGCCTCGCGGAGTTAATTGTCGTTTTTAATTCGAGGACTCAAGATAGCGAAGAAGACAAAGGGAGTAACTCGATAAATCTTGTATGTGCCGTGGAAATTGACGAAAGAAATGTTATAGAACAGTTTCCAAGCTTATGTTGATGACATTTTCAAAGAAATAGAAATAGAAATGGTGGTAAATTGATTGCCTCGCGGAGTTAATTGTCGTTTTTAATTCGGGGACTCAAGATAGCGAAGAAGACAAAGGGAGTAACTCGATAAATCTTGTATGTGCCGTGGAAATTAACGAAAGAAATGTTATCGAACAGGCTCCAAGCGTATGTTGATGACATTTTCAAAGAAATAGAAATAGAAATGGTGGTAAATTGATTGCCTCGTGGAGTTAATTGTCGTTTTTAATTCGAGGACTCAAGATAGCGAAGAAGACAAAGGGAGTAACTCGATAAATCTTGTATGTGCCGTGGAAATTAACGAAAGAAATGTTATAAAGCAATCCCCAAGCTTATGTTGATGACATTTTCAAAGATATAGAAATAGAAATGGCGGGAGATTTCACCTTGTCCGTGAACTTGTCGATGTTGTCGGCGACGTTAAAGCGTCGCGATTTCTGGATGAGTTCTGGGAAGAAGATGGTGGGTTGGTCGACATGCCAGAAGAGCTCGTAGATGATCTTCTGCTGGACGAGGTGCGACTTGTCGGTGACCTGGCTTGGAATTTGCACAGCCTGCGCCAGTAAGAAGCAGCCGGCCAGAATGCACAGAACGGATCTCATCTTCGCGATCATCGTTGAACCAAAGTTGGATTAACCGAATCCGTCGTGAGATTTATATACCGTGCTTCTTATACCACCGGTCCTGATAACAGGTTGATAATGTATCAGGGTCGATTTAGACCACGGTCGCGAGGGTGGTCAATCGCTTTATCTTCTTTTTCGCTTCTGTTTCGCAACCGTTTGCGTTGATAGGGTGAGATTCAGCCAAAACCAGGCTCTTTCCATCAAAAACTGAGTAAAATGCTATCTTTAATAACAAATTAACATTTTTTATTAAATCGTATACTTTGTAAAATAAAATATTTTATTACTTGAAAGGGTTTTGTTTAAACTAGACTTTATTCGAAGGCTGCTTGGAAAATATTTTATTACTCTACTTTTCATTTCATTTATTTTTATTTATTTTTACAAGAATTAAATGAAGTAAATGAATTTAATTTGGGAGAATTTTATTTCTTGAAAAGATTTTTTAAAATACGATTTTATTGGAAGGTTTCTTGGAAAATATTTTTTGTTACGATATTTTATTATTTTAATTTATTATAAGCAAATACAATATTTATATTCATTGTTAATTGCATAGTTACAATTATTTTTTTAATATTATATAAATATTTATAATATTTAATTAGTTCTCGATTATCTGCTATTGATTAGAATTGTCGTGGTCTGGAACAAACCGATTAATCGAAATATCATCGTGTTTACATGAAATAACGATAATACACTTTCTCCGGCTGCATGATCCGGCACAGCAGATTTTAATGTCAAAGGTGACCGACAATCGTATAGTAGATTTCATTGGTCAAAGGATAACCTGATGTTATTTAACGGAAATTGAATATCTATCGGTATGTTATATTTCTTAAATTTTATTTCACGGTTGCAAATTAATCTAAGCTTATTACTTAATACTTCGGGAGAAAAAAGAATATAAGTATTTTATTTTCTGACGATAAATTAAACAAATAAGATATTTTATACAGTCACCGAAATATTTTCCACGTAATATTTAAATAAAATCCTATTTTAAAAACTTATTTCAATGAATAAAATATTTTATTTTCATAATTTGAAGCATCATACTTTCCCTTTGATTAATAAATGCGTGTTTAAAAGTGTTCTTAGTTCAAAAATGAATTGTTAACAAAAAGTACAGCATTTGCTAATAATAAATTTGTTAGAAATAAGGCGCCATATTTTTCTACGCCACCTAGAGTTCTTTTGACTTACTACTTTCGTAACGTGTGGCTTTTGTCTGTAACGAAGCCTCGTACTGAGAGGAGGTCCCACAAATTCCCACAAAATTAAAATAATAAAATACTGTACACTGTAAGAGAAATATTTTCCATGTAACTTTCGAATAAAATACTTGCTAATTAAATTTATTTACTTCGTTTTGATGCTCCTTGTAAAAGGATCCAAAAAGTATTGAGATTTCCATTTCTTTTACGTTGCATCGATTTATATTACAATATTATGAAATAATTATTTCCAAGTGACCATGATTATGTCACTGTCATAATTATCAGAGATAATTCCACCTCTATTATCTTCGTCGAGACGTTTATTTATTGCATTTATACGACTGTCATGGCGTAACAATATCTTTTTGGTCATAATCGAATAAAATATTTCACAACTAAGAAAGAAGTGAGAGTTTGCTCATTTCTCTATCATTCTTAAGAAATTATAGTAAAAAATTTATTCCATGATTTGTAAATTACTTTTTTCAGTAAAAATTCCGAATTGTAGACTTTTATTATAAATAAAACTAATTTATATTATTTTTATAGACTGACTCTACGATCAGTATTGTTTATTATCATATTTATTATTATGTCATTATTGACATAAATATGAAAAATAATTTTAATATTTTGTATTGCTTATATTCTTTTGGCAAATACTTTTCCTATTTTGAAAGTGATTTTCAACGTAAGATTTCATTTCGTAAAAGAATTAAATGTCCCATAAATATTACTTTCCATCAGAAATAAAAAACTAAACCGATATAAATAGAATTGTAACTTTGCAATTATAAAATTTTCAGCTAATTTCGACCTAGTCGTAACCTAATTACTAATGTTCAGAATTTCTGTCTGCCTACTAATATATTTTTCTATTTTGTTCCAGATCAATTCAAAATCGACTGAACAAATTTTTGAGTAGAGTGAGTACCATAATTCTGTTCTCTGGATATAGTGATATGTACTGTGCGAAGCTGGTAAGATGATTAACGGGTATTGACATACTTCATCCCTGTCTTCGATGTTCCTTCAGTCGTCATCATTCAGTTCTTGGTGGTAATATCAAATATCAAATATCAAAAATAATATAGACGAATAATTTGTTTGATACTCTTAGAAAATTGTTTGCTTTATTGTAGTTAAAAGATAATTATAATATTCGGTTTTGTTTGGGAATGAAGGCATGTTTTACAAATTTAGAGAGCATAATATTTCATTATTTAAATTGTTTTTTATTATCACGTGCAAATATGAATAAACCTGAGTATTATCATTTATATTGGCATAGAAACACTCAACGCAAGTATTGTTACATACAATCGCGTTCAAACACAGATACACACGGTCACTGTTACTCTCACTGGAATACAAACATTCAGATGTGGATATTGTCACGTACAATCACATTCAACCACAGATAAACGCAATCGTTATCACTTACATTCACACTTAAGCTAAATACGATTATTTTCATGTACGATCCCATACAGAAACAAACACATGCTACTATCGCCACATATCAATGGATTTGACAATGTTTTCATACAACCATCGAGATACCATCGCATAGAGATGCAAGTGACTGACTTTGGTGGTGAGAAAGAACGAAAGTAATTCTTTAGAAATCTTTATTCGTTGATTTTTTGGTCATAATTTAACAAAGGAACGGGCTGTCGCTATAAACGTTTCCTTTAGTACTTCATTTCTTTGTCCAGCACGCTGTAGATGTTGACGTCTTTCATGAACATGTTAGGAACAGTGTAGTTCCAGCCGAAGACTGGTCTGTCCAGGGGGAATCCCAGGGACTTGCCGTCGAACATTATTTTACCGAACATGGGGAACTCGTAAGCGTTCACGTTGCTCTCGTCGTGCTGGCTCAGGAAGAAGAACATTTTGTAGGGCATTCCTTCCGGTTTGCCTTTGGGCAGACTGAGACGGTTCACGAAACCGAACTCCCTTTCGGAATACATGAAAGGCTCGCTTCCGCCTATCGCCTTCTTCAGCTTCTCGATGAATATGTCGCTGGGCGTCATGTCCTGCATCGTCATGAACGAATCTGTGCTGTGGCGGTCGATGTTGTTGCTTCCCGGACGAACTAATGGAGAAAACATGTTAGTTAAAGATTGACACGCTAACAGAAAGCTAACAGATTGATGTAAAACAAGAACAACTAACGTGATACGACGAACTTGTCCATCTCTACAAAGTATTTGTAGTATTTGGTCAGATACAAGGCGGTCTGGGTGATGTCGTCGAAGGCAGGGCCGAGGAAGATTCGAAGGACAGCCTTGGTCTCTTTGTCGGAGTTTATGGTGAATCTGTAGTTGAAGGGCTGGTAGTTGAGACAGAGACGACGAGCCTTCAGACGGAAGGACACGCCACGGTTCAAGTTCTCCACGGATACGGCGCTGTTGACCAGAGTGTCGCAGTTGTCGAAGAAGGTCGTCAGTTTGTCCACGTTCACGGACTCGATCCTCACTCCGGGGAACTGCAACTCGGACTGGGTGTAGGAGTGTTGGTTTTCCTTGTATCTGCAAATATAGAAACCATTAGCTTGGTGAATAAACAGTATCTTAAGGCTGTTAGGAAATAGTACCTGAAGAAGGAAGTCATGATTCTCTTGTAGAGCATGTAGAAAGCAGGGTCCCTCATGTTGGTGCAGTAAGACTGAAGAGCGCTGGGGATTATTTTGTTCCTGTTCGTCTGTTCCGCGCTGAAACCAAGTATGTCACGAGCTAAGGAGTCGTACATTCCATAGAATCTTCTGTTGCCCGAGTCGACGTTTCCTTCGATCATGTTAGCGAGCATGCCCAGGCCTTTAGGCGTGTAGATGTCCACATGTTTCCCTTGGATGTCCACGAAGTAACCAGAGTCGATAGCGTCCATTATACGAGACTCCAACCTGTTTATTTCCTGAAATGTTACATGAAAGAGTTTATTATCACTGTTGTTGAAATAGGATTTCCTTCATTGTTCAGTTACCTTTAGGTGTTTGTATTTGTAGTAGGGTATCGACGAGTATCGGTTCCTCTGGGGGATTGATATTCCGTTGGAGTACGTCAGAGTGGAGTAGTATCCAGGGTGGATGGGTTTGTACCAGTCGAAGTCTTTTATCTCGCCTAAGTCGTTGGACAACCGTTCGAGGTTGTACCTGGCCAAGAGTTGCTTGTGAACGAAGTAGTAAAACTGTCCGCGGATCTCAGGGGGGATACCAGACTGTTTGCTGCTCAGCCAGAATGGGAACACTTGGCGGAAGTAGTAGTAGAAAGCGTTCAGTCCGACGTCCTCCATGAAGTAGTCCAGCTTGTATTCTCCGTTTACTCTTGGCATGTAGGCACCGGTGTAATTCGCGTAGATCATGTAAGTCTCCGCATTTTCGACTCCAGGTGCTCCGGTGACGCCTGAAACAATGTTTTTTCGAACAATTCGTACGGGGATCGTGTTTGAAATAAAGCGCCATCTAGAGTCCTTCTGACGTATTACTGTTGTAGAGAGTGTCTTTTGCCTATAACGAAGCCTCGTGAGTCCTCGTGTGCATTAAAGGGTGTTGCTGAGAGGAAGTTTTGAATATTTGAACCCCCAAATTCCCAAAGAGAAATAGACGGTATATTTACCTCTGGCCATCTTGATGTTCTGTGCCTCTTGGATCACGTCAGAGGCGTAGAAGAGGTTAGGGTAGATTTCGTAGATGGGAGGCAGTCTCATGTACTTGCAGTCGTTTCTGTACAGCACCGCAACCGTGAAGGCCGTGGTGAAGAGACCAGAGTTCAAGTAAACGCGGGCCCAGGATGCAGTCTTGTAGAACGTTTGGAAGTCTTTGGCGGATGTGAACAGCTCGAACAAAGCCTGCATTTCCTGTAACTGCTCGCTGTTGAACGGAGAGAAAATAGCATTGCGGCTCAACAGGATCCCCTGCTTGTAGCCCCATACGAACTTCTGCACCGCTGACTGAAAGGAAATGGTCAATTGGTGTTTAATTATACTTCTTAAGCGTAAGAAATTGCAAGGATTTTATTGTATGCGGATGAAACAGAAAATTGAACGTTGGGGGTTTAAATAGATAGTTACCTTGTCCTGGGTTAGGTCTGGGTTAATAATACAGTGTTTACTTATACTCTTTAAGCGTAAAAGATTGCAAGGATTTAATTGTATTCAGGTGAAAGACAAGATTGGAAGTTGGAGGTTTAAATAGATAGTTACGTTGTCCTGGGTTAGGTCTGGGTTAATAACATAGTGTTTACTTATACTTTTTAAGCGTAAGAAATTGCAAGGATTTAATTGTATTTGAGCGAAAGACAAGATTGAAAGTTTGAGGTTTAAATAGATAGTTACCTTGTCCTGGGTTACGTCTGGATTAATAATATAGCGTTTAATTACACTTTTTAAGCGTAAGAAATTGCAAGGATTTAATTGTATGCGGATGAAACAGAAAATTGAACGTCGGAGGTTCTAAATGGATAGTTACCTTGTCCTGGAACATGTCAATGTTGCTTTCGAGATTGAAGTTTCTGCCTACATTGTAGAATTCGGCGTCGATTAGGTCGTTTTGCCGAACGTAGAGCAGAAGTTCGTAAATCTTCTTCTGTTTGTGCAGGAAGTCCATGTCAGCCGTGTGGCTTCCGGTGACCTTCATGCTCTGTGCGGTGCATACTGCGCACAGAGCCACGAGCAATGCTATCTTCAACATCCCTTACGAATTGCGGCCAAACCTCGAAGGAAGTTCAACGTTAAGTAGCTGGTCCTTCGACCATCGACAGCTTTTATACTTTATTCGTAACATAATAATCGCTTTGAACTCGTGACCCATATCGCGTTCCCAAGATACCGTGTGCCATCAATGCATGTATATCTTCAGGATTGTTAACAAGCGGATCTCTTAAAAAACCATTGGCGATTTACTTGCAAAATAAAAATACGTCGCGTTGGTCGTTTCTCGATAAACTCGACGCGATTTCGGTGGATTTCGTACCGTATCATTTGGCAACCGTTTTGTAATACCTCTGTTTCTTATTTTGGTGGAATATTCTGTGGTCTTTAAACTTTCTCGTTGGTATTTAATTTATAATTTTTCTCCGCCTAGAAACAAGTATTTAATATTCTCAAACGAGTACATTCGCCATCTTGAATGCCATCAAAGGCTTGAGAACTCTATGTGATTTTGATAAATTAGTATTTTCGTACGGTATCATTTTGTAATGTCTCTCTTTCTTATTTTGTTAGAATATTCTAAGGTCTTTAAACTTTCTCGTTGGTATTTAATTTATAATTTTTCTCCGCCTAGAAACAAGTATTTAATATTCTCAAACGAGTACATTCGCCATCTTGAATGCCATCAAAGGCTTCAGAAGTCTATGTGATTTTGATAGATTAGTATTTTCGCATGGTATCATTTGACAACTATTTTGTACTATTTTTGTTTTTTATTTTGGTGGTAGAATATTCTGTGGTATTTAATTTTTTATTAACAAACGTTTATGATACCCCAGTTTTTAAATTGATGGTGGATAGGTTCATTAATTTATGCTGTTTCTTTAGCAATCGACCAATATTAGACGAAATTTATCTAACATTAATAAGACAGTTGGGTTTGATGTCTTTTTGTCGTTTCTTCGATATTCGACTGTAAAATTTGCAGAAAAAATATTTCAAATAACAAATGCTTTAAAATAATATTTTATAAAACGAAGAAAAATATTTACCCTTTAATACTAGTTTAAAAGAGTTCTTAATTCGAAAATAAATTGTGAGAAAAATAAAAATATTTGCTGACAGTAAATTAAAAAAATAAAATACTTCATTTTTTATTTTTTCAATTTACAATTTTTTTTTACAGTAGTAACAGAAATGTTTTTCCAGTAACATTCGAATAAAATGCTATTTTAAAGAAGATTTCCAACTAATAAAATATTTACTTACTATTTGCAAAATGAAGTAAAATATTTATCTTTTGTTTAATAAATACTAGTTTAAAAGAGTTCTTAATTTAAAAATAAAAATGGTTTATTTGCTGACAGTAAATTGAAAAAATAAAGTATTAATAATTAATAAAATACTTTATTTTTTCAATTTACAATTTTTTTTTACAGTAGTAACAGAAATGTTTTTCCAGTAACATTCGAATAAAATGCTATTTTAAAGAAGATTTCCAACTAATAAAATATTTACTTACTATTTGCAAAATGAAGTAAAATATTTATCTTTTGTTTAATAAATACTAATTTAAAAGAGTTCTTAATTTAAAAATAAAAATGGTTTATTTGCTGACAGTAAATTGAAAAAATAAAGTATTAATAATTAATAAAATACTTTATTTTTTCAATTTACAATTTTTTTTACAGTAATAACAGAAATGTTTTTCTAGTAACGTGTTCGAATAAAAATACTATTTTAAAGAACATTTCCAACAAATAAAATATTAATTTGCTATTTGCCAATTAAAATAGTATTTTATCCCATCTCTGTATTGATTAAATTATTTTCAATAACACCCCTTGTGAAACTAAACTTTCTCCGGTTGTTTGTCACTTTTGTCGTAATCTATCAAAACAGTGATACATTCGATATACATGTTTTGACATTGCTCACCACGCGGTGGAATTAACCAGCAGATGCTACTCACCTATTCGTTGACCCGTGGATCATGCAGGGTATATCAAATCATGCTCATAAAATCGCCATCGACGGACAAAAATAATAAAAATTCATCCCTGTAAACATTTGTTCTGTTCGGTCATTTTAAACCCTGTAAACATTTTTATCGTCTCAAAATTAATTAGAATAAAATGTGTCTTTTTGCTAAAAAAAAAAGCCTCGATCGACCAAATTTTTTTTTTATTAAAATTAAATTAGAATTAAAAAATTCTAGATGCTGTCTCGATTTGTTGATTCAAATGATTGAATTCAGGCTAATCAAATAATTTTATTTTATTATTTTATATTAATTTTTAAATAATTAAATTTTTTGAAATATAAACAAATTTATGAATTATATTCGCTTACTTTTACATTTTGTTTGCAACTTCAGATCAGTATACATAATCATCAAGAAATCAACCTTTAAAATCGAGTGTTTGTTCTTTATAAAATTACAAAAATATTCCAAACCAAGTTTCATACTTGTAAATATATATATTGCTTCCCATTGTTTTCTTTTTGAATAAAAAAAAGCCTAGTCTAATTTAAAAAATTCCATTTTTTTTTTTTAACGATTTCGTAAAGCGACGATTGATTAATTATTTACAAACATTTCAAATAGCTTTTAATTATATCAATTACATCAGAGATTAAACTCATTAAAACTAATCGATAACATGAATCACGATATGTACATACATAGATATATGCATTGCATCGAGTATTATTCTAAAAGATTATTTTCCAAGGCGATATATTATTATATAAAGCTTTATCTTCGTGTTAAATGGCGCGGAACCATATTGATATCGATAACCTTGTCGAACTTGGCGATTATATATAATATATTAATTTTTTACTCATGTTCTGCCATTATGTATATGTATATACAAAATGTTCATTTTAGAAGTTACAGATCAAATATTTCGTAAACAATGCATTTTCAAGAGAAGTGTTTCAAATAAGTTTCATTATTTCGAGACAGAAATGCAGCCATCTTGTTTATTTTTCAATGTCATTCGAAAGTCAACTTTGTTCTTTTAAATGGAAACAGTAGTAGTTGGACACATTTTTTTATCATACTTCTTATTCAAAAGATATTTAATAAAAGTAATAAAAATATTACTTCAAATAAACAAAATAAAATACTGTTATTTCTAAAATCCATAATAAAATATTTTATTTTGATAATTTATACCAAATGGTAAAACATTTTAAAAAAGAGTTAAGCTATTTATTTTGCGATAATAAATTAAATATAGCAGAAATATTTCCCAGTAACTTTCGAATAAATTACTATATTAAACAATCGTTTCAACGAATTAAATATTTTCGAAAATGAGTGATCTGAAATAAATTATTTATTTACTAATTAAGATAGTATTTTACCTAGCTCTGCCCAAAGGTTCCTCGGGTTTCACCTCCATTGAAGCCAAGGGCTTATTTTATATAAACAAATTAACTTCGTAACTCCCTAATTTACAACAGTAAATCATTTTTTGTTTTATTTGTACCACCCTATACGAATCTCACCATCTCCTTTTTTTTAACAATTCTAACACAGTTTTGATTAAATCTAATTCTTTTATTATTCAACACCATTGCCTGTTTCACACTTCGTAACTCTCTGCCGTTTAACTACAGAATTACAAGATATTATATTCAAACGGAATTTGACGAAGTTGATGCAATAATACAGCTTCATTGTGTCAGCCATTAAATATAGGCTATCCAATTACTATTTGGTCAACAATATTCTCCCAAATCTAACGTTAATCGCGTTACAAGAGATCCAATAAATATTTCCATACAGCAGATAAGAACTATAGCTACACTTTCCCTTTTTAAGAATTTTGAAATTTTATATATTTGAAAATTGATGTATTTTATATATTATATATATTTTTTCCCCATAATGCAGTTGCAAACAGTTTTCCTAGTACAAATAAATAAATTAATTAAGAAAACAGATGATCAAGTCTTTCTCAGAATTTTTATTATCCTTATAATAATATTAAAATTCTTATCAATATAATTAAACTCTTAATTAAATGACAAAACAATTCTCGGACATTTGTATTACAAGAAACAACTCTAAAATTTTCATCGAATCATTTTAGTTGAGGAATGACTATGATAAATAATCGAACTATGATAGATTATTTACGGATTACACTTAATTCGAAATTGGAACCGATAGAAAATAATTGATGTTGAATTCCAGTAGTTATAATTACCACTAACTTAACCGAACGATTATATACTCTATCTCTAATTTTAAAAATAATTAATAGTATATCTGACAATAGTATTATACAATATTATTTTTTTTTTTGTCGAATGATTAATTGATCAACAAATTAATTCCAAGTGTTCTATGAATTTATAAACAAAATAATTAAGGGGGTATTCCGATTTAGAATTTCGAAAAGATTTATTTTTATCGATGACCCGCAGCTCGTGCAATTTTTATTACTTTTATTCTAAAAAATTACTATGTATACTCGAGTACAATTCTCTTTTTAAAAAATAACAAAGGGCTAAAAATTATCTAAATCGGAATATTCCCTTAAAATATCGATCGAATACTTTCGCGTCGATCTTGGAATTAAACAATAATTCTACTTTTTTCGTACGATTTTGTACACTGGCTCTCCAACTTAGAGCCTCTAGGGACATTCGAGATCTCACTGAAAGTTTCCTGTTTTCTTTCCCTTCTCGATATTCAGCGATGTCTTCTTTTCTTTTTTTTTGGGAAATAAATACTTCTATAGAATTCGGTCGCGAAAGGAAAGTGAATTTTCACAGAAACGGATTGTGGATCAAAGCATCGGTCAATGATGAAGCCCTCCGACTTTTAGCTTTTTCGATTGACGTATAGTTCTGCTCGCTTCGCTATCGGAAGACTCAGACTCTGTGTCGTTGTACCCAGACATTGGTACGCCTTCTGATTTCACTTCGCAAGTTTCCGCTGCAAAATTTCCCGTTATCTTTGCTTTTTCTAGTGCTCGAACTATAAATAATACATTTCGAGGTGATACAAATATCGTATTTCAAAAAGTTTCAAAGTTGATTGATAATTGTTCGATATGGTCCAGTCGAGGAAATCGAAAATCCCCTTTTTAGATATTAAAAACACACAAGTCATAGACAAAATAAGTCTTGAACGACATGACATTAAATAGTTAAATTATTTAGATACGCTGAAAGAAATATTCGATTTCTTCGATCCACTGCTATCCAAAATAGTTTAATTATTCTTCAGACATTTTGATTCTAATTTGCAAAACAGTACACATTAAAAACAATTTGAACAGACATAAATATCAAACAAAATTCATTGTTATCCCACTACGTCGATAAAACGTGACTGAGACCAGTAATTACTTTGAGACTCCAAGAGATTGTTCTGGCGCTTCAGGTCGTCGATGTCCTGCTGATGCGAGGAATTCTTACGGCGCATGAATTGTATATATTCCGCAGCCTTCTTGAGTATCTGTGCTCTGCTCGCAACCTTTTCGCCCTGCAGAGCCGGTACCGAGTCTCTGAGACTCGAGAAGCTATCCTTAATATGGTCTCTACGCTTGCGTTCCAAAGCATTATGATGTGCGCGTTTCTCTGCCTAGAAACGCGTATTTAATATTCTCAAACGAGTACGTTCACCATCTTGAGAGCCACCGAAGGCCAGAAGACTGGATTTTGAAGTTTAATCGTTAGGTTTAATTATTATGTTTCGTGGATGAACGACCTTTGAATCAGTGATCGAGCGAGAAGTAAATGATAGAAAATAGATTAGAAAAGGAGAATGAATTGACTTACTTGAGAATATTCTGTGTTACGTAGAAGAATAGAATGTTAATTGAATTCATTGATCGCATTTGAAGTGATAAATAAGGAATTATTGTGAGACGATCGAGAAGCAGTTAATAATAGGGAAATGAATTGAAAAGGAAGGAACTGATAACGCGTGCTACATAGAATAATAAAACATTAATTAAATACAGAACCATTTAAATTTTCATTCACTTCATAACTATCTATTGAAAGGGAAAATATTAATATTTTTTTAATTAATCATGCTCGTATCGTTGATCTAGTAGCAATTAATAATAAATGAATGGGCGAGGAAGGGATTGACTTATTTAATAGTAACATTAATTCAAAGCTTCGATCGAATTCCAAACTACTTAAAGCCCAAATATTATTATGTTTCGCGACTGTTTGGTAAACGTCAAGCTAACCTCAAAAACATTTCAAATTTAAATTTCTTGGACTAATTACGTTAGTATCGTTGATCGAGTGGCAGTTAATAACGGGAACTGGATCCGAAAGGAAATAGAATGAAAGGAAATAGAAGGAATTTACTTACTTGAGAATAATATTGCGTGTTATTCGAATGCCTCTGTCTAGAGTCGGAGTCGTCGCCTTCCTAAAAAACGATGCCTTTAAGAAGACTAATTGAAACGACGTTTTTAAGGACTTACATCGCTCTCAATGTCGATTTCACGATCATCGTCACTCATTCTAATTTCCTTGGACGACTAGCAATTGGTAAACAAATAGCTCTTATCGAATACTTTTACTGTTTGCATGCATACAGATGCAAGTTACTATCCTACTACCCAAGGCTGCCAATATAGAACCTTACTTCTAAACGATACAAAAAAAAGAACCAAATCCATACATTTATTTGCTGGTTACAAAATATGTGTATTTAGAAAAAGTAAAGAAAAAGAATTGAAATATTTTTTCACGAGACCATAGGGTATGTTACTCCTTATTCCGTCATTGCATATATTTATATTAACATTCGCTTTCTTAATCTAGAATTTCTAATCGTTAATGTAATTTGCTTATAAAAACTTCGCCCTCTATAGCAAATACTAAATTTCGTTAATAGTTTCTATTCTTGTATTTTGAAAATACCGACAACATCTGGTTTTGGGCGATTGTAACACGTATTCTTAATTTCTACTTTTCTTTGTAATATACATTAAATAGAAATTATATGCATTGGTCTATTTAATAAACTTCATCCAAAGTTTATTTTTATAATAAAGAAGGAATCTACTATTGTGTGAAAGTTTGCATCGCCATCTACGGTAGAACGCCCAAGATTGTCGAGAAATAGTTCCCTCCAAATCTAGATGCCAACCCAAATATAATAGACCGATATTCTTTTGTTTTTATTTATTTATTTATTAACAACAGTTAAACCTCTCTTAGGCTTATATATCTGTTTGGTTAGTATATAAAATTAACATTTTTATAAATAATATCAGTCTCGATGTGTATATATTTTTAAAGTTGTATTATCGTCCTTCCACGAGAAGAAGACACAGCGTGTTTATATCCTCACTCACTCTTGCTGCAGTCCGCTGATTGGCTGTCACCGATTACGTCACTGTTTTCGACCAATAGTGAGTCAGCTGACTGCACAGGAGTGCGGAAACACGCTGTGCGCAGTGCCGTGCGCAGTGTCTGCTTGTCGTGGGAACAAGGTACTTAAATTTTGGTGATTATATCTAGATTAGATTGGAAATTTGTAATGGAGTAAAAACGTATTAGAAGTGCTTTAACCTCTTAGGCACGATGCGCCACTATAGTGGCTTTCGCGAATGTCACCTTTCTGAACGACGCGTCATTATAGTGGCTCACTCGCTCACCGTTTGAATTAAGTGATCGTTTTCATATGTTTTGTTTCACACTCTTTTTGCCTTCACAACGTTTTATAACAGTGTTAACAATATACAGACAGAATATACAGTCATCAAAAAACTTCGTTTCAATGTTTACGCGTAATTCGCATTGAACTCCGTCGTACAGAGGTTAAGAGGTTAATGTTCGGTACTTCTAAGAATGTTTTAACAGAGTGTGGAGGTTTAACAAGCGTTTGTTTGATTTTCAGATCTCAGCGTTGTTCCACCGTTCCTTCATAAGCGGTGCAGTCCCACGGAATGTGATCGATGGTAGCGTTCACTGTATCCACAAATGCATGCGGAGCTGGTAATAATGTGTCGCCTTGCAAGAGAGGATGCAACGTAATGTTGAACATTCACCGCTGGAGCAATGTAAACATTTTATCGTAAGGTCAGTATAAATATACTTTATAGAAAACATCAGATTTTTAATAAATTGTGACCGTTATATTCTTATATCGAAGTACAAACATTATTGCCGTATTGTATTATGTTTTACATTAAAAGGATTTGAAAGATTTAAAAATGAAGATGATCCGTTCGTTGATTTATCTCTGTTTACGCGATACCTCGTACCTTAAGATTTAAACTCATTGTGTTCAGATTTGTAAGTTTCCATTAGTACAGAACGAATTTTTCATATTCTCTTACTATACATTTGCAGTAATATGGTGCACATCCATTGTATTATTGTGTTTGTATTTTTATGATGGACTGTTGATCTCTTTATCAAACATATAGAAGTATTAAAAATTTATATGTGTATTTTAGATCAACATAGGAATTAAATAAGAATGTACTGTTCATGGGTGAAGAAGAGGATATTACGAAACAGCACTCGGATCATTCATTAACAAATGTCTTCAGCGACATCTATTGAAGAATCAGGTAGAGCGAAGGATTAACATTGTTATTTCTTAGTATTAAACGAATCTAAAATTGATTTTAGAAACAGCATGTCGAAATCCTTAAGGAACTACAAAACTGAGAGAATTCGATTTACAATTGACATTTATTAATCAGTATCAGGAAGTCTGCACACGATTTCAAACTTTTTAACGCGACACCTTAGGGATCTATTGCTAATAACGAATTAATTAGAACGAGGAGCGGAGTAAAATTGGCCCTTGAATGTTGCCAGGGATGTCTACTTGGTTCTCTAATAGCCAATATATGTGTGTCATTGTTGAAAAATTGATAATTCATCGATTAAAGCAGACGGCAATACAACCGTAAATGTTTCGACTTCCGATATTTATAACTATTTAATAACGCATTGCATTGTTATGAAAAGTATCCGTGAATGTTGCCAAGGGTCTCAGCTATATTATTAAACTCTAAAAGTTCATAAATTAATCCCAGGAAAGGCGTAATTAGTAAATTATCAAGCAGCAGTTCGTTAAACGTGATTTATTGCAATGGCGGAGGGTTATAGCTCTTTTGCTATACTAATATTTAAGGGTGATTAGACAGCGGATGTGGTTTTCACAATATTTATTTTCAACAAGAATTAACAGTAACAAACAACAATTAACAGTAACAATCAGCAATTAACAGTAACAGCGAACTTCGTCTACAAACACGTGTGCGCGGGTCGAGAGCTAATAACGGAAGGCGGTACTCAATTGTTTTTTAATGATTGACTCGACTGTTTTTACAGAAGAACAACGGCATCGTGTGCAGCGCCAAAGCTACGGACGTTGGCCACAGTACTCCCCCTGAGTATTTTCAACGCGGGAGTTTGAAAGAGACTTTTTTGTTCCCGTATGTCCTTACTGGAATAGGCGTAGTGGATGTCCATTGATGCTCTGGCACTCGGTCTTCCTGTGTCCGCTCAGCGTCGATCTCCCGTCAATGTCCAGTTCAAAAAGTATGTCAGTGTGTCTTTTTGTAATCCTATACGGTCCTCTGTACGGTTGCTCGAATGGTGCTTTTACATGGTCGCACCGAACAAATGCATGGCTGCACGTGTTAAGCTCTTTAGCGATAAAGACTCTAGACTTTACGTGGTGTGCGGTCGGTGTCGGCCCTCAAACCTCTCATGAACTCGCGGTGCTTCTCGATGAAGATCTGCGGGTTAGCTGCGAAGTCGGCGTTAACGAAGAATTCTCCCGGAACACGCAGCGTCGTACCATATAGCATCTCCGCTGGTGAAACCTGGATGTCTTCCTTCAGGCTCGTGCGCAATCCAAGTAATACTGTCGACAGAATCTCCGTCCAAGGCTTGGGTGAACACATCAGGGCTGCTTTTAACGTTCGGTGCCAACGTTCGATGATACCATTCGACTGCGGATGGTAAGACGAGGTCCTACGCTTATTGCACCCAATTAGACTCGCCAATGCCTGAAACAATACTTTTCTAACGTCAACTGGATTGCTTGCAGTTCCTTTCCGGGTCCAGATCTCGGTAAAAATGGCGAGAGATGGGTGACACACTGTAGGACAATATGCTGGTGCACAGATATCGGTGTAATGATATGATTTCTCCACCCTCGGATCTAAATTCCACTTAGTTAGGATGCTTAAACAGAAATTCCGTATATTAAATGCAAAAATTTCAGAGGAGAGACAGGAATTTCCCGAGATTAGTGGGAAATAAGGTTCCGAAGCCATTTCATGGTGCACGTTCGGGCAAAATACCAAATTCTCCAACTGCTTCCAGTAAGAAATCGGAGATCTAGATACTAATGAGCAAATCCGAGTCAAGAAAGCGCTAGGGGACTCGTCGTACAAGGGAGTGAAACTAGAGCAGATCAACAGGGATACAATTTCCATCAAAAGTTTTAGGGATACAACGATCGACCAATTAATCAGAAGCCCCCTAGTTGCTGGCCGAATACTCCGAGTGGTCCAGGATAGAGGTCTCAGGAGATTAATAATTTCGTAAGCTAAGCTAAAGTGCATTCTTAGAGAGGCGGATGCCACGGGGGAAACATGGGGGAGAGTGGTCGGAAAATTTAGAGATATTGTGGACAAGTTTAACAATCGCTCCTTCGGAACAAAGAGATAAGGAGAATGCGGCCTTGTTTTTATACAAGGAGGTGGCGCGCTCGGACAGTCTACCAGTCGGTCATCTACTGATCGGACACAACAAGAAGACTCAACATGAATGTGATAACTTGCGTTGTCACTGAATCGACACGTTGCCATTGAATCAGAGAGCAAGACTGTTGCCATACCCATGAGAGCCTGAAACATCAAGTTCACATTTTTTGATCCTTTACTGTAAGCGACAAGAGGAAAGGTATCAAACCCGAATTTCGTCTACAAACACGTGTGCGCGGGTCGAGAGCTAATAACGGAAGGCGGTACTCAATTGTTTTTTAATGATTGACTCGACTGTTTTTACAGAAGAACAACGGCATCGTGTGCAGCGCCAAAGCTACGGACGTTGGCCACAGGGTTTCGATCGTGGTGCCATCTAGTGCAGAACATTGAAGCTTGTCGAGCAATCGTATGCTATTTTCGCAACTAGATGGCATCCAAAGTTTGAGTATTGTAGGATTTAGGGTGCCGCGCACTGACGCGGTACTAGGTGGCAGCCTACTCTGCTTTGCGTTCTTAGGAAGGAGATGGGCAACTCAATAACTGGTACACGTGGGTGTAACCGTAACACTATGTATTTAGTCTACAACAATGATGACCGATCAAGCGCACAAGACGAACGCGTCCTGCTCGATCGGTGGCGAGTCGACGAGAGAGTTTTGTTCTCTCCCCGTTTTCCCATCGCCCGAGGTCGGAGGTGCCAACCTCGTCGGAGCGATCACTAGACGCGGGTCTAGGGGAATTTGCGCTTGTGGCGCCAATATCCCTACAGTATGTGGCCGCCAGTCGGAACTTTGGCGCATCTTGGCCATCACCGTGATGTCCCTGGTGGACAGCCAACGAATTAATGGGGGTTTTCCCCAAAATCGAGAGATCGCTTTAGTTAGAATAAAAAAAAAAAAAGCTTCTCCAACGCGCGCGGAGCAGTGCAAGGAGAACACACGTTGTTGTTGTATTATCTGTGGGTCTAGTTTCGTTGGTACGTTAATTGTATTAATTCTTGAGAGAGTGTCTGCTGCTACGTTGTCTTCACCCTTTACGTAAACTATGTCTGTTGTAAATTGTGAGATGTAGTCTAGTTGTCTCAGTTGACGTTCTGATGCTTTTTCTAATTTTTGTGTGAAAGCGTAAGTCAGTGGTTTGTGGTCAGTTCTAATCGTGAACTGTCGTCCTTCCAGAAGGTGTTTAAAATGTTTTGTGCTGGCAAAAATTGCAAGTAGTTCTCTGTCATAAGTGCTGTATCTCGTCTCAGTCTCTGTCATTTTTCTTGAGAAGAAACCTATCGGTTTCCAATTTGTGTCGTGTTCCTGCTGTTCAGGTGTTGCACCAATAGCATTGGTCGAAGCGTCTGTCGTCAGTCGTAGAGATGCGTTTGGAGCTGGATATGTGGTCAGTGCTACAGATGAAAGAGCTTTCTTACAAGCGTGAAAGGATTGTTTTGAAGTCTCTGTCCAGTCGATAGGAGTTTTGTCTTTCTTCTTGGAATTTTTCAGGTATACTGTAAGAGGTAATTGTAGTTGTGCTGCGCCTTTTATGCATGGATGGTAGTAGTTGAACATTCCCAGAAACTTCCGTAGTTCCATGACTGTTGATGGAAGTGGGTATTGGTCGATGGCTTTCACTCTGTCAGGGTTCGGATGGAATCCTTCACCGTTGATCTGGTACCCGAGAAATGATACCTGCTTTTGTCCAAAAGTACATTTATTAACATTGATTGATAGTTCATGATCGGACAATCGTTGAAATACTTGTTGCGGATGGCCTCTATGTTGTTTCTCATCTTCTGACATCACAATAATGTCATCTATGTAAACAAAGACGAAATCCAGGCCACGAAAGATGTGGTCAATGTATCTTTGGAAAGTTCGAGTCGCATTTTTCAATCCAAATGGCATTCCAATGTACTCATATAAACCCCAAGGTGTTGCGATTGCGGTTTTTTGAATGCTGTCTTTGTTTACTGGTATCTGATTGTACGCTCTTTCCAAATCAATTGTGGAGAATATCTTCTTCCCATGGACAGTCAAAAATAGGCTTTGGATCAGCGGTGGTGGGTATTTATCCGGAATGGTGATTGTTATGTTTGTTTGTTCTTATAATAGTTTATTATACATAGAGATACAATACTTTATATTTAAGGCTTACAGACACGTCTCAGAAGCGCGAGCCTCACTCGACTCCCCCGCACACATACGCAGGCCTGCTACTATTACAGGTGATGTGCAATGTTTTGCGTTTGCACCGTATTTGCGATGGTAGAAGCACTCACTACCTGGTGATGGTGAGATTTCTCTGGTATGTGAGCGTTGTCTACTCCTACCACGTTGTGATCCATGCAAATGGCTGCGACTCAGTATTCGCGACAGTTCTTTTGTTTGAGTCACTAGCTCATGCATGGTGTGTTTAATGACAGACATGTCCTTTGCCAGGTTAGTTAAGACCGTGTCGGTGAAACGGTGGTTTGGTGATACAGAGCGGCTGCCTGATGGGTGTGTTGCCATTATGAATGGACTGGACTGGTTCTCCATGAGTTCGTCAGCCAGCTGCGCTTGCTCGTTGAGTGAGGCTGCTCGGAGAATCTTTAAGCACCGTACAATGGCTGGTGGTAGTAATGCCAGCCATCTCACGCGGAGCACATCTTCTGATGCTCGATTACCAGCCAGGGACTGTAATTGCCTTAATAATTGGCTGGGCTTCTTATCCCCCAATTGGACTTCAGCAAGTGCCTTGTGCAATTGCTGATCTGCGGAGTCAGAGAACCGTTTGATTATTTTCGCTTTCAGTTGTACGTACCTTCCTTCTCCTGGTGGGTTACGCAGTATGTCTGCAACCTCCATCATAGTCTCCGCGTCTAATGAACTGACTATATGGTTGTATTTGGTTGAATCGCTAGTGGTACGGCTGGTTTGGAAAATTGATTCCACTTGTATGAACCACAAGCTCGGATCATGTTTCCAAAATGGAGGGATTTTAATGTTGGCTACAGAGGCGAATGCTGCAAAGGTGTCTCCCAGTGGTAAAGTGTGATCTTGGCCGGTGGCCATTGTTTCGTTAATTGGGTTTATATCAGCTTGCAATGTTCGCGGTGTACTTGCTTGTTGCTGATCGACGACCGGCTTCGGCGAGTGTTGTAATGGCATATCACTATTGCACTATTAATTACCACGTGGCTTTTATGCACTTGTTGCAATAAATTGTTCACCAAAATACTCAATGTCTGTATAGTTTTGTAAATAATAATGATGGTGCGTCAGTACGTCACTTGAAACACGTGGATGGGTATCGAAAATGAAGAACGTGTTGAGTACGGAAACACGTGGATTTTTAGGATACGCTCGCGATAAAGTAATCCACCTCGATCACGTCGGGGTCACCAGTTATAGCGTCTACGGCTATACACGATATAATGTTTAGGACGAGGTGGATGAATATTTGTATATATTACTTTATTTTTAACGTTAACACATGTAATTGAACGTAAATCTATAACAACGTGTGTCTCCTTGCGCTGCTCCGCGCGCATTGGAGAAGCTTCTTCTTCCTTTTTGTATCTAGAGCGATCGCTCGATTTTGGGGAAACCCCATTAATTCGTTGTCTGTCCACCAGGGGCATCACGGTGATGGCCGAGATGCGCCAAAGTTCCGACTGGCGGCCACAAGGGTGTGGGTTTATTCTTATTTGATGCACGTGGTTCGTTACCACGTATTATGCGCGTGCGTTCGTAGGCCCACCCCTACGACTACGGATATTAATATTCGAAATAACTGAACACGTGTATGTAACAACAACAATAACGAGTATTCTTTATTAACGCTAGGCGTACAAGTCTTTGTCTAGCAACAGGAGTTTTAATCTTTATCTTTTTGAGGTGCTTCTTCGCGAAGTTCTTACCAAGCAGTGACTTGAGCGTCCTTGCATTTTCGGGAGGACGCGCTTTCGCCCTGCTGCTCTGCGCGCGCAGCCTTACGGCGGATTCGCACTTGACGGGAAACTGCTCCCCTATACTCTTGTGCGGACGAGACCATAAGTCTCGACCCCACAGTACTCCCCCCCGAGTAACAGCGCTCTTTGGTTTCTTTATTTTGGTTTACAATTTACTTACATCTACTTAGATCTACTTATTCATTAAATTGCACGCGTTTCTTATTTATATACGTTCTTAGTTTATTTGGCGTACTCGCGGAAGGCGCGGGCTCTACCTGTAACCTTTCGGTTACTGTGGGCGGTTGTTCTTCCATATTTTCGGGCGTGAAAAACGCGGGTTTTAAACGCTCTACGGATATGTTCTGCGCCGCTCCGTTTATCTCTATTCGGTACACTTGGTCCGATATCTTTTCGAGCACTCTATGTGGCCCGGTATACGGTCGTTCTAGCGGCCGTTTTACCGCGTCCATGCGTAAAAATACGTGTGTACAATCACGAAGTTCCTTAAATCTAAATACGCGTTTCCTATTTTTATGTACCACTGGTACTGGCCTTACGGCTCGCATGTATTGTCTGAATTCCATGAGGAACATATCCGGGTTTGGGGTGAAATCGCCCTCTAAAACGAATTCCCCCGGAATGCGCATAGTGGTACCGAACATGTATTCCGCGGGCGACGCGTTGGTATCTAACCGTACCCGCGAACGCAACCCTAGTAATACCGTCGGAAGTTTCCGTGACCAATTTGTTTCACACGCGTGGCACATGAACGCCGCTTTTAGGTCCCGGTGCCACCGCTCGATCATCCCGTTGGATGCTGGGTGATATGCGGTCGTTCTAGTTCGTTGGCACCCGATGAACGACAGTAACGACGCGAAGAATTGGGACTCGAACTGTGTCCCCTGGTCCGTTGTCACTACCTTGGGGGCTCCGTAACGAGACACCCAGGTATCGAAAAATGCTCTTGCCACCGTTGGCGCCCCTATTTCGTGTAACGGCACGGCTTCAGGCCATCGGGAGAACCGGTCGATCATCGTCAATATATACCGATATCCGTCCGATTCCCGCAATGGCCCTACTACAGGGTGGCGCTGAATGACCGATATGGTTTGAATGTTTAATAACTTTTTTATTTAATGAATTATTATTATTATTTTTTTGGTGTTATAAAGTATATTAATGGGGAATATTTTTGGCTTAAGTATGAAAAATTATATCCCGCAAGTGATGGCCGTTTTCGGCTTCGCACATTCGTGCTCTTTCCAGTACATTTTGCATAACTTTTCGTAAAATTTCCGGTGTTATGGCTTGAATTTCATTGCGAATGTTTTCTTTTAGCTGTGGTATGGTGGCTGGCTTATTAATGTATACCCTTTCTTTCAAATAACCCCAAAGAAAACAGTCTGGCGCTGTCAAATCGGGTGAACGTGGGGGCCAATTGAAATCGCTTCTGCGCGAAATAATGCGTTCGCCAAAGAGGTCCCGTAACAGAGCCATTGTGTCCATTGCTGTGGCTCCATCTTGTTGGAACCACAACTGTGGATGGTTTTGTACAGCTGGCCTCAAAAAATTGTCCAGCATCGTTCGATAATCAGCACCATTAACCGTAACTGAGGCGCCATGTGCATTTTCAAAAAAATATGGACCAATAATCCTTTCAGACGATACACCGCACCAAACAGTACACTTAAGTGGGTGCAACTGTCGCTGATGAACTGTTCTTGGATTCTCCGTAGCCCATATCCTGCAATTTTGCTTGTTTACGAAGCCATTCAATTGGAAATGGGCTTCATCGCTCATTATCAAATTGTTAATGAAATCGCGATTTTCTTCTGCTTTTTGTCGGAATGAAATGGCATAATCAAGGCGTTGTTGGTAGTCTATCGGCTTCAATTGTTGCACAAGCTGAACCTTATACGGGAACATGTCTAATGTGGCCAAAATCCTCTGAACAGACCTCCGTGATAGCCCCAGTTGTGCCGAGCGTCTTCTTGTTGATGTTTGTGGACTGTCCTGCACACTATCCGCAACACTTTGGATATTTTGTTCCGTATGGACCGTACGTGGTCTCCCGGTACGTGGAAGGTGTCTTACTGTACCATGTTGTCGAAAATTTGCAACAAGGCGGTTTATTGTTGATGCTGAAGGTCCAGTACGCACATTAAAAAAACGACGATAAGCACGCTGCGTCAAAACAATTGACCGTTGATTTTCAAAATAAAATTCAACAATTGCTGATCGCTGTTCTGTTGTGTAGTATTCCATTTTAAATCCCCCAAGTGTTCTTCACAAAATTCTGAAATAAAAATAAAAAAAAATAAAAAATTTAAAAAGTTATTAAACATTCAAACCATATCGGTCATTAAGCGCCACCCTGTATATGAACCGTTCTGTTCTATAACCTTCTTCCATCTCTCAGGAAGCCTCATTATGCCCTCTTTCCAAAATTGTTGAGGCTTACTTGCAAAATATTCATCTAGGTGCGTTTTTATTTCGTTTATGGATTTGAAAGATTTACCACGGAGAGAATTTTTTAAGGAGAGGAACAAGTAACAATCGGATGGAGCAAGGTCTGGGGAGTACGGAGGATGAGGTAGAACGTCCCAATCAAACTGTAATAATTTTTGCCTTACGACCAACGCAACATGCGGTCTTGCGTTGTCGTGATGGAAAACGACGCCTCGTCGGTTTGCCAATTCTGGCCGTTTTTCTGCTATGGCGGCTTTCAATTGATCGAGTTGATTGCAATATTTGTCAGCATTGATCGTTTCACCTTGAGGAATGAGCTCGTAGTACACTACACCTTTCCAGTCCCACCAAATGCACAAAAGAACCTTCTTCGGATGAAGTCCAGGCTTCGCAACAGTTGAAGGTCTATTTTCCTTAGACCAAGTGCATTTTCGATGCACATTTTGATACACAATCCAAGTCTCGTCTCCAGTGACAAGACTCTTTAACCTGTTAACCGGGGAATTCCCTTTTTAATTACGCAGCATATAACGGGCGCGAATTCTTTCACTAGGACGTGTCAGTACGTCACGCCCGGAGAACGTAATTTCATATTATTACTTTTTTTTATTTATGCTTAAAATAAATGAAAAGACTATGAAATATATATGTCTTCGTTGATTTATATATTTAGCACAAAGGAAAATACAAAATTACGAACAAATAGAAAAGAATACCAACAAAAATATGGAAATATCGAATTAAGAAATTATAAATTTTACAAACAGTTTGCAAACAATTATAAAGAGTAGAAAAAATATAAAAAAGTTAACAATTACAGAACAATAAACAAAAGCACACAAATAAAATAGAAATATTGAGTTTAAAAAATTAAAATGTATACAATGTATGTATAAAATGTATATGTGAAAATTCAAAACTCAATTTCCGTGTGATATATTTTAAAACAATTGTTGATACATAGTGCTGCCTTACAATCCGGACACCAATATGTAGATTCTTTCCTAACACCTTTTTTGTAACAAACTCGGCATTTTCTAGATTTCGTTTTTCCTGTATCGGTTTTCATTTGTTCTGGAAAATGCCTTTCAACTAAGCGTGATGGTTTTTGTGTAGAGTTGCTTGTTGATGTCTTTGGCTGGGCTTTCACTATGTTGTTATCTACCAATTTCTCTACACACTCTATCAAAAAGTGCAAACGATCTAAATGACCTTTATCTTTTTTGTATATAATATATGCATTGAAGCAGCACATGTCAATTAGTCGGAGAAAAATTTTTTTATAAAATTTCTTTAGCCTGTTACGGGCAGCCGTGTAGGCCACCATAACTCCATCTCCCAAATCTACGCCGCCCATATTCTTGTTATAATCCAGGACAACATTCGGTTTTTCTTGCCTTCTTCCTTTCTTTTCAATCATTGTCTTTTCGTCATTATGAATAGAACTGAGCATCAAAACATCTTTTTTATCCTTCCATTTGAGAACCATAAGTTTGTCTTTGAATCTGACTATATGTTCATTTTTCTGTAATTTTTTTGTTTTTATTTCACTGGGGATTCCGACTCTGTTTATCCTCATTGTTCCAACAATGTCTGTATTGTTTTGACACAAGAGTTCAGCCAAATGAATTGACGTATAGAAATTATCTAAGTAAATCCTATACCCTTTATTCAGTAAGTCATGTGTTAACTCCAAAACAATTCTTGTTGATTGTTTTTCTTGTGGGTAGTTCGAACCATAATTTGTGCCCTTGCCGGTGTATAAAATTATATTTTGTACGTATCCAGATTGGCTTTCACTTAAAATAAACAACTTCATTCCAAATCTAGCTCTTTTTGTAGATATATACTGTTTCCAAGATAAATTCCCTTTCCATAATAAAAGAGATTCATCTACGCATATTTCTCGTTCACATACATAAAAACTTTTAAACTTTTCTGACAAATTATTCATGATTGGATCAATTCTA